AGTTGTTTTGAGAGGAAAAATTAGCTTGCCCAAGTTGTCTAGACCACAAATGTAGCCTTTGTTTTTTTATTCACATGTTTTCTCTGTCCGTGTTTTTAAATCTAGATACGTGGTGGCAAGATGCTGGATTTCTTCACCATCTTCAGCAAAGGGGGGATAGTGTTGTGGTGTTTTCAGGGCGCCGGGGTCTCTGAGTCTTTCACAGGACCTGTCAACGCTTTGATCCGCTCTGTAATTCTTCAGGTAAGGCATTAAAACAGGTAAAAATCTTCGGATAAACGCCTGTTTTCTTCTCTTAGCAAGCATATTGGACGGCTAATGCTAAAGGCAACAGACGTTAGCTTATTGCGTAACGTAAATGTTCAAAACAAGTGACTTTTAACAGACTGACAGTCTCATAGTTACTATAATACGATTTAAAGACCTGAATACCGTGTCGCAGTCGATGTGTTGACATTGGTGTGAAGCAGAGAGAGCTAGCTGTAGCAGCAACAACAGCATGTGAGTTTGTGTGGTGATGACATGTTAGCGGTGTTTGTGGTGTTGTAGGAGCGGAGTGGAAACAACTCATTCAATCACGAGGCCCTGAGTCTGAAATACAAGCTCGACAATGAGTTTGAGCTGATTTTTGTGGTAAGTCAGAATATATATATATATATATATATATATATATATATATATATATATATATATATAACAACGAATCAAAACTGGAGTGTAAGCGTGTTATTATGATGCTAATAACGTTGTACCTGACTGTTCTCCTTGTCTCTGTTCAGGTGGGTTTTCAAAAGATCCTGACGCTTACATATGTGGACAAATTCATAGATGATGTCCAGCTCCATTTCAGAGATCGTTATAAGAATGAGCTGGAGCAAAAAGGAGCTCTCAAGCTGCTAAATAACAACTTTGAATTCGAGGATGACTTCAAGATGCTTCTGAGGTAAATACAGAAAGTATTGCTCTCAGATTGTTTTCTTACAAGTAAAGAAAATGTAACTGTAAAGGCTGAAGTAGCATGATGTGTATACACCGTTGACCAATAGAGCTGCAATACTGTCATATTAGTCAATTACGTAAAGGGATATTCTGGGTTAGACACCCCATTGAGAAATGAATGATGTCGACTGCTTGCTTCTCTAGTCATAATAACTTTAGTAATGACCGCACGATAGCAATACACAGCGGCCTCAGGAGCCACAAACAAACCTCAGCTTAAACACCACTCTATAGCAGTGTTGTTTTTGTTGATGATGACATTGACGAAAATATTTCGTCAACGTCAACGAAAACAACACTGCAGTATATGTGTTTAACATTTGACTGACGAAATGCTCATGAATTTTGCAACCCTGTTCGTCGTCCACCACTAACGTTTTCGTCTCGTCACATTTTGGTCATCTAAGACTTACGTTTAGCTCGTTACATTTAACTTGTTTTTAGGGAGACCTGGACAAGTCCATAACTGACTACAGCGGGGTTTAGCAGCTCAAAGAAGAACATTTATGATCATTTCTTCATGGAAATACAATCAGACCAAGATGCTAAGGCAGAAGAACTACCGCGACTGCAGTGTAAAATGATTAATATGGTGATGATTACTTCAAGGAAACAATAAAGTAATGATCATAAATGTTCTTCCTTGAGCTGTGTCACCCCGCAGCAGTCAGCTGTGCATTGCTATGGTGCGGTCGTTACTAAAGTTGGTATAACTATAGAACCAAGCAGTCAGCAACATTCATCTCTCGACGGGGTGTATAACTTGGTGCTATGGTGTGTTTGACCCTAAATTAATTTTTAGCCGGAATATCCCTATAAGAGTTATTATTTTTATTTTTACCATTCTGATAAATGTTTATTTCAAGAGGTGCGGAGGAGAGCAGTAAAGCCCGGAGTCCTGCCCCCATGCGGACATTTAAGGAGTCCGAAAAATCCCAGAAAACTGTGAAGTCAATGATTGAGACCAAGGGTGGGGACAAAGGAAAAGAACCGGGTGGCAAGAAGAACAAAAATACCAAAAAGGAGGGTAAGTGCTGAACGGATAAAAGTATAACGTCAGTAGAGCTTTATTTCGATCACTGTCTGAACTTGTTTCCTTATCCAATCATTTCAAGCTCCTGCAGCTGAGCCTGTCAAAGTGGATCAAAGCAAGAACTCATCCTCTGGGCAGAAGACAGTTGAGAATGGTAACCAGGGCATGACCCCAGAAGAAATTGTGCTGAAGAAGAGAGAAGAATTTCTTCGCAAGCGCATGGGGGGAAACACTGAAAAACCAAGGTGAGAGAACGTGTCTTCATGAATGTCAAATCACCAACACAACTGTAGATCAAGTGTATTTTTTACGCACATTTCTGATTACTTGATATTTCTTTTTATTAATCACAGTAAGTCGCCAAAGCCTCAGAAGCCAAGGGAGAAGCAGATGAGAGTTTGGAACATGGGTGGAAACAGCACCAAGGACTTAGACTACACAAAGAATGGAGGCGGTTCCCCCAATGGTGGTGAACCAAACCTGGAAGCACAAATTGACACAGTATGCCTCTCTTACCCTACACGTCTCCACCTCTATCCTTTTATCATGTTAAAATAAGTGGTCTGCTACTTAGTTCTCAATATGCTGTGTGTGTTTCAGGGAATGCAGTTAAGCTCCATGAAGGGTGAACTGCTATCTGTGGACTACGAGTCTAGTGATGATGGGGATTTAATAGAGGAGGAAGAGGAGAGAGCTGTTGTCAGTGAAACCAGCAAGGCAAGGTAACAGCAGTTGGATGAATGTTTTCTATTTTTGTTTGAAGGTATTTAATTAAACAGTTATGCAGTATGTTGGTAAATCTTCCGTATATTCGTCTGTTTTAAAAATTGAAGTTGCATTCTGAAGAACTGCTCCCCTTTTTGTTGTCTCAGCGCTAAAAAAGGCGGTGGCTTTGGGGGTATGTTTGGGATGCTGAAAGGCCTGGTAGGATCCAAGAGCCTCACCCGGGAGGACATGGAGGCAGTACTGGAGAAGATGAGGGACCACCTCATCGGTAAATATTGTTTGTCTCTTTAAAAAGTTTGATCTTATCGAAGAATTTATGAAATAATTCTCTTGTTTTATGATCCTACAGCAAAGAATGTAGCAGCCGAAATTGCCTCCCAGCTCTGTGACTCTGTAGCCAAAAAACTGGAGGGCAAAGTCATGGGCACATTCACCAGTGAGTAATTTTTGAATACTCATAAACTAATCAGTTGAATTCAATGTTGGGTGCATTTTCTAACTACACTTGTCCCTTTCTGAAACACTTGAAATGTAGTGTGATGACAGTGATGTTTTCCCCAGTTTACATGTGATTTCTGCTCTAAGTTGATTCCATTTTGTGTGTGATAAACTTAAAATGTGTTGAAGTTTCACACTTCAAATTAAATTACTAGAAACAAATGGATTATACATGTGTAAACATATCTTTGTGGTGCTCCAATCTCTGTCCAACTATAATTTAACATTTTTTTTTGTAAATACATGAGATAAACTGAGTCTAGTAAAACCAAAACATGATCAATAATGTCAGTAATCAATCATTTCATGTGCTGATGAACGTGTGCGTGTGTTTTTGTAGCTGTGGCCTCAACTGTAAAGCAGGCCCTGCAAGAATCACTGGTGCAGATCCTGCAGCCCAAGCGAAGAGTAGATATTCTCAGAGATGTCATGGAGGCGCAAAGCCAGCGTCGACCTTTTGTCATTACGTTTTGTGGTGTCAATGGGGTTGGAAAGTCCACCAACCTGGCCAAGGTGAGTGAATGTCTGTGATGTAACATGTGCCACTGCAGTGAGTGTTTTGCTTTTTGTTGCACTCCCTGTTCCCACTATTTTCTGTCTCTCCTAAGCTGTCCCATCCGTAAGGGAAAAATAAGGAAAATCCCAGATGTAAAACCAATCCAACTATGCACGACACAGATTTCTTTAAAATCTAATTTCTCACTCACAAACCAAACTCTCTTTTCTCCCCAAGTACATTTAGTAATCTGGCTAAAATGCTTCTGAAGTGGTAGTACATTTTTCCTTTTTTCTTTACTTTTTTTTTTGCATATACCATGAATGTTTGCCGTATCCTTTAACAAGCAGGTTTTACAAAAATGTTGACATGAATGCACCATTAAAAGAACAGTATTACTTTTCCAGATCTCTTACTGGCTGATAGAGAACGGTTTCACTGTGCTGATCGCGGCCTGTGACACGTTCCGAGCTGGTGCAGTCGAGCAGCTCCGTACTCATCAGCGCCGTCTGAACTCTCTGCATCCTCCGGAGAAGCATGGAGGACGGCCAGTTGTCCAGCTCTATGAGAAGGGTTATGGGAAGGATGCTGCAGGGATTGCCATGGAGGCTATTGCATATGGTAAATAACATGCCTTCACCTAAAGCTCCTATTCAATGATTGTTGCTTTGTACCTTGATCTAGAGGTGCTAATGAGGTGTTCTCTGAGTTTTGCGCATGTTACAAGCCATATGTATTCATCCATATTACCCACATGGTCAAGTAAAAAGCCTCACTTCTACCTGCCAGCTCGTAACCAGGCCTTTGATGTGGTGCTGGTGGACACCGCTGGGCGTATGCAGGACAACGCCCCTCTAATGACGGCCTTGGCCAAACTAATTGCAGTCAACATGCCTGACCTCGTGCTGTTTGTGGGGGAGGCTCTGGTCGGCAATGAAGCCGTTGACCAGCTGGTAAGACCACTGACATCTTTCGACTTTTTGTTTGCACACATCATGCACCGAGAGAAACTGTGAACTAATGAGCAGCTGAATAGAGAGAAGATGTTCAAGTCCACAGTTAGTCTGTTATTCTTAAACTCTGCAGAGGGGGTCAGTGTTGATTCAGTGATCGGCTGTCTCAATACATGGTCACTCACAATTATTAAGATTAAAAAATAGGGGGAATATGAATAACTGTGTTCTCTACAGATACATATAGAAGAGTAGTGCTGTATTCTAGTTACCTCTCGGAAGTCGGATGTCGGAGCTGGCAATGACGTTACACCTGAGTTGACGGCGTTCCAGTTAACAAGTCGAAAAACCAAGATGGATGCCTACAGTTACCCGTTGTTAGCTGTTGTTTACAATTGTCAGCAGTTGTTAGTTATACCAGCTGTAAACAACGTATAACACAGTATTTTACTCTTACAAACACCGTAGCACCGTGTTCACAGTTAGACGTTGGGCAGTACAACATTTACCACTTATTTAAATTCACAAAAGCAAAACAGAAATGCTAATAAATAATACATTACGAGAGCTTTCACTGTTACTCTTTACTGTTGATGCACTGCGCTGCCATCTTGGAATATGATGTTGTTGTCAAGTCGGAGTTGGTGAGGATCATCAGACTTTCCGAGTTGGAAATCCGACTTCAGGGGGCCATTCCAGATGAATTTCTGACTCGGAGCTCAGAAATTCCAACTTCCAAGCACAACTTGAATGCAGCATAGATACACCAGAGTGCTAGAGCAGCCCGTGAAGCGACATGGCAGCCACCTTAACATGGGCAACGTTCCTATTAAAGGCATTAGATGTACATGGAACATCGGCGTTGACAATAAAGTAACCTGCATGAAAATTGGTTGAGAAATGAGCAAAATATTATTTATTTTAATTGCTCATGTATTGTCTGTAATGGGAATGATGCCCCCACTAGCCAAGCCTCACTGTAGGCACGCAGCTCAAAGGGGCATGTCGTATCTACTACTCACATCTGTGGTGTTCTCAGTTTTCCCATGAAAAACTCAACTCTCCTCCCTCCTTTCCTCAGGTAAAATTCAACCAGGCTCTGGCAGACCACTCCATGTCTGACAAGCCTCGTCTCATTGATGGGATTGTTCTCACCAAGTTTGACACCATTGACGACAAGGTGTTGTAATTTTTCTCGACATTTATGTCTGGTTTCATTATGTGATTTCGCCTAAGTTGATAACCTTCATGCGTCATGCTTCCTCTCTCACAGGTTGGTGCTGCCATCTCTATGACTTACATCACAGGCCAGCCTATTGTGTTTGTGGGAACAGGACAGACCTACAACGACCTGCGCAGCCTCAACGCCCGCGCCGTGGTCAGTGCCCTGATGAAGGCTTGAGTGGCTGCATGTTCTGCTGTTTATTGATCAAAGCGACAAAGCCAATAATACCTTTGCCACGCTGCCATGAGATGTTCCAGCCCTGCTTACCTCCATTTCTGATCCCCAGTCCTGTCTTGGTCTTTCTACTCTACATCAAACAAAGAACTTGTGTCATATATCAGGAGGACTTCAATCTCCAAGTGAAGGACGAGTGTGAAAGACAGAATATTTGCTACAAAAGCCAGGGGGTCCCTCCCTTTGCAACATTTTAAGACTGTCAGGCCTACATCAAAACATAACTCGGTTCACATGGGTTTTGTAAGTCAAATGTTAGGACAGTTAACTGACTAAATGGACCTTTGCTGTAAATGTCATCAGCTTACTGGGTTTCACAGTAAAGACTCATAAAAAAAATCCCCTCTGTGGCATTTTGTCAGTCAGTTTTCCCCTCTATGTAAATGAGGTCAGGTTGTGAGGGTCTGCTGAATGTGACATTTCAGCAGCTGCCTCTTCCTGAGGAAAGCTTAGTGACCATAGTGCCTATCGGTTTCCTGTCTTTTTATTTATCACTTTCACCACAGGGGTGGTTGTCCTTCTTATGTGCTATGGCATTTTAGTTCAGAAAGTACTACCTCCACTCTTGAGAAGGAGTCTAAATCTGCTTACATTTGGTCGTAAAGTCAGCACTTTTAAAGTTACATGTTGTTCTCCCCCGTCAGAAATAACAAATCAAGATGAGGCTTTCTGGAATGAGGACACTAATTGATGACTCTCTGACATCCCTCCCTTGGCACTCCACTACACAGATAATCCATTTTTATTCCAAAATTGGGAATTAAACCCATTGAACATTTAATTGCTTTGTACATTTAAATTATTTTTACTTTTATCGGGTCGAACACTTATTTCCAGATTGCATCCTCTGTGTGGTCGATTGTACTCGTTTTCCTGTCAGGTTCACTCTCCATTACATAACATTAGAGGATATCAAGTCTTAAATATCTCTTGCCCCCTTAAATTTGTGGTAGCGCAAAGCAAGAGAATCAAGGGAAATACAGATTTGAGCTAATTTATGAGATTGTAAACATTTCTAAATAAAGCTGCTATATGCTATTGATAGCTGGTGAAGTGGAACTTGTTCTGTCCTATGTTGTAGATCATTTGGTCAGTTGTGCTGCTGTAGACTTTTCCAATCAGTCTCTATAATAAGTAACAAGACTGCTGGGATACCAAAAGCTTTATTTTGAAAATAGTACATATAAATGCTACATCAGAAAACACATGAAAGTAATAAAAATACAAAAAAAGGCTTAAAAAGGACATTTTCAGCACAGGAGTGGAAAAGTGATTGCTACCAGCTAGGAGCCTTTGAAATGTGTTTTTTTTCTTAAAGGTACAGTGTGTAGTATTTATTGGCATTCAGTAAAAGGAACACAGTAGAAATGGATTATGGTATTATGTTTCAGTGAGTGTTTAATCACATAAAGAAATGGTTTTGTTTGAGTTAACTTTTCAAGGAGCAGGTCCCCATCCATTGAGACTATCATCTACAACTGCCATGTTTCTCTAGAAACACATTATGGATCAACTAGTAACAGCCATGCACATTTTTATTCTAAATGAGCAGCCGCCAAAAATGCATCGGTTGGAAGACAAAGAGTAAGAGATTGGTTATTGTGCGCATTAGAATATAAATTCATAGATGTTTTTGACAGTAAAAACTTAAATAGAGGATCATACTTACCATACATCACAGCAGAGGCCATTGAAGACCACTTGAACACTCTCAACTCTTAAGCTTCACCAAAAGACAGGATGAGCAAGGGAGTATTTGACTCTTAAAATCCGCTTGCTAGATGTTGCTCAATATTCCCATATCTACACACTGTACCTTTAACTTTAAAAGGACATTATAGCAACTTGTAAGTTGTGTGACCATGACATCGACCTATTTCCACCTGTCCCCATTCCTCATCCAGTAGTGTGCAAAACAAGTTTCTTTATGGTTCTATGGTAGGGCATGAAAGATACAACCCTTACATACCAGCAAAGGACTGATTTTAATTAAGATTTACGTGATGTTCATTACAGCTTGAACCCAGATTCATACAAGGCTGATCATTTAAACTTAAATGCGTCACTTCATTTCCAAATCCAAACAATGGATTCAGTTATGAAGTTTGTCAGGTTGATGTGAAAGAAGACCTTTCCGTTGTCTAAATATATAAAATAAAAAAAAAAGAAAAAGAAAAACTTTCTTCAGCTGTTGCTTCCCAAATGTTGAGCAACATTCAAGTATAGTACGGTGATACAGTGAGGCTGGGTATTTACATTGACAGTTACTTCAAGTTTTCCTTTCCCTTTGAACAACAATCAATAAAGGAAATGATGATCGATAACTGTAAACTGATACTGACAATGACTGAAAGATCTCTCCTGGTCCAGACTCTTTCTAAATCCTAAATCTAGTGACTGAAATCATACTCCAGTACTTCACAACAAACATAATTCTGTCAATGAAGAAAAATGAATGAGTCTTATCATGACTGTGTGTTTGTTAAAAATGATAGTGTGGGGTAAAAAAAGAAGTAAAGGGCTAAAGTGACACTTGGGAACACAAAGAGCATCAATGGAAAAGTTGCACCTGACTTCCCAGCCTGAAATCCCACAAAGTCAGCTGTATCTCTGTGGAAAGTAACGTGAGCAAGTCTTTGATACGGAAAATCCCGTACAGACTTTTTTTTTTCTCTTTCTTTTTAACTATCAGCAAGCATTAGGGATACAATCTTTACAGAACTTTTATTGTGTTTTACTCCAGAAATGTTTCTTGCAAGTGGCCACTGCCTGAAGCCAAAGAGAAGCCTTCAGTCCTAACCTTGCAGGAGGCTTTTCAGTGAGTTAAAGCCATTCTGCTGTTCCTCCTCATTTTGTGAGGGAGACCCTGAAAATACAGGAGAAAAAAAGGGATTACATAACAGAAGTAGATGAGGTTGTCAGAAGTAAAGCAGCAAGAAAGTAACACAACCTGAAAACTCTTTGACAGGTTTACTTGGTTTTTACCTATCCTTCTGAGCAAGATAAAATACCTCAACCAGGCTGAGATAGCCTTTCAGTAAAACACATAAGGTGCTACTAACCTGTTTTTTTTTTTAAACAGAGTTTTTGATTAACAAAAAAATAATAATCCCACGAATAAAAGAGATTTTTTTAGCTTCTCGTAAGAAACAAACGTTTTTGTAATACATTCAGCGTGCGTTTTTGTCACCTGATACTTTAATCTTGTTCTTCCTATTAGCTAGGGAACTCACTGTGGGCTTATTAAAAATAGATGGTTCAAAATGGAGGTAGCAGAGGCCGTTCTGACTTTTGTGAATCTAAAAGAAAACTGGAATCCACTTCTTTAATAATACAACCACACATCGTCTTTTGTGACACCATTCCTTTCCCCTAAATTCTGATTCTGGTTGGCTCTGGTGTTTTTAAGACTTCCATTGAGCTGAAAAGATCAGTGAACGAGTGTCATCCACCTTACCCCAGCCATTGCTTGACACATCTCGGTTGCAGATTTCATTGGCCAGCCTCTCAAAGTACTCAGGTAGGTCAGCGTATTCGTCTCCATAGGAGATGACTTTGATGCCCTTGTCCAGCATGTTGTCCCGCAGCTTCTTGAACTCACCCACATCCTCGCGCCGTACAAGCATGAAGTGTTCCAGGTCTGATTTGTGTTTGACTGCTTCCAAGAACAGAGCCTGGAAGGTTGTGTCGTCTACTGTGCGGCCACAGCCAAGAAACACAAAAGATTTGGTCTCATACAGCTTCTGGATCTCCCGCTGTTGAAACCAGTGGGTATATTTATTACTACACTTAAACAAAAGCCTCCATTTTAAAAGTATCACTGGTTTATACCACTTCGTAAACAAACAAAACGCTACTTCAAATTGTATTTATGGAATCATGTGAAGAATCTGTTTTCTGGAAAAGTTGCTCGTAGAGAAACAAAACTTAAGTGAGGACTTACCATGACTTCAGTGTTCCTCAGTACATTCTGGTAGCCAGCAGGGTGCAGTACGATACCACTGGGGTTGGTGTAAACGCCATGGATATGCAAAACACTTAACCGCCTCTTCTCCTGAGCCCACTCCAATACCTAGACACACACACACACATATGCACACATAAAAGCACGCTGTTAACAGTCCATTGCACTCATTCCTGTTCTGGCTGGGCAGGGAGTAAAATCAGTAAACAGAAGTGAGAGGATATTAGCCCTGATGGAGATGGGGCATAAATACCAGGACTGAGAGGCAAAGCAATGTGTCTCTCAGAAAACTCAGATCAATTCTCGCAAGTCTGTGCTCAATTTTTAAAAGTAATCAATCTTCAAATGCACAGGGATGAGAAAGACGTGGTTTATAAACTGAGAATTAACAAAAGAAGTATAGTCAGACAGGACCCTAACCTATCTCTACGGGGATTTCTCCCTCAGTGAAGTCTTTAGTCAAAAGCAAATATTGTTCCATCCATAAAATTTGACAGCAGCCGAGTAATGCCTAGAACTTTAACCTTTCCCCACCTGCCAGAGACAAAGGCTCCTTCAGGTCAAAGCATTATCTGTTTAGTTCTACAAACAGGAACTTCACTGTAAAGTAACATCATCGATATAACACACAGAAAAAAACATTTCCTGTCAATATTTAAGTCTATTTGTGATTCAAGGTAAGATCATCTGAGATCTAGCTTAAAACCTAAAATTTGAAGCCCCTTTAAATTACATCATGTGCTCCAGTGACCTTTGCTCTGAAAAAGCTGACTGCATGTATTGTGATAGAAAGGATCAATCCCAAAGCCTCCAATACCTTCTTCTCATCTGTCAGATCCAGAGACTCCAGTTTGGTGTCCTGGTGAGCGGCATAGATCTCCAACAGGTTGTCAAAGTTGGTGGTGAGAACGAGTGCGCCGCTCTCCATTAACTGCAGCACAGAGCGCAGTAGATGTTTCCCTGCGTGCTCCATCTTGCACTCCAAGTCATCAAACACCTCATACAGACAGTCCTTGAAGAATGTTGATCGCACATTGCCTGTTCTCTGCAAAATGAATACATGAATTAGTATTAACAGGAAATGCAAAAGGGGTGGAACGCACCATTTTAATTGTTTTATACAGGGGTGTCCCGATACAACTTCTTTACCTCCGATACGATACCAATATTGTAGCCTTCAGTATCGGCGATACCGATATTGATTGGATATTGGCACAAACTTGTGCATGACGAGTTGTGCATTTAGCTGCAACGTCTTTTTCGGACTTTAACGAAAAATACTGCCACACAGCCGACATCATACTTACTCCTTGCTACTTTGTTTGTACCTTAGTACACACTACTGTTGTGGTCATGTGGGTTTTGCATGCCGAAACCAGGCGCTGCTAGCTAGAGGTGCCGGAGTGGAGTCTGGAATGGACTACTTGTATCTGAGTGCAGATATCGGAGATTTTAGATGCAGGCCGATATAATCCGATATTTGTCTTTTGGCTGATATCGGACCAATATCAATGTCGTATCGGGACAGCCCTAGTTTTATATACACAGACATTATGTAGCAAATAATCTGAGAAGTCTTCAGCTGCAGAGGTGAAATTCTGAATTCAAGTTTGTTGATCATTTATAGTTTATTATTAGAAGTATTTAATGCATAAATACTTGGATGCTGCAGCACTTTTTGATCTGCAACTGACAAGGCAATCAACCTATGATGCACTCGTAATGTAAGGCCATATGGTCCTTATCAACCAATGTAAAGACATGGCTGAATGCGCTATAAGAGCAGTAAATGGGAAGGAGAAGTTCAGTGCTGTGAGCTTGTTGACAAAGAGGAAGTAAACGGCTTATCCAAGGCTTAAAGGTGTCTCCTTTCAGTTCTAGTTCTGGCTGTGAATTTTAGTGAAAGTATTAGCATTGATACAAATGTCCCAGACTAACAGAGTGAAAGGTGAAATTTGATATAGTAGATGTATGACGTTATAAATTCTTCTACTGAGCAACACTTTAATTAGGGATGTCCTGATACAATATTGATATTGGTCAGATATCAGCAAATCAACGTATCAGACTATATCGACCTGCATCTAAAATCTCCGATATCAGCACTTCGATACAAGCACTCCATTCCAGCCTCCGCTCAAGCACCTCTATCTAGCACGTCCAGATCCAGCATGCAGAGCCCACCTGATCACAAAGTAGCAAGGAGTGAAAAATATCGGATCAATATCAGTATCGGCCAATACTGAAGTTATAATATCGGTATCGCATTGGATGTAAAAGTTGCAGCGGGACACCCCTAACATTAATCCAAACTAAAGATCTGCAAGCAGTGAGAATCCAATCTCTGACTGTCAGTCTGATATTCACTGAAAATGACACTGTTGATTCACTGGGACTACAACAAAATTCTGTTGAATTTTTAGGGGACTACTACGTGGTATAAAATAAATACAACATGAGTAGGCTGTTGTTAAAATACAGCAACTGTGACAACAAGCACTCTTTCATTTACCCACTTAACGCAGCCGTTTTAATAGGATTGAATTCTTGATGACACAGTTTCACCAATCACATAAGCACAACTGACCTGAGGACCAGTTGTGCTTAAAAAAAAAAAAACAAACAAACTAAGCATTTGAGCCCAGACTGAGTTACAGTCTGGCCTCAATACAGGACTTTTAAATGGCTTAAACTCTCAAGTGGAATTTCAGGGGTGTCTGGATGTTGTACTGGTTTTCACTATAGCTCTTTAAGAGTTTCTTTGTTCTCTATCAAGCAGTTTTTCCATCAACCTCTCTGATCCTGTTCATCTTCAAGCAGCAACTCACATACTCACTCAGTCTGCAAAGAGATTTAGGGCTGAGACTTCGTAGTCTAAATCTCACACAGGAAGAGTTGGGTAGCTAAGAATAGCAAAGGTAGAGCTGAGATGCAGTGACCAAGGTGATCCTAGTACAGGGAAATGTTCCACTGACTTGACTTCAAGAGATTACAGCCCTAATGGGCTAAACAGCAGTAGTCCTTTCCACAGGAAGACACTTATTATGCACAACTAGTGCCTACAGCACACACTGTAATCACACTGTCATTGGCCTTATGTAAGAACACATCAATGGGAAATAAACATCTCTGCATTATAAATAATAATCCTAAACCAACAGCATTCTAATCAATTTTATCCTAGATTATGCTAGCTCAGGATGACCTTCGAGTCATCATGTATACAGTAAGTGCATACTAAAAGTAATAGCTAGACAAATACTTATTTAGTTAGTTTTGGAAAAGTAATGCTGTGCAGCAAAAGAGACCAGAGTACTTTAGAAGTAGATATACATATATAGGTTAAGTTCTTCTTTCGCAACAAGGTATGTAGAGGGAGTCATTATTAAAAAAAAAAACTTTCAGATTATCTGTGAAAAGAAAGTATTGAGTGTTTCCTCCTCACGCTTTTCTGAATTTCCTTGTGTATATTTCTTGCTTGATTTGAGCATTTACTCTGGTCAGTGAGAGCTGGTCATTAACCTAATTTTTGCAAAGGCCAAATGTGTGATAGGATTTGCTACAAACACATTCTCATGAGTTTTAACTTCAGATTACCAGTACCCTCATAACCCAATTCTTCGTGCAGTGAGTCCACCATAACTTAGCTGCTTACCATGGAAAAGGGGTTAAACTCTCACAGCATTTCGTTATTCGAATTAACTGGGTTGAGGGCAGTCCTGAAAACCTCCTGTTTCCTGAGTATTTTGATCTAAATACCTAATGTGTAATGTCAAATGCACTCAGACTCACACACGAGCATAAATCTATTTTGCATCTCCCCCTGTAGAGTCTGATGCCAACTACAACAAAAGACATTTGTATTTGGGTTTTGTGAATCAAATTGTGACACATGTCCCCTCCCGTAATCAGCTGGGGGTCTGCTGGTTCACATTAGTCTATGCTTGTTTTTTTCCTCAGCATGCTAAAGCCTGTTGTGCCTGTAGCCAACAGCAGTAGGCTAGTGTCTGCACGACTGTGGATTGAAATAAACACGATGGATAAAGCCATAAAAGCGCTGTTTGTTCCCTTTGTGACAACAGGCTGAGGGCTGAAACAAAGAGTGTTTTATCAATGTCAAAGGTGCGATGAGACATGACTAACACAGGAGGCAAACGGTATTAAGGCTCCCATCTGCCAGCCCTGCTCCAGACCAGACCGGTTCAATATGAAGAGATTTGTTTCTGATATAGAATCTCAAAATGTTTTTTTCAATTCACCGTCTGTTTGTTACTGTGAATTGGTTTAGAGGGGCATAGTTTAATAACTACAATCAGTGGTTCTTCGTCTGAGTTGCTGAAGAACAATAACTTTTCTTGAGCCAGTAAACATTTCTTGTAGATGATGATGTCTCTTGTAAGGTTCTAGTTGTAGTGATTTGTATGAAAAAAGGTTCTTAATTTTGGTGGACTAGATTGAATCAACAAACTTGTAAGTGGTCTGCAGTGACGCCACATAGCATTACTGATTTGAATTCAGAAAGTTCCAATCTACAGTGTTTGCCTCTTGAATGAGCATTAAGGATACTCGATTTAGCAGAGATAGTTAAGAAAAATGTTGATAAATGAGACTGAAATAGATACTAAATATGAGTAATCATGCAGGGTTATTGGTGGTAGCAAAATTATGAGAGCTCTACAGTTAGAGATCAAATTTAGAAGTTTCTCTTGCAAAGAACAACATTTCATGGGGGAAAAAAGAGGCATAAAAATTAGGGCCTGACCGACCTCATGACCTCATGACAATGTTCATCCACTAACTACCTCAGAGCACAGCAGAGTGACGGATCTGAAGCAGGCAGTTCTGGGACGCACAGAGGAGAGTGGTCCGCCTCAACGGTAAATAAACCAGTTTGTGAAATACACAACAAGTCAACAAGTTTCAGTTCAACTCACTTTACGATGTTCCCCACTGTGCTGGCCTCGGTCACACCAAGTTAACAGTGAAGCACTGTGTAATATGCAAGCTAAAATTAGAGTTAGCCATCTGCTATTAGCCTTGCTACACTGTTAGCCATGCCAGTAACGGTAGAATAAACAACAGTGAACATTACATGATCGAGCTACTTCTCTTACTGACGCAGCTGCATGTCTCCAGATGAAACCAGACCAGAAAAGTGTAACGTGAGTTAAGATGCGAAGGCAACGCTTTTCTGGTCCGATTTTGATCAGTCGGTCTTGCTGTCGGCGTAAAGAGCAGTAGCCTACAGTATATCTACAGTATTCTGTAGATATCTACAGTATATATTTTTTATAACTTCATAAAAAAAATTTTAAAAATCGGCCGATTAATCGGTAATTGAATTTTTTCCCCCCTAACAATCGGTATCAGCATCATCCCCAAAAAATCCATATCGGTCAGGCCCTAATAAAAATAATACCACATGACCGGAACAGCTTAAATACCTCAAAGTTAGAGCTTTTTTCATTATTCTTCACTGAGTATAGTTTGTATGCATTACATGTGCAGTAAATTTGTATTTTTATAGCCTTGATCATGGAAGACAGAGAACAGTTAATAAAAATAAAACATTTTTGTTTCAGCTAACTTCACTTCATCTTTGAGTTTTTTTGCAAGTTTCTTCGAAATCTAATAAACAGAAAAGAAACAAAAACACCCTTTGTCTTGGTTGAGCTGATTGATTCCATGAGATTAACTTGATAGATTGTTTGTATTGACGAAAACAATTTTCTAAGAAAAAGACCCATATAGAATCCCTCTGCCATTGGCTATATGTCTTTTAATGAGATCCAGCTAAGATGCCTTATCTCAATCCGTGCAAGTTGAAACAAAATGTCCCAGGCTGAGGGGAGGACAGAGCTGACAGTATGTCTACCATGTGTTTGTACATGTGCAACAGGGTGGGGTGCAGAGGCGAGGTAAGAAGAAGAGCTTTGGCAGACTCACCGGGGAAAGTTTTTGGATGAGATCGTGGGCCACATGCACCAAATTCTTATCTTCTTGCATGTGCTTCTGGAAACGCCGGCTCTCCTCCTCTTCTAATAGGTCAAAGTCATTGGCTGCATCAAGCAAGGCTTGAATGAGGCCTTTCCAGGATCGAAGTGCAGGGACCTGAGGCGCCACTGCGGAGCTCACCCCTGTTCCGATCACCAGGACAAGCTCAGGGGCTCGCTTTGTCTTTAAGCTTGGCAGGAGTTTCCTTTTGAGGTAAAAAGTGAATACATGAGCATGGTTATAGAGATTCAGTGTGAAACTACAGCCAGCCTTTTTTGCGCTGAAAAAAATTGGAACTAAACCAAACAAATGCTGATTTCATAAGCAGCCCTGATGAGTGAACGTGTGCATGTATTATAGACCTGCAGTGAGCTCTGCAGCAACTGAGCTTACCTGGGTTTTTTTGCATTTGAGTCTGCATCCTGAGAATCAGCTGCAGGTCGCTTCTCAGTTTTCACTGCAACAACGGAGGCCATTCAGCTCCTGTCGAAGAAACACGATCAACCACATGCGAACTCTGATGTTTAATTAAGCTTAAAATAAACAACATCAAATATAACCCTGTTGGAGGGTGTCATATTAAACGTTTGCCTCTCAGACGTCCCTAAAGAAGTGAAATAATTCAGATAATCATACACTATAAGATAAGATGTGATATGAACATGCATCATATAATCCCAGAGTGCTGCAGCATGTTTCAACCAGCAATGTCTTATCGTTTTGGGGAAATCCTCTCTGGCATCACACCTTGCTTGGTGATACACACTGTGTCACCAACACTGTGAGGCTATTTCCCCAGGTAACTGTCTCAGATAAAGGGAAGAGTGCTAGTTTTTGTCACACAGCTGTTTTCTCTGTTTTAAATGTTGTTACATAACCTGAGTATTTAAGTCAGTGCCCCACCTGCTGATAGTTAAAACAAATGCAGCAAATTAGCATTATTATCTAACTCTGTCTACGTTTCAATGCCCTTATTAAGATTGATTTCTGGAGATGGCAGCTACTTGCATTCACCCAAATGCACAAATTAAGCTTCGAAAGGTCAAGTAAATGTAAACATATGTTAACAGTACTTACCCAGATTTATGTAAATTAATGTCCAGTGTTTATCTATAATCCAATAGAAATCCTTTTGATCCGTAGACAATGAGAGATGATGTTGTATCAATGCGAACCACGTTAAACAGCCTTCAGAGTTTTAAGCTTAGAGTTTGGGTGAACGCTAACCGAGCAGTAACGCGAGAGTAAACAAGAACTGGATCAACAAACGATGACTGACTGACAAACAAACGTTTACTGACAACTGTCGTTCAGCTGACGTTGGTTTGGTGAAACGTTTTAAACTACGTTGTCCGTAACTGTCACTGTTACACCTACCATTCTGAGGTTACAGCTACAAAAACAAAAACATAATATATCTGCAGTAAACGCAGCTCTTCATAGAAAAGAGTCGCTTGATTTGTAGACGGTACTGTTATAAAACTTGAGTGCTCTTCCCTCTCTAGGCGACTTCTCTTCGCATTGTCCGTCTGTTTAACTTTTGCGGAGCTGCTGTTGAAGTCACCGCCTGCGGTGATGTGCGCCCGCTCTCGTGATGCCTTCAAGTGCTACAATAAAAACGGACATTAATCTCAATTGTTCAACGTGTCTATCTGTAAACTGAAGTGCAAATGCTAAACAGATTGATCATAAATGTAAGAGAAGATATAAGTATTTTGGAAACATAGCCCCCTGATATTGATAAAGAAGGATTTTAATGATGCCAAATGGGTTAAAATTTCAGAAGAGGAATATATTGTCTAAATGTAGTATTTCGTGCTCCACTATTGTACACCATATTTGTAACTTAAATTTGTACAGCGGAAAAAAGTACTCGTTCACAATTTCATGATAACGAAGCGAAAATTTACGACAAACACTTGAAGGCAGCAACAGCCTTCTGACGTCAACAACGACTTATGAGCTAGTGATGGGCACGGCAGTTCTTTTAGATGTACTGAATCACTAGAATCACTTCACTAAAAAGATTCGTTCATCGAATTACCGAATCATTCAGTGCTTGGCGGGAGGAGCCTGTGACTCTGACCTCCTAAACTGAACGGTTCAGGATTCAGTTCAGTTCAGAGCTTCTGGGACTGGGAGACAAGAGTGTTTGGATGTGTTGCTTTGGCAAACAGGTTTGTAAAAATTAACTTGTTAATAAGTCATGATGTTTTAAGTGTACTGTCCTATAGTATGCTATTTATCAAGTGCGCTCGGTAAATTGGGGTCAGTGAGTGATTCGTTCACTGGATGTTTCGAAGAATTCACTCTGAACATGCATCATTCCCTCGCAACCCGCTGCAATGATAGGATGCTGCAGGTTTTATGCACTACTTGTTACATGCTGTGTCCTATTGTATGCAAGTTGTTGTGGTGGCAATTTAGCAGTAAAAATTTTAAAAAGTTAATTTTGTCCCACAAAAAATGATTTCAGAGGGTTTAGTTCAATGTGTGATTCCTTTACCAAGTGATTCAGGTGTCAGTGCATCTGATCCCTCGTTCACCGGCTGCATGCCTGGCAATGCTGCATGCTATAGCATCTGCCCTGCTGACAGCTCAACTTAAGTGAGAAACGAACGAATCACTTGAGGAAGTGATTCGGTTCAGTACTTCACGTAAAAGATTCGGTTCTTTTTAACGAATCGTTCGCGAACGACACAACACTATTAGGCGCTAATAAACTGACAACAATGTATAGCGAGCATGTTTGCTGCATTTTACAGTTATCCACTGACTGTCCCTAGTTAAGAAAAGCCTGCAGACTGACTGTTTCGACGTCTTTTTTTATTTTTTTTACTTTGTTATGTAGCATCACTGATCAGCGGAATCTGTTATGTAATACTCGGAAATCAACCAGTGTTCCAGTGTGCCCACAGTTTTCAATAATATGATTCATGTGGGTGATAAAACATTTATAAAAAAACCCAAACTATACGTACAGCCTATAGTAAAAAGACCCTCATTCTTCATTTGAAAGCCAAAACTTCCAAATATGAGAATCACACTAAAATTATATTTTCAAAACAAAACGTTGCTCTCATCCTGCAGACATGAATTGATCCTGACTAATCCACAAGCAAATCTCTCTCCTCCGGACAGAGTGTGTCCCCTACATGCTTTCTTTCTCCTAAAACGTATGCTAAATAGGAACACGTCAGCGCATACTGCTTCAGCAAAGCAATCATTCTGCCATCTGCTGTATCAAATGAAAATTACACTTGTGAAGTATCAAGGGTAAAAGTCACATGCAGGAAGTTACAGCAGTGTGCTCACCTAACACTGTTGTAACTTCCTGCATGTGCTTTATCACAGTGAGAAATATCATGTGGCTGTGGGCCCCTTGTATGGAAATAAATCTGTGCAATCTGATTTTGAATTTGTAAAGCTGAACATTTTTTTGCATCAAAATCAGACTTTGAATTTCAAAACATCGTATTTCAAACATGCATTTTTATTTCAATTTTTTTTCACAATGATGAAATAAATTCAGTGTAAAAAAAAGGGGGGGGGGGGGTCTCAAAAATATTTGTTTAGTAAACATTCAACATAAAAACACTAAAACAAATTCCACTTAAAAATAAAAATTCAGTGTCAAATACTTAAGCGTAAAAAAACCCAGTGTAAAAGAGACCGACTCAACATCCTGGTAACCAGGGAGAAGCAATCGATTTCTGGCTCAATCATTCATCATCCTGCCAATAAATTAATGCTAGATTGGTCATGTGGCATAGACCCCAGTGGAAGATTGAATCCAATCGATTGCTTCTCCCTGGTTACCTGCATGTTGAGTCAGTCTCTTTTACACTGAATTATTTCACACTAAATGTTTTTTTTTATGTTGAATTTTTTTAACACAGTTTTTTCAAGTCAAATTTTCACTAAACAAATATTTTGAGGGACCAATTTTTTTACACTGAATTTATTTCATCATTATAAAATAAAAAAAAATAATGTCAGAAATCAAAATGCATGCTTGAAATTCGATGGTTCGGAAATTCAGTCTGATTTTGAGGCAAAAAATTTTAGAAATTCAAGCTTCATTCAAGCAAATTCTAGCTTTAGAAATTCAAATTCAAAATCAGATTGCACAGATTTACTTCCATACACTTCATCAGCTACTAGCTCTCATTGGTGGTTGATAGATATGACTTCAAAATACAAAATCTTCAAAATACAATGTGTATTTTGATTTAGTTGATCAGAGTTGCACCTGACTTAAAATCCTTCCTCATCCCAATTCATAGTAAAGACAGTATCGATAAGTAAGACATGTTCACATATTTTAACATTTGTTTAAGCAGCTATCACTTACATCTGTACCCTGAAACACAGTCTAATTTCACTCTACCTCTCAAACTGACTGTAGGCTTACATTAAACAAGTGTACACAGTACAATGTATGCTTAGATTCACCAAGAAGCCCACCCATTTATTTGAGAAGAAAACCAAAGTAACAATCCAGTTTAAAATAACTTCCTCATATTGAAAAAAAAAAAAAAAAAACAGCAACATAATTTATAGGAGTGAAATGATCCACACATTTTTACATGGTGAGCATGAGTGTTATTTTTACAGTGCAATAAATATCATGTTTAGGCCTTTAAAACGGCAGCCCACATTATATAATGGAAGTCAGTATTCAAAAGAATTTAAATAGATGACTCAATCAATGGTCACATTATCAATCTTTACATATCAATCAATGTATTGAAATACACAATCAAGTAATATAAGGCATACTAATCCAATCTTTAACATGAAAAAAAATCCTTCCAAATGTTTTCATTCATTATCATCAAGATTAAAAATATTGCACCTTTAAGATTTCATGTTCCCCCAATCAAAAGGCTACTTGTTAATTTTAGAACAGGAGAAAAGGCAGACTGGTTAAATTTGAGGAGTTAAACTGATGCTCCCTCACAAATGATTTTGAATCCATGGTTTATTTGAAAGAATTGTTTTACGTTATAACAGGTTACTTTAATGTCAAAAATCTAACCTAAAGCCCTTTAAGATGAAAAACTGAAACAAAGCAAGTTTCTTGCTTTATAGCTTACTACACTCTATTGGAAATGCAACAAATGTTTTATGCACTACAACATGAACGTAAAAAAATATATATTGTGATGCACAACACAGGCTTCAGATTTAAGGCTAGTAGCTATGTTTAACAGTTGCAATATAGCATTATGAATATATTGCATTAAAAGAAGTGGCTTTGATTCTAATGATAATGAAACTGCAGGTTTTTAAGGTACAGCAATACTGAAGTGATGACAGATTTTTGCAGATCTTATGTCTCATGACGGATTTTTTTTTTTTTGCAACTGACAATTCATGTACTTTAAAGGGCGTCATAATTAAACATGGCTTTGACAGGATTAGCATAGGTCTTGTCAGAACTGAGCTCTACAGTGTAAAACAGTATTTTCCTCTTCTTTTTTGAACCCTTCATAGAGACTGACAGTCTATGGAGAGTTAAAGATAGAACAGTTAGAAGAACTTGTCGTTAGAGTTAATCATTGCATCTTTATACAGAGATTGAGCCTTCTCTAAAGTTGGTCTTTCCGATGAGAACATTGAGGAGTACAGCCTTGCCCTCATGGCTTTCCCTTTGAGCCTCCCTGATGATGTCACTGATCCTGTCCTCGTCCTCACGCCCTACAAGGTAGCCCTTACCACCATAACCATCTGCCACTACATGATAATCTGTGGAGAGAAAATAAAGTAGTGATCAGCAAGTTGGTGAGTGCAAAGACATTATTCTGATAATTATGTTCATATTCACAGTTTGGGATATAACCAATACACACACTATCAGCTATGACAACATTTAAACAACAGCTTTAATGGAAAATGTACCTGTAAATGCAAGGCCACACGCAACGTTGCTGCCCAGTATGGGAACCTGCTCTCTGGATATCTGACTCCAACATGCATCATTCCCCACCACAGCTATGACTGGTGTCTGTAAAAAACATTAAAAACAAACTGTAAAACCTAGTTTATATATAATCTTACAAAGAACAACACTGCACAGAGCAATGAGGGCATATGTTGACTGTCTCTGATCAGCATCTAACCCCAACTCCGATTCATATATACTGCTTATGTCAAGTAAATGCTAAAATAACAGATTTTACCTTATGTCTGGTGAATGTGTCAAACTCTGCAACACTGTATCCCAAGGAACCATCACCATACACTATCCACACCTAAAAAGTAAATAAAAAGCATTTTATTTATCAAGGATAAACCGTAACCATTGAATAAACAGACAAAGCTGTTTTAGAGCTCAATAAGTCACCTCAGAATCAGGCCGGCACAGTTTTGCTCCAAGTGCAAATCCTCCTCCTACCCCCAAGGTCCCAAATGCACCTGGGCACAAAGAACAAGTCTTTTCAAGTCATTGACACATAACATTTTACCTCCTAATACACTGCTGTTGACCAGCCTCCTAAATATATGAGATGAACTCGCATCAGTTACCTTCAGATTTAAAACTTGCTAAAACATCCATAATTTTACTCACAGCAGTTCTTCATAAACCAGTTGTTGTTTGGCCTATGATGTCTTACCTGGATCTAGCCAACGCAAAGGTCCTCTTGGTCTCATTATGTAAGCAGCACTACCAACAAAATCTCCACCATCTGCAACAATGATGCTGTCCTCTGCCATCAGCTCATCCACACGATGGAGGACTTTCAAGGGATTCAAGTGGTGTTCGGTCTTCTCATCAGCTTTGGCCCTGGAATAAAAATGTTCCAGTTTATGTAACAGTGACTTAATAATTTCATAACAGAGTTGCACTTGCATTGATAAATCTGTTTTTTCTTTGCTTTTTTTTTTTACTGAAGATGGAACTTTGATGGAAGTATTTTTTTTTTTTTGCTTTCATAACATTGATGGTTTTCGACGCCTGTTGACAAACATAAAATAAGTATCAGCAACCATGACTTTCTGCTTACCTGTTTGTATTTTCTTTGGTAATGTCTCCTTCTTTGAGGCTCTGAGGCCACTCCTCTGGGCAGCGATGGCCCTTCAAGCCTTTGGAAAGTCTCATCAAGAATGAACCAGCATCGCCTGAAACAGACGCACACTTTAAATTCTGACTGATGTATGTATTTAACATACTGGGACACTAATTAGTAATAAAATTAACGGCTACAAAATACAAAAACAAAAATGCCACAGACATTGTATATTGATCATTCTGTAATCCCAAACTGTATGGAGCCATCCTGTAGGGAGCATTAAGCTGGTCCTGAAACAGACTGAATTTAAAACTGATGCCTTTTTTTAAGAGCTACCAAAGTAAACAAGACAGTCAACTTGACTGTCTTTTTCTGACTTATTCCATATTGTTATCTTTGACGCCTAAAACTGTTGCGGCTGTTGATCTGTTTAACAACTCATTGAAGAAACAGCTTTTCTTATAATTCTTAAATTTACCATAGCAAAGACTCTTGTTAGGTGATATGTTTGATTGTAAAAAGAAAAAAGAAATAACTGTCACATGTACAGGAAAAGATAAAAAAAAACACTATTCTTCTGAGGGGTGTGCCAAAATTAACAATGACAGGAGATCCTAACAGGAGCTTTAACTGCTAAATCGCTAAAGATCTAAATGACACCTTATGCTCTTTGTGCGACGGTCCGACGTGACGGCATCCTCATAACATACCCTGAATTGCTATTGTCGGTTTCCAAAACATATCCGAATTTTTCAGCAGCTGTGTTTTATCTCTGTTGACCGCAATGATTTTACTGCGTCTGTTGAGAACTCTGCCATAGCTCAGCCGAAAGTCACACACAGTGCCTGCAGACAAAAAAATATATACATTGTTACAATTTATCTAGACAGCCACATATCCTAAGGTTGGGCCTGCCAACTTGCAAATTTGGTATTAGCAATAACTTGTTTTTTAAAATCAAAATCTAGATTTGGTTTAAAGATTTTCAAATGAACTGAATTCTCTATATATTTTTAAATCAATTATGAAATCAATCATTGAATCATCAAACCAGCAAATGCATCAGTTTAACTGTAAATCCATATGTCTGACCTGCTAAGAGCACCAAGTCTGCCTCCTTTAGAGCATCTCGCCTGTTTTGTCTGATGTGAATTGGACTGTCTTTACCCAGCATGCCGCGGGACATGCCGCCAAGGAAGCAGGGAATGCCCAGGTCCTCCAATGCCCTCCTAAACTCAAGAAAATATTTTGACCAGATAAGCATCACAACGTTGAATATCAAAATAGTATTTCTTTTAACTTCTTACATTTAGTGGCGGTAAACTGCATTACAAAACCTAAAGGTACAGCACAGAAAAGGTTAGAAAAAACAGGACATGACATGTTTTCCTTTACCTGATGTCATCCACAGGCGTTGGGGGTAAGGTTGCTTGGCTGCCCAGCAGGATAACAGGCTTCTTTGCTCGACTTACCAGCTCAATGCACTTTTGCACCTAATTTTAATTTTAGAGAAATAAAGCGGTAAAATATTTGAAATTCTGTTATAGTCATTGTTGACTGTAATTCCTGACAAAGACAGGCTGTATCGTACTTGGCTAAAAAGTGTGAATGCCTGAATAACATAAAACCTTAAAACTAAGAGTTGCCCTACCTGATCATCTGTAGCTTGTGGGATGTCTACAGGGAGTGGTGACACATCTCTGGTCTCCCAGGCTCCAGCATATAGATTCATGAGGTGGTTATTGAGGTACCTTGCAAGAAATCAGAACACTGCATTGCTGTATTTTTGCTCTTGTACGGAAAAAAAGAATCACATTGAGAGGAAAGGCACAAAACTTCCAGCTTTTGTATAAATGTACCTGTCAAATTTGAACAAAAGCTCAAAGATTTCTATACATCACATTTTTAGACTTCTAAGAAACCACCGTTTTTTTTTTCATCTCCCAACGTATTGATTCTCTTACAATTATTAAGTTGTTTGTTAAACTTGTAAAAATGGTTTTTACCTACCATGTAACAATTTTTCCCATCAGACCTTTTGGGGGGTTCTTGACACCAAACTCTTTGGACACAAGATGGAAGGGGTACAGCGTGTCGATGGGAAACTCAATGAAAACAGGACCAGGAGTTCCGGACTGGGCAATGGCCAGGGCTTTTCTGACAGTAGGTACGATCTCCCTGACAGTCCTGATGGAGGCACAGAACTTGCACAGGGGTTTGAAGAGAGACATTTGATCAATGTCTTGCAAAGCTCCTCTACCCTGTGACATAAAAAGTTAATGGGGAAAACAGACGTTAAAGATACAACAATTGAAGATGAAATACAACACATCAAAACATCTACAACATACTGTCAGCACTAAAACCAAATGCTACTAACAATTTTGCGATGCAGTTAAAATCCGCCAGCACATTCACATCTTATTTGCATTGGTGTTTAAAACAAACTTGAACACATAACTATTTAAATCAAGTGCACCTGAAGTAATGTTCCAGCAGCTCCCCCCATAAGCAGCAAAGGAGATTCAGCCATCTGAGCGTTCTTCACTGCCGTCACTGTGTTAGTAAGGCCAGGGCCAGCAGTCACTGCCGCCACACCAACTGTTCCTGGTAGGGGAAAAAATCATGTCAGCAATCAGTCCTTCAAATCACCACAAATGATGAATATGTTTACACTAAAATATAATCCAGCCCCAAGATATACAGTAAGTAACTGTTTATGCCAAAACAAACCACCAACAACTGAAAAGCCGTAAACCAAGACACAGTTTAACGGAGCAACAGCAAACCCAAATCTTTTATTCTCTATAGCTGCTGTTAACATAATACAGGCTACAAAAAAAAGAATTATGCATTTAAAGGGGTAGTCTGGCGTAAAATTGTTTTAGGGTCAAACACACTGTAACACAGAGTTAGACACCCCGTCGAGAGATGGATGTTGCCGACTGCTTGCTTCTCTAGTTATACCAACTTCAGTGACGACCGCACGATAGCAATACACAGCGGTCTGAGGAGCCATAAACAAAACTCAACCAAAAAGCCACTCTATAGGCACAAATAATGCTCAGAACAGCACCTAACTTCATCTACAGTACATATAGAGTCCCGGTCATAGCACTAGCCACCAAACATCTTTTTAACTTTGTCCAATTTTTTTAGCAAAGAGACTAAACACAACTCATCTACTCTCTTCCAGCAGCCACTTGTTTGTTGTGAGACTTCAGGCCAGTCCATTATGGACTGCAGCGGGTGACGCATCTCAAGGAGGAACATTTATGATCATGTATTTATCATTTCCTTGAAGTAATAATCACCATATTAATCATTTTACACTGCAGATGCAGTAGTTCTTCTGCCTTAGCATCTCAGTCTGATTGCATTTCCATGAAGAAATGATTATAAATGTTCTTCCTTGAGCTGCGTCACCCCGTTGCAGTCCGTAATGAACTGGCCTGAGGTCTCCCTACAAACAAGTGGGTGCTGGAAGAGAGTAGGTGAGTTGTTTTTAGTCTCTTTGCTAAAGAAATTAGGCAAAGCTAAAAACTTGTTTGGTGGCTAGTGCTATGACTGGGACCTTATATGTACTGTTAATGAAGTTAGGTGCTGTTCTGAGTATTATTTGTAGCTATAGAGTGGGGTTTTGGTTGAGGTTTGTTTGTGGCTCCTCAGACCGCTGTGTATTGCTATCGTGTGGTCATTACTAAAGTTGGTATAACTAGAGAAGCAAGCAGTTGGCAACATTCATCTCTCGAGGGGGTGTCTAACTCTGTGTTATGGTGGTGAGCTAATTTTAAGCTGGAATATCTCTTTTGTGTACTTTCGGAAATAATACACACCTGAGAGTCTTGCCACAGCATCAGCAGCAAAGACAGCAGTAGCCTCATGTCTAGTGTCCACAATACGGATGCCCAATTTCTCACATGCAACCAGAATAGGAGAGATGTGTCCACCAACAAGGGTGAAAACGTACTTGACCCCATGGGCGCGGAGGACCTCTGCCACACTCTCACCACCATGGCGAGGGCTCTTGGTCTCAGTCTGAAGTGAGTCAGAGAAGAAGAAAAAAGATGGGTGATATATAAAAGTGTAGATGAGTAATTCTTGCTGATTAAGACTTTCAACTGAATATATAATGATTAAATCTTGAAACAAGTCCAGCTACAGATAACTATCAGTGTCAGTTGATGGCCCCTCTAAAGGTCACCTGTGTCCCACTATCTCTTTACACAGCTGGCCTTTCATATTTCACAATAACAGTTTATATTGTCCTGGCCAACAGTGAGGATGAGCCTCATGGCTTTGTGCAATCCCACTGACAGCCTGGGTGTTGTGATAGCCTTTGTACTGGAAAACCACAGGGCTGGTCAAAGTTTACATGAATGGTGTGTCCTACTATGAGTTGCCACAGAGCACTGATGATGAAGCTCTATGCTATGACTGATATGTAAGGCTGCTTATAATAAATGCATGTGAAAAAAATAACACAAAATTTAGAGTTTTTTTAAGCCATGATAAAAATATGATCACCTACCTTGTGAAACAACTGGTAGAGTAAACCCAGTTTGTAGGCAGCAAACACCAGTCCAGCTACCACAATGCCCGCAAGAGCACCAACCACTCCACATGACTCCATGTTGGGATATATGCAAATATTTACAGATATAGACTGAACTTGATAACCTCAGTGAAGTTACAATCCAAATCGACTGTCAGCTGATTCAATTCAGTAGCTCAGTTCGGCTATGCTAAAATGCAGAGTTGCTCCTGACACCGTTACAATCTCATCTCAAAACAAGTATCTCTATTCGTGCATTTAATGTTCCGTTTACTAATCTAAAGTTCCTGACCAAAGGTTGTGCATGGCATGAAGTCGACTCTTCCACAACTTACACTGACCGAATGCTTCTTCCGTAGTTGCTGTGCCGACACAGGGACAACAGAGAGATGTGTTTACAAGTCAAGGCAAATAGCAGTTCATTATGAACATCCGGTTATAATTTTCAAAATAAAAGCACGTTAAAACAAAACCCACATGTGAAACCATTTTATTTATTGCATCAAGCCACAATTATATGCATATACATATTCATTGGTGGAATTACCATAATATAAATATGGTGGCCGAGAACTGCCATAGCTGCAAATAAAAAGAATGCAAAAAAAAAAAAAGCCACAACAGAAGTTAATGACGCAAAAAAAAAAAAAAAGTGGTGATGATATTAAAAAGAAGAAGAAGAAGAAGAAGAAGAAGAAGAAGAAGAAGAAGAAGAAGAGGCTTACAGTGAAAGTAAAATGATGCAAAAAATAAATAAAATATTTTTTTTAAAAAGCCACAATGGAAGTGAGCTAGCTTTCCAATAACTTCTTTGCTCGTCTTCTCGACGTTACCTTCTGTGCTTAGATCATAAAACACTGGTTCATCATCATTATTGGTCCCCAGCAGCTCACTTCCGTTGTGGCTTTTTATTATTTGCATCCTTTTGCATTTTTTTTTTTTTTTTTTTTTTTTGTGGCTCTTTTTTTCTTTAAATCTACACCGTTTCTTTTTCTTTTTGCAGCGGGCTTCAATTTCTTTTTTTTTTCATCAGTAACTTCTGTTTGGGCCTTTTTTTTTTTTTTTTTTTTTGCATTCCTTTTCTATTTGCAGCAGTGGCGATTCTCGGCCACCATACATAAATATCAACCGGCGACAACATAAGCTTCTTCCCATTGCCTACCGGTCTACAACATTTATCTTTTAATTTGAAAGAAAAACGAACCCTATTCCGGTTTCCCGTCCCTGTTTCTGGTCACTTGATCTGTGAAGTCTGACGTGTGTCTAACGTGATGAAACGTAAGCTCCAACGAGAAGGACATGCCTCTGGCCCAATGAGGAGCCCGAATAGGCGTATCGTGTTTTCAAGGTTGCAAACGTCCCAATTAGAGCAAAGTTCATACTGAAGCACAAGAGACATTATTGAATTGTTCTTTGCTATGCTCAATACAAGGCAACAACAAAAGCTGCAAGATGGGAAATTATAAAACAAATGATCTATATGCTTCTTTAGAATAGCAATAAAGTACACTGTATTTAGTATAACAATCATTAAAATAATTGATTCTAGCTGTTGGTTTGAATGAGATGTTTACTTGATTTTACAGATGTTGCCCACAAGATGTTGCTGTATTCTTCAGAGCAGAGAGCAAAAGGGGAGTTTGTAAACATCAATTGTCTTTCCATGTTCTGGGTTTTCAGCAAACAGTATTTTGATGTCTGCCTTTTGCTCCTCAAAAACAATAACCTGGAAAAAAAAAAGTTTACCAACAATTGTCAGGAAAAAATACATTAAAGGTTGATTTTAAAGGAAAAAAATAACTAATGTCTTTGTAGTAGAACATCAATGTTTGTACCTGGTTCTCCCCACTTCTGAGCCAAGGCCCTGGGAGATAAAGATAATGTTGGGGACCAATGAACCAATAGCGCCCAAGGTTCTGTCCATTGACAAACACAGCTCCTTTACCCCAGCCCTGCAAAAAGACAAACTGGCATAAGCAGCAAAACCAAAATGTGCATAGGGTGTCAACTATTCATATCAATGTTATATTAAACATGTATTTGTGTGGTTTATATCTAGCATAAAAGGTATAATAGAGCAGCATTAGAACATTTCTGCACTTTTACAAATGCAGTTTTCATTATACAATGACTTTCCTGCTTACAGGAAGGCTGATGAAGGTGTCTCTAGGAGGTCCATCAACATGCAGTATGGCCAGGAAAAATCCTGGGGTAGAGGATGACCTGAAGTCAGACTTCCACTGACTTGAATTCATCAGTCTAAAATAGAAAAAAAACAAAGAAGAAAAAGAAAAAAAAAACTGTGATTGTCAAATTTGCAAAATTCAATTTACAATAATTCCTCAATGATCATGTTAATTTGCTCATGAAAGCCCTAACTGCATTTAAATGATACCCTCTCTTAGGTGCAGCCATGCAATGCAATAAACCTGGCTTTATTTTACTGTAAATAAGGCCAGTAGTCAGAGATCCACCCAACTCACTCACATGGGTTCATATTTGCATGGTGCATCATTAAGTCCCTGTTTCTAAGCTGTATTCCAGTTGAATCAGCCCTTGTAATTCACATAAATATACATGCGTCTTTAAAAAGTCTATTGATCGGGTATTCTTTGCAAATATAATAAATAAACAAAGTTAACCAACCTCCTTATAAACCCTGGCTTCATGTCCAAACAGAAGATGTTGAATCCTTTCAGAGTAGTTTGATTCAACAGAATATCTCCCACAATACCTGTTTGTCAGTATAAGGCAAAAATATCAGTGCAGACATACTGAAATAGTCATGTGAATGTGTACTAAAAATCAAACCAGATACAAACTGTGTAAGGTTAATATCTCAGGTGTGATATTGCTTTAGTGGGGTATGTCACAAAGCAGAGGAAAAATGGGACAGTATGTATTAAAAAATGTGAAAATAATCTGGTTTAATGGTTTAATTCAGGCCTGGAAACAATTAGTTTATAATGGTTTTAATTCACAATTGGATATAATGTAAATTCAGATGAGTTATTTGGGAAAAAATGGTTCTGTCATAGCACAGAACAATAAACGTAAAACACCTTTGCGTTGTTCATCCAGAGCTTTTCCATAATTCACTCTGCCACAGTTCTCCACAAGTAAGCTCAATGTCCTTTCTCCCTTGGACACAAATAAGTGCAACATTGGGATATCAGTCGATTTATGAAATGATAATGACGGAATAGAAATAGAAATATTCCTGTGATCATTTTTGGCTTTTTTGACATTTTAACTTTGCTGGTAATTAGACATCATCTAGAATTAATGACATGGGGGTAAGCAGCTCTGTCGCTAAATCTAAGTATAAGAAGTGAAAGGGCTATAGAGATGATATGTGTGTAAGACACAACGGTAAAAATAGCCTTTAAACAAACTCAGTACCTTGCCTTCAGGAAGCACCAGCTCATGAGTCCTGTAGTCCAAACATCCAACATATTGTCTGTCTACAAATACCTTAAGGATATGACAAACACAATGAAAGATAAGTAGAAAATGTTGTGTAACTTCACAACATTGAGTGATTTGGTAGTCCTATCATGTGTTTGTCTTTGTTTCATCCTATATTTCCTCACCAGTGCTCTATCTCTGATGTTGTTCCCGGAGTGAAGAGTTTCTCCATGGACGACGGTGGTTTCATACAGTGTGTAACCATATGACTGACCATTGTTGTTGTTGACAGGGAGATTCTCCATGTTCACGGGCCTGTCTGACCTGTATGGCTGGATGAATAGCATATATACTGACATTACTGACATCTTAATTTCATACACAAAACTTCAAGAATGCAGACCTTTGAAGACAGTTGAACGAAATTGATTACATTGCAATTTTGCAAGGAGTGCATCCTTTTCTGCAAAATTAACAGTTTTGAGTTCCGTGATTGGATTCATGTAAACATGGCTGGATTCTCACAAATAAGAATTTAAAATACAGAAACTTACTTAAATTAAAACAGCCAATCAAAAGCAGATGCTTTAACAATTTGATATATGACTTAGCCCAACTATAAGGTGAGATTGACGAAAGATGTTTTTGTTTTTTTTCCAAGCAAACAAAGTTACACATTATGTCTTTATTCTGTGGGGCCCTTTTGTATTTATCTGACATTATATCAAGTTAGTGTAGATTCCTCAGATTTTACTCTATTCAGAAGGTGTTTGTCATCTGTAGCTCACCTTGTCGGCAAACAGCAGGCTGTCCCATAGTGAGAGGTGCTGCTGGATGAGGACTGTGTCGTATGCTCTCCTCTCAGTGGGAGGGGGCACTTCAGGAAGACGCTCAGCTGCAACACAAGAATACAAAAATATACATATATAATAATGTTAACTACAACAGACTTGATTATTTACAGTTTCTTATGCAATTTGTAATATAATTTTAAGGTGGTCTTTACAATGGTACTGGCTGAATAGGTTTCTTAAAAGATGATATTTTGGGGTGCAGTCTCCTGCCTCAGATAGAGGAGCATCATAATCTGGAAGAAAAACATCAGAATAATGGTTATGAAGTTAGGCCTTAATAAAGGATTCAAAAAATCTTTGTTTCCTTTCAAAGTTCTGGGGTTATTTATACTCACCATAACTGGTGACCTGAGGTTTGTAGGTACCTAAGTCTATTGCTCCACTCATGAAGCCAAAGCTGGTTCCTCCATGGAACATGTACAGATTAATGGAGACACCTCTCTCCAGGATCTCTGACACAACAGCTACCATGTCTGTAAACCACAACAAGGGATGATATAATACTCAAAGTGAACTCTAAATCCACATTAGAAGCTGTTGAGTACAGCAGCAATACTTAACCTCTTAAGTTAAACTATGTCCTTTAAAAGTACTTGAACCAAACAACTACAAAGTGGCCAAAAATTCTTACCCTCAGCATGAAAGACACGATGATGTTCTCCCCAGACATCAAACCACCCAGACCAGTACTCCATCACCATCAGGGGTTTCTGAGGCTACACAAAAACACAGAAGAAATTCCTGTCTAGTGGGAATAAAAACCTTTGTTGGTCCCTTTACAATCGATTCTGATATTTTCACTGTATTTTTGTTTGTGATGTATATGGACTTTATGTGGTTTTGTGGGGGAGAACTCTTAAATCTAGACTGGAATAAACTTCAAAACTCAAAAATCCACCATTTTGACACTACATTGGGTTTTTGGCAATTTTTTAACAAAATACATCAACGCAATAGATCGAGCCTATGACAGAGCCTTGATCCTGACATAAGTAAAAAGCAAAAGCCACATTACATTTACCTACCTGCATGTCAGCCAAGTGGTGGATGGCTCCAAATGACAGTCTCTGAAGGTTAATTGTCTTTAGTACTAAAATGGGTAAGATCCAGAGCAAATCAAGCACAAAACCAAACAATTAACAGTGTCATTCAAACGCAGTAAATAGATAAGTTTCTATAGAGTTATATTCATTACCTCCCTCAGTACCTCCATATCTCAAGCCTTCCCAGTTGTCTGAAGTCAGCAAGAGCTCCTTGATTCCTCTAGACTCAAGACACTGCAGCAAGTGAAAAAACAATCACTTTTGCACGGCACACTTAACTTACTTTATTAAAATAAATTTTAAAGGATTCTGTCAGACCTAACGTTTGCGAAACAATTGAACACTCACATTCTTTACAAATGGCATGTATTCATCATCTTTGGCATAAGATCCATACTCGTTCTCAACTTGAACTGCAATGATTGGGCCTCCGTTTTCAAACTGTGTCAAACAATAAGAGAAAATAAATGCTTGCCTCACTGATAGTGTTAAAAAGTTTTTGATGGAGGTGTAAAAAATAAGATCACCATCAGGGGTTTGACAACTGGGATGAGCTTGTCAAAGTACAGGTTGACAGCATCTACAAATCCAGGATAAGTTGTCCTCAGCTGCATGTCTTTGTCTCGCAATAACCAGCTGTGAGAACATGTTTACAGTTTAGGTGGTTTTGTATGGTGCTTCTACAAGGTCTTAATATAAAGCCCATGGCAGTTAGAGTTACCTGGGCAGCCCACCCAAATCCCATTCAGCACAGATGTAGGGTCCAGGGCGCAGGATCACCCACAGACCCAGATCTGCTGCCAAAGTGACATAAGCCCTGGAAATGGAAGAAAACCTTATTTGTTCAAGAAACCACTCTGATTGTATTACAGACTTGTTAAACATTTTCAAGAAAGAAAAGGGACATAGAAATCTAACTTGAGGTCCAACTGATCCTGGAAGTTGAATAATCCTCTCTCAGGCTCATGCAGATTCCATGGGACAAATCTAGAGAGCCACAAGGCAATTATTTTTAATGCTTAAGAAATAGTGGCACAAAAAAATCCTGACAATTCATAAGATGAACAACTTTATGAGATGGCAAGCTTTTTGATTTATTATTAACTGGAAACAATGAAGAACAATGAAGTCGAGCTGAGCTGGGAACTTACGTTGTGAGGGTATTTAAGCCACAGGCCCTCATCTTCAGCAGGCGGTCCTCCCAATAGGCTCTGGGGACACGAAAGTAATGGATAGAGCCCCCCTGGATGCGAAATGGCTGTCCTTCCAGAGTAAAGTGAGAGGAGTTAGCCCTGAGACCCTCTGAACCGCTCATTCTTCTAAGTCCAGGATGATGTCTGGTGGAAAAGAAACTGTTCAAAATCCCCTGAGCAGATTTTAAAAGTAGGATAAAAAAACAAAAAGGCCTATCTAATGATAATAATAATAATAATAATAATAATAATAATAATAATAATAATAATAATAATAATAATAATAATAATAATAATAATAATAATTACCAAGACTAACCAAAAACTCACAAATTAAAAACTAATGAAATCTAATAAAAGATTAAAAGCAGAGCCAAGAGAGCTGTATGTTGATGCTGAGCTTGCCAAGAAAAAATTGAAGGGTGGGTGGAGCTGCAAGGCCTCAGACTCTTTGTATAAGAGAAACTATTGTTGTTCCAGAACAAAAATCTAACAGTGTTGTTTTTGTCCCCCTCCCTTTCCCTTTGCAGTTCACGGTGTGAGGAGAGAGATAAGCTCTCATACTGACTTTTACTTATCTACATTTAATTGCAGTCAACAAACAATGAAATGTGTGTTTCAATGACCTAATCTGCCCTTTGCACAAGGGGACAAAGGTCGGATAAAAAAATATTTCCATTAGATAAATAACATTCCTGATTTCTTTTTTAAAGGAAATTATTTTACCTATTGGCAAAGGAACAAGAGCTTTGTCCCATTTTTGCTCTTTCTTTTAGCAATGTAACTTTGAGACGGTCCCTACGTATCCTGTTTTGGTGATGGGTACGGCAGTTCTTTTAGATGTACCGAATCACTAGAATCAGTTCACTAAAAAGAGTCGTTCAAAAGATTCGTTCATTGAATCACCGAATTATTCAGTGCTTGGTGGCAGAAGCCTGTGACTCCGACTTCCTGAACTGATACACAGCTGAACGGTTCAGGATTCAGTTCAATTCATAGCTTCTGGGACTGGGAGACAAGAGTGTTTGGATGTGTTGCTTTGGCAAACAGGTTTGTAAAAATGAACTTGTTTATAAGTCATGATGACATTTAATGTACTGTCCTATGGTCTGCTATTTATCAGGTCTGCTCGGTAAATTGGGCTCAGTGAGTGATACGTTCACTGAACGTTTTAAAGAATTCACACTGAACATGCACAGTTCCGCTGCAATGACAGGATGCTGTGGGTTTTATCTAGTACTTGTTGTGGTGTCAATTTTGCAGTAAGAAGTGAAAAAAGTTAGTTTTGTGCTACAAAAATGATTCCAGAGGGTGTAGTTCAATGCGTGATTCGTTTACCAAGTGATTCGAACGTCAGTTCGCCGGCTGCTTGCCTGCCAATGCTGCATGCTATAGCATCTGCCCTGCTGACAGCTCAACTTAAGCGAGAAACGAGAGAATCACTTGAGCAAGAGATTCGGCTCAGTACGTTCACTTAAAAGATTCGGTTCTTTTGAACGAATCGTTCGCGAACGGCATAACACTATCCTGTTTACGCGCAAGCGTGCGTACGTGCTAGCGTGTGTTTGCGCGCGTCCAACGTGTTTGTGTGTGTGTGTCTAACATAGACGAGTGTCTTTCAAGGATACCTATCTGACGAAACCCTCACTTAAACTAATCCTTGCTCTTCAAATTTGCACTGCACTTTCACTGCTTGATTGATGAACCTCGGGAAGTGCTGTTAGGATTATTCCGCCGTCATGGGGTAGTTACTTTATAACCGATTCATGACATTTTGACAGCTTTGCGAAACTGGTTTGACAACATGGGATGCAATACACTTGCGTTTATCAGACTTGTAGACGGTCGATTAAGGTCGTCAGCAGCGGAAGAGTGTTTGAGAAGATTCTACTGACGGTAATGCACGTCTAATTTGAGAACTAAATACAAGAGAGCTGCTGCTGCCGCAGTCGTGTTGTTCCAAATGGACATGCAGACGGGACGTGGAGTTCGTCTGTCGCTAAAGCAAAGATATATTCTACTGCTCATCGCTGCCGGATTAATTATCGCATATCAATTTACAAGGTAAGGGGCATATCAGCTTGCAGAAAACTTCTTCAACATGTCGTGGAGTCTTAACAAAAGTCATGCGTGAAAGAGCTGGTCTGGATGAGCTCCCCGCCCACAGAGTCAAAGTAACCTCTGCACAGCTGTTTTTGCTTGATGATGAAATCGACTGAATTTTACCACTTGCTTAAAGGATCTGACCAAATTCGCTATTGCACTCCACCTGAAGCTTTGTTGACATTGCGCATGACGCGTAACAGCTGTGTACCTGTTGCTGTTTGTCCCCACGTACTTCCTGGTTGGAGGTCTTTCAAACCGTCATGCAAATCTCTCTGCATTTGTTTTTATTCACTGTTGCTCAGAATAAGGTCATACTGTTTTTTAATTTTCAGGCTGAACTATTTACCATGCTAAGAAAGTTCCCTTACAATCATAACTCACTAACCATGTGGGGCAAAAGGACAGTCAATGACCTGCAAAATGACAAAGAACTGCTCTTTATCTGCTGGTTGTCTCCTTTGTCCCAGATGTTGCTTTCCTTGTTAGGGTTGAGTTCAAATACAGAGATAATACAGGTCACTCCTACCATAAAAGCCACCTTTCACCACCATACTTTTTTTGTAAATTGGACTCTTTACAGGTTCAGCAGGTTGAGATATTGTGCTCAAGGGAATATTCATTCACAAGCTTGCACTACTGTGCCTCCAAATTTTTTTAAAATATATTTTAATCCAGTAAAAACGATTCAAGGAGTTATTATTTTTATTTTTGTGCTGTAAATTATCCTCCAGGAATCGCCCTGAAACAAGAAAAATGGCCCGCATTGAGGGTCTAAGGGCAAACACGTCTCAGTTCACCCTGGAGAGAAAACCCTTCCGCATCCTGGGTGGCTCTATCCATTACTTTCGAGTCCCCAGAGCATACTGGGAGGACCGTCTGCTGAAGATGAAGGCCTGTGGCATCAATACTCTCACAACGTAAGGTCCCACTGCAGCTCACGGCTGGTTGAATACTCTACCCTTCTATCACTAGAATGAATGGAGCAGTTTGTTTTGATGGCGATCGTACAGAGATTTCTGAGACTTGAAGACTGAGAAGTATTTGCAAAGAATACCTTTATGTAATTATTGATTTTCTTCACAAAAAGTGACACAAACCACAGAAATGTATTCACTTCAATTTGGCACACTACTGTTTTTTAAACCACTTAACATTCATTAACCCTTTAATGCCTTTTGCATCATATTTGATACATACTTTTATATACTTCTGTCAATATGAGCAACAAATTTCTAAAAAAAACACCTGAATACAGTCTGATAAATGATAAAAATGTCCTCTTGTAGTTTATTACTTTCCAAAAACATCTGATGTAAGAAACGAGATAAATAAATATATTTGTTAAATTTTAAGGACTTTTTGATTTTCAGTAGTAAGTAAACATTTCAGTTCCAAAAAAAATTGAATTTTCTGGCCATAATTTGTGGTGTCAGGCATTAAAGGGTTAAGATTAACCTTCATTCAGTACATTAAAACTTCTATCTCTTTTATACAGGTATGTGCCCTGGAATCTTCATGAACCTGAGCGAGGGGTGTTCAACTTTGAGGATCAGCTGGATTTGGAGTAAGACATCAGGAGGGAGGACTTTCAAAAATGTGCACTCTTCGCCCCTGCAGATGGCACTGTTGCATAACAAAAGGGCTCATTTGTTGGATAACGTGATACCTCTGAGGAGGTGTTTGTTTACCCTCAAGAAAGCTTTTTGATAAATTAGTTGTGTTCTAACGTAGTATCAGTGATTCTCAATTAATTGATAATGATAGCCTTGATCCAAGTGATACAGGGCTTGCTTGGGCATAATTTGAATTGGAAATATGATCTTAATAGAAAGATTATTGAGTAAAAATTTTCAGAAGAGTAGAGTTATATTCTAGTTTGAACATCAGCTTGATTAAGTATTGAAAATCATTATTAGCTGTCACTCTTTATCATCAGTGGGACAAATTTATAAATTGATACATGCATTGTTATTGAAGGACTCAGCTCACAGCAAATTTCATATCTGTCTCTCAGGGCTTACCTCCGCCTGGCAGCCAGTCTGGGCCTCTGGGTGATCCTGCGTCCAGGGCCGTACATATGTGCTGAGTGGGATTTAGGTGGCCTACCCAGGTAAAGATCAGAGCAACAGCTAAGATCTACTTATGTGTGTTACACAACTACAACAACATATCTATACATAATTTAAAATAGCCAGTGGGTTACAAAATGAATCCCTTAAATTGGCTTGGAAATGATTTCTTCAGTCAGGTAATCTGTTTGTTAGAGGAATCTTTGCTGCAGGCTAAATCCATTCAACTCATGGAAGTAACTCATGGTTTGGTGTTTTTTACATGTAGTTTGCTGGCACTATTATGTGTTGCTTCGTGCTGCACGACAAAGAACTGATCTCGCTTAGATAAGCCCATCGTGCAGTACGGAATATATAAGCATTTTTTCCTTGCCCCCCACCCCCAACTAGTGTTAACCAGTTTCTCTTAATACCCCACCAGATTAGGCCTACATGCATGTGTTTGGGCCAGAAGAAGTGAGGAAATTATGCAGCAAGTATATAATCATTATTTTAGTTGATAGGCGATGACTTTAGAGCAGGCAAAGGTTTGCACATCCCTTGAGATCTCTGGTACCTCCTAATAGCCTCAGGTGGGAACAAATAGTATACGATGAAGTTAGGGTGATGATACGTCCTCTTTTACCTGACATGTCCTCTATTTTGGGGGCTGTCCGGGTTTGTCAGGGAAGTTTATAAAATCCCTCAAATGTCTGTGGTTTTGTACATGAATTTTGAGGTTGTGTCACATGAACTTACTGAGTTAGAGGCGTGTAAAAGACACTCGATCCGACCCGAAAAACTCTCAAAATTAACTTCATGACTCCGCCCCCGCGTCGTCGCGTCCTCTTTTTAGGAAGTCATAATATGGTCACTCTAGATAAAGTTCTTTGCGTGAAATGTAGGGCATCTTGTGATTTGACAGTATGCATAATCTGAAGCACTGCTATCCTCAGAATACAGTCACTAATATTTTCCAGACCTTAAGTCAGGTGATTGAGGGACCCAACAATTAAAAATGTGTGTCTCTGGCCTCTTTTCCCAAAACATTGAATACGTATTGTGCTTTTTAATAAAAGCAGATTTGGACAGTTGACAGGGTGAATTCTGGAGGTGAAACTTTTAAAAGTGAATATTTTTGGAGTAGAATTTTTGACAGGAAATCATGGCTATAGATTGTTGAAATTTGACTAGTTAAATCAGCGTTCTCAAGGGTTTGCAGTTAAGCATGACGTCTTCTGTCATGCATGGAGATATTAGTGATGCACAGGTTTGCGATTTTATACAGCACAGCTCTTGTAAATGTGTGAGATGTTTTTTTTTCTCTTTTTTTAATATATATTTGAAATGTGTTTTGTGATCTTTATTTTCAGCTGGCTTCTGCGGGATCAAAACATGAAACTAAGAACAACCTACCCAGGATTTACTCGTGCGGTGGACTCCTTCTTTGATCAGCTTATTAAGAGAGCTGTTCCACATCAGGTTCTTCCATTTAAGTTTAATAAAATGACAAAAAACTGCCAGCATACCCCTGTTTTAAACTTTGTTATTTTGATAAAAGCATAATTGTGTACACAGTTACGGTTAAAGAACTATGTGGCGTTATCCTGTCAGCTGTACAATACACCAACAACTGACATACTGTAGGTTGACTAATGACCTCTAGGCCTTGTACTTCCTTACTCTCAAGCAAAATCTCATTTCCATTTTGTGGTGTCTTTATTCATTGGCTAATCACTGCACAGTACTCCAAGGGTGGTCCAATTATCGCAGTTCAAGTGGAGAATGAATATGGCACCTATGCAAAAGATGAAGCCTATATGCCTTTCATCAAGGAGGTAAGAAGTATTATGCAATCGTTTCATTTATCATTGGTAGTTCAAAGATAAGATTGCATTCATTTACCTCACTGTGGCCTGTACCTGTACAGTCTCTCGCTTTTCTATCTTTCAAAGAAAAGTCAATGTTTTTTTTTTCTTTTAGTTTCGACAGAATATCCAGCATTTTGTTGAGTTGTCTCTGTAATCCCTCTTCTTTCCAGGCATTATTGTCAAGGGGCATCACAGAGCAGCTGCTGACCTCAGACAACAAGGAGGGACTAACGCTTGGAGCAGTGAAAGGAGGTATTGTCAGATAGGCAGACAAACAAACACGTACACACACACAAACACACACACACACAGTATTGCGGATGGTGTATTGTGTTTTTGCACAACGATGAGAGGTCGGAGCCAAGCCCAGCCCGGTGTCAGGCAGCTGCAGTACAGAACCAAATTCTACTCTCAAAGGATTCTGTGTTGTTCCATTAAGTTTGTTTTTTTTACCCACCCTTGCAAAAAATTTATGCAGTGAAATAAAAGTCTCCTTTGTTTTCCTTCCATTACACATTTGCTATTTCATTAGACCTTTACAGGCAGCCGGTAATGCTATCTTTATAATACCATTATAAGATTGCTCTTCACTTGAGATGGTACGTATAAAAGATTTTTGTTCTCATTGCGAGGCTGTGAGTCATCATAATCACAAGATAGAATTTCTTCTTGTAATTCACTCAATTTCCAATGCATGTCTAAAACCGTAATTAATATATAAAATATACATTTTTTCTGTTCTCTGCTTTGCATCTTTATTCGCTTGTGCATAGCAGCAGTTTGAAAAGTTGTGGTTTGCCTTGTAGGCTGAATACAAATGACTAAACTTTGAGTGCTGAAGAGTATATTTCTGGATATTGAAATGAAACTTCTTTTTTTCTAAAAGACAGAAGATGAGATGAATATGTGAAGGTTTTGGTGCAATTCTGTACAGTACCCATGCTGTTGATGTTTGAAATGTTGGTTGTTCCATGATTTGTTTTCCCTTTTTGCCCCTAAGGGTTAGAAACCCTAAATTTCCAGAAGCTGGACATGAGTGATATCAAGTATCTGGAGAAAGTGCAAGTAAGTTATATTTGTTTCCAACTGTCCAAATTAGTGTTGCAATTATCCTACAATTTATGTTTGTGAAATTTTGCTTTCATTGCTAGTTTCTGCTCTTATCAGACATCAAGCTTTAAGACATAAAACATTTGAAATACTCTCAAAGTAACTCCCAGTTAAAATATTCATGCTGTATTTGGCCACTTACATAGCTTATTGGGGAAAACCCTTTGACTGTATATAGAATGGACAGCTGCCTCCACGCTGGGTGAAGCCACTCCGAGAACAGCACCCTCTGGTGACAGGCTGCAGTATAGGTCCTAAATCCCGCCTCCTCCAGCAATCCCCATGGAGCTGTGGATAAAATGGGGAATTACTGAGAGCTTTTCAGCTTCAAATCCATAAACTGGCGGAAGGCAGAACCAAGTTGTCCATAGTCTATACAGTCTATAGGAAAACCCAATAAAGAACATTTTTAATGTTTCAAATCTTAACTTTGTGCTAAACAAAAACCCATTACCTAAAGAAGCAGGACTACTGCATATTTAGGTTTAATTCTTAGCAGGTGTAGAAGTGTTTCCCAAAAAAGTATTCTAACATCACATTGTTTCCCTTCTACCAGCCTCAGAGGCCTAAGATGGTGATGGAGTACTGGTCAGGCTGGTTTGATGTCTGGGGGGACCTTCATCATGTTTTCTCTGCTGACGGTAAGACAGACTGAAGACAGATTGACAGTTTTTCTTTGGCCCAATCTACAGTATCCCTGATAAGAGGGTGTCAGGTGATCTCATGAGAGTGAGACAGGGTTAGTGCGGGATTGCTCTTAGTTGAGAAAACAGTCATTCACTGTACAGCGGGTCGATAAGACCGACCAATTTCAGTCTCAGGTAAGAAAGATTTTGTGCCGTGAGCCCATGTAGAATCTCTGAGAGGAAAAACAGCCCATCTTGTGGGTGAGACAGTCTTACTGCCTCAGGTGAAGAAAGGCTTAAGAGAACCTTTTTAGCTGCAATAAAACAGTGTCTGTGCAAGGAGAAAATCAAGGTAAGAAAAGGCTTGCAGCTTGGGGGGTTGGGCAACATAAATTCTCCAGAGAGAGTAAGACAGTCTTGAACTCTAGTTCCTTCATAAAAGACACAGAGCCCTCCCTGTGCAGGTGGGATACACCACATATGGTCATTTTTTCTTCTTTTCTGACTTTGTTTCTTCCTCTTCACTTTGTCTTTCAGCCATGTATTTGATGTTCAGAGGGCAGATTTTCAAACACCCCTCTTTGTAACTGCTCTACTTATTCTGACTGGTTCTACTCATCACTGGTGGAAGTGTTTGTAGGTCTCACAATCATTTGATGTTCTCACACTGATTTGTTTTACACAGAAACTGTGTAATACTCCCACATTGGACATGTTTTCTTTCATATTTGATCATTAAAATAAATCAGCTTGTCCGGCAGGGGACTTCTTCTGCCTGATAAAATAACTTCTCTGATTTGGCAATGGGCAGAAAGGCTTACATCAGTATGATTAAGATAAAGACTGAGATAAAGATAGGATGTCACAGGATATAGTTAAAGATACTGTAGGTGTAAGTGTAATGCTGTAATGACTACCCCCCCTCCCCCAAAGTAGTCTAATTCTGATTCTAAACACGGCCGATGTTTGCTGATACCGATGTTATTAAAATTATTTAAAAATGCTAGTTACCAAGTCTTTCTTGCAGCTCTACTAATTTTTGCCAAATAAGTAGACTAAAAACTATAGCTGTCAAATTCAGGTTGTTTGTTAAAACATGTAGAACTTCCACTTGATGCGTGATGGTGTAAAATTATAACTTTGCATAAAATGAAAATAATACAGTTTTTATCTCTGGTTGCTTTTTTTGTTTGTTTGTTTTTCATGTCCTTCCAAAAAAGTTACACGAAACCTTGACGTGCTGCTTATTACTGAATGTCTTACTTACTTTTTTGGGCACATTTTGGTAGGTTAGCAATATTTTTAATAAAGCTCATCATTACTTTTTGGTTTATTGGTCACCTATTAAAATGATGAAAAAAAGAAAGAGGAATATTCCCTCACAGATGCCTATGTTACATTTTGACCATGTCTTATTGAAGTGATACAAAATATTTTTAAAATGCATAAAAACTTTCCATTTTAAACCTGCAACTACCAAATTTTTGAAACTGTTGCTTGTTATGTATTTATTTTTATCAAATCTAAATTTGGTTTATGGATAATCAATTCAGTTTTTATGTCAGTTGCATGTCACAAACTCACACACCTTAAGCTACTAAGGTGGCATAAAATTGTCCCTGCTGTCCATGTGGGTCCAACCATTCAACCGCAGACTGTATAAAGAGTGGACGCCGTCTGCCTCCTTGCTGGGTGGAACCAGTCCAAGAACAGCACCCTCTGGTGATGGGCTGCAGTATAGGTCATAAATCCCGCCTCTTCCAGCAATCCCTATGGAGCTGTGGACGAACTTTTGGAAATTAATTACACAGAATATGAATTTTTCTACTCCCTGGTTGCGATGTTGACATGTAGTTACTGTAAGACTGGTTTGTGTTCAAGTCCTCTTTTTTCTGTACAGCTCCATTTTTAAAAGTTATTTGGGGGGTTCTTGTTTTCTATACGAAGATTTACCCAGGGGATACGCTGTTTGAGTCGAGTGTCATCACAGCGACTCTTGGCGACTCTCCCGCCGAATGTGTACAATGCTACTGCAAAAGCGGTGGAGTGCGTACAGCATTACTGCCCAATGTTGGTTTCAGGAAATGGAGAGAAAACGTGGAATTAACAAGAGCTCCGAAAGGTGGAACCAAGTTGTCCATTGCATGTACAATCTATGGTCCCAACAGTAGTGAGCACTGGTGTAATATAAATGAACCAGCTGCTTGCCCATATGCACTCAAGTAATACCAGCTATATAACATGCTCCACCTGAGTGTGATATTTTTTAGTATAATGTTTAGGTTTGGCACCGGTTCTTCATAGAGAAGTCACAGACCTTGGTATGACCGTCGTGTGAACTCTCGTGGACATCCTCTTTTAAACACACGGTGAAAATCTCCAAGCTTCCTTCTTACTCTTGGTCATCCTCAACAGTCATCCACATCCCAGCAATGAGAGAAAAACTGAAAATGAAAAAGGCTTCTGTATAGTTTTTCCTCTCAGTGTGAGTGAGAAGAAAAACAGCCCCTCATCATGCAGAAAGTGTCACAGCTATGAAATGAGTGCTGGAATATTCTGAGGGGATTCATGTCCTTGACAGTTCAGTGCTCTGCAGACTGTAACTCGCCTGGCAGTTGGTCACAGCTAGTGGCACAACCATGAAAGCAACCAGTGTGCCTTTGTCACTCATCCCGCTCGATTGTTATTCACTGAGGCTCATGCCCTTGATTCAAATCATTAAAGTCAGTCGGTTTCACCATTCAAATGCAATTCGAATGCTTAACTACCTGCTCTGGCATGTTACCTGCAAATGGAAAGTAGCTCATTTGTGGTGGGGGGTTGGTCATTTTTTCATAGGTGTAAGCATTACCCTTTAATGAATTGTAGCAATCAGTAATAGGATGTGGGTCTGAGGTCTGTCCACATCTCAATTGAAGTGGAACTGAGGGTGGGAGGAATAATTGAAACAACGCCCCGTCTTGTTTCAGCTTAAATCAAACAGATTTTCTCCTCTGTGTTTCTTAACATCGAGCTTTTACTGAACTCGTCTTTTAATGTACCCAGGTTTTATCAGCGCCATCAAGCCATAGCATAGACATTTTAATATCAAAGTGGATGAATTTGTTTTTTACATGTTTGTAATTGACAGAGATGTTGCAAGTGGTCACGGCGATCCTCAAACTGGACATGTCCATCAACCTCTACATGTTCCACGGAGGGACGAATTTTGGCTTCATGAGTGGGGCTCTTGCTCATCGACTACCAACTCCGAAAGCTATGGTTACTAGCTATGGTATGTGTTAATAAATGTATATGTATATTTATTCACTTTAATTTTTAAACACCTGAATAACTCCTGTTGAGTAGAATTAGAAAGAGAGTTTTTCCACAAGGATTTAGGACAGAAGTATACTCAGGAGCTGAGATTTCTGCTTTTTCTACTTTTAAATTTCACATTTTATTATTGTTTGCTAAATAATAAATCAAAACAATAAAGAATTACACTTCATCCTTTTACCTTTACAAAATACAGTTTGTTTATTTGTTGTGCTTGAAACAGATATGAGTAGATTAAGGCCATGATTAAGACATATGATTTGGAGATGGTGCCATTCCACCTCCTAAGCCCTTGACCTTCATATTCGTTATAATTTGAAGACGACCGAGATGCGCTCTAATGACTTCATTACCCAATAAAATGCATGAGGATTGTAAATTAAAGACGGTAGAATGGTTTTATAGCCTCCTCTGAGGGATCTTACATCGTAATGACCTCCTTGGGAAAAGAGGTGAATTCTGAAAACTGCTTCACAGCAGGAAGGGCCACCTCTGACCTCTAGCAGTCATCACACCTGTGTTTACTCCTCTGAATGCCCTCCAGCTTCTTCTTTTTTTTCTTCCCTCAAACGGCTCCATTTTCTGTCAAGATAACCCAAAATGTATTTCAACCCACCGCTGTCTCAAGATGTTTGATAGGGGAGCACTGTGAAAGCATCTGCCACGGTAAGAGGCATCCCTGCCTCTCTCTGGCTCCCGAGCCTGCTGTTCTGATAGCGCATTATCTTTCAGATTACGATGCTCCATTATCCGAGGCTGGGGATTACACCACCAAGTACCATCTTCTGAGGAATTTATTCAGCCTCTACCACAGTGAGTGTTGCTTGTTGTTGGAGAGATGGGCTTGTCATCTTCTGTCTCTCTTTCTCTTTCCTCCCTTTCATCTTCCCTCTTGAGTTAATTCTTCTCGTTCAACCTGATCTCTGTTGGCTAAAGTAGGATCATTTTGCATGTGGCTACAAGCATAGATTAGCTACGGGTTTGTGAAAGTGTGTGAGATTTTTCACTCAGTCGAAGACCCTCAATTACCTCCCACTATAGAAATCGCGTCGGCCTTTTAATGCGTTTGTTCCTCGAGCAGTTTTCTATTTGTAAAACAAGGGTTTGTGGTCAGGGGCAGATGTCTCAAGTGTATTGTGGCCTGGACTAGACCTGGATTTGAAATGTAGCTTTGAGCTATCTGGGACTGAATCCAGCACAACAAAGTTATGATTTGCCCAGAGTTTATTGTGATTGAAGATCATTTGAAAGGCAGTGTGTGCGTGATTCATCCTTATGTTTTGTAGTCTGTTAAACAATGAGCAGTGGCCTGAATATGAGAGGCAGTCTGAGAAGGCTTTGTGTTTCACTCAGCAACCACAAACCCATGACCTAATTCCTGATTAGATCAGCTTAATATTTCATCATTGTTTGGTTTTCAAACCATTTACATAGTGTGAGCTACCCTGTAGACTCTGGTGTTGTTTTTGTTCAATTTGGCAAGGACTGAGGCTAATCTGTCAAAGTCGAACACTGATCTTTGACAACAGCATGCCTCTCAAAGTAGACCTGTGACACATTCGCTGTAGGGTTTTTTGAAAGCTGTCAGAGTTTGAACAAAATAATATTAATAAATGACATGGCATCAAAGGAGCTACACATTCACCCGTCCTGCTCGGTATGTGCATGTACAGTGTGCCAGCTCTGAATCACTCCTATCAGTTAGGATTTTATGCATTTGCATAGTTTTCTAATTCCACTGCAAAAAGCGAGGTGCCAAGATCGACTAACTCAAACCCCACCACATGCTTTACCTCTAACACAACACAACGCCACGGCATGTTCTGAACCAAACACATGAATAGTCATGTTTTAATGTCCTTTTTTTTTTTTTCCTCACATTTACATTATAATAACACAGTTCATAGAAATGTTGTTTAAATGAGCTCTCTCCTGAACTGTGAGCTGACACATGCTGTAAACCATTAACAGTGATGGCCTTTGTCGTCAAAGCTTTTGTCAAATGATCCAGCTGTTACTGCTGGGTGTTAAGAAAATACTGTAAAGTGTTCTCCAGAGGCAGGGTTGGTGTCTCGGCGTGCTTTAACACATCTGAAAGCAGTGAGAGGGTGAAGGCAACCTCTGGTTATGGAGGGTAATATGGAGCACAGAGACTGTAAGCTGGTGTAGAGGTGAATGGCTCAACCAAACGACATGTTACATTACTAACCCTCATCCTGAATGACTAAGATATGAAAGGGATATTATGGTGTAAAATTAACTTAGGGTCAAACACATCGTAAAACCGAATTAGACACCTCCTTGAGAGATGAATGTTGCGGACCGCTTGCTTCTCTAGTCATACCAACTTTAGTAACGACCGCACGATAGCAAATCACAGCGGTCTATGGAACAACACACAAACCTCAACCAAAAAGCCACTCTATAGCCACAAATAATGTCCAGAAGAGCATCTAACTTCATCAACAGTACATATAGGGTCCCAGCCATAGCACAAAGAGACTAACTACAACTCACCTACTCTCTTCCAGCAGCCGCTTGTTTGTAGGGAGAGCTCGGACGAGTCCATCACTGACTGCAGCGGGCAAGGAAGAACATTCATGATCATTACTTTATCATTTCCTTGATTCATCAAAATAATCATTTTGCACTTCAGACGCGGTAGTTCTTCTGCCTTAGCATCACGGTCTGATTGCATTTCCACCAAGAAAAGTCTAACTCTGCATTACAGTGTATTTGACCCTAACTTAATTTTACACCGGAATATCCCTTTAAGGGGTAAAGTAAAAAATAATTGGTCAACTTTTTTTAGAGGGATCATAATGGTTTGCCTTGAATTCCATTATCTCTGTGATTTATAAGTTTGTATTTGTAAAAAATTGGCCTTTAAAAAAGCTGCGTTAGAAATCATGAATCTCTCCATCTCCAAAACCATCTTATTGCATGATTGTGGTCATTACTTGTCTATGTTTATATGTCTTTTATTAGACAAGTGTAAATACAGACAAAGTAAACCTCATGATTCATCTAAAAGTACCCTAAAGGGGTTATTTGTGCTGGTTTGTATCTCCTGAGTAAAAAGAAAATTCAGACAGATGAACTGGAACTACCACTCATTTTCCTCTCTTTTTTCTCAGCCCAGCCTCTGCCTGAACTGCCCTCTCTCCACGAGAGGAGGGCGTACCAGGCTGTTGTTATTCAGCAGCACCTGTCTCTGTGGGACAGCCTGAGTTTTGCTGACAAGGTAAACTTCAGACATTCAGAGAGGTGTGGTATCAAGAAACACTAGGCATGTAGGATTGCTGTGACACAGTATGACACAGAACACTCACTAGAGAGGTTATACACAAAAACCAATAAAACAGAAGCAATATTTCTGATTTGAAAGGTAAAGTACATACATCTCTTTTCCATCTGAATCTGAACTTTCAACCACCATGCAGGTCCAGCTTGAACCATAACACCTGTTAAAAAATTCAGAGATCAGAATCAATAATATCCAACCCTTTATATGAGCAGCTGCTACAATAGTGCTCTTGAGTCACACACCCATCTCTAGCCGCACTTGAGGCCTTGCACTGTGACCATCAAAATGTACGACTAGACTATGCTTTAGAGCTGTACAGTTATTTGGAAAAAGAGCAAAGTAGAAAATCTCTAATAAAAGTTCAAAAACTTGTTTGGAGGGTGTCATAATGTCTGTTCGCTTTCATGTCCACCACTTTAGTTGAGCCATTTACACCATGCTCTTCAGGGCCATTTATATTCACACCAGATGTAGCACGTCTGGCAGTTGCTTACAACATTAATTATTCACTCCCCGTCGCAATAATTTGCTTCCCTCTGAGACAACAATTACTTTGCCCCTGACCAGCCACATGCCCTTGCTTAAAAAGATGCTTTTCTCTTCAGTGGCTTCAGAGCGACTGAGTGGGATGTTAGAGTTTGATATTGCATCTGTGTGTTTAGAGGTAGGTGGTTAATCGTGTCATAGCAGGAAGTGTTTATTGTCTTGTGAAAAGTGCATAATGCAGTCTCCCGAGGGTATGCAAAAGAATGATGCTGAATAAAAGATCTGCTCTGTATGCCAGACATGAAAGCTTCATTGGGTTTGATAAATCATAGCCCCAAATGAAATGTGCTTGTAAATGTGAGATTGAGCAGCAAGACTCAAAAGATCCCATCTGTATTGACAGGATTTTTAAGATTATAAGTGTTTTCCATTTAAAAAGCAAATATTATGTAACTGTTTCAGAAAGCACCTATAAAAACATACAGTAGGGGAGACCGGGGCTTGTTGTCACACTTTTCACACTCTGATATATTTCTTGGAATCAATACGTCATATATAAACAAAATGTGTACCAGGTGAAAGACCAAAGTCTCAGGTGTATATTTCATATTTAAGTCATTTTTATATCTTGTGTCAGTGCAGAGTTATAAGCAATCAAATAGAGAGTGTGAACATGTGACATCCCGGAGGATACGCTGTTTGAGCCTAGCATCATCACAGCGACTCTCGGCGACTGCGCGCCCGAATGCGCACATCGATACTGCACACCGCTGGTTTCAGGAAATGAAGAAAAATCCCGGAAATACCGTGAGCTATTTGGCTTCAAATCTGTATACAGGCGGTAGGCGGAACCAAGTTGTCCATAGTATATACAGTCTATGGTCCAGACATATCACTGCTAGGATTTTTATCTGGAAGCAACTTATTTTAAAATATATTAATTTTTTTTTTTTTTTTACTTTGGGTTGTGGGAAATGCTTAATTGGCGCTCAGCTCACAATGTACTCTTCTCTTCTCAGACAGGACAAGACCCCTGACCATGTAAAGGAAGAAAACTAGTATTACACTTTTTAGTTGTGCCCTCTGGTGGCAAAGATAATTGCAATGTGACAACTTACCTATGTGACAACATGCCCCGGTCTCCCCTACATATCAACATGCATTTTTGCAGCATTTTAAACACCTATTTTATGTCATGAGTTCTGCTTCAAGCTCTTCATTTGCATGTTTTCTAGCCTCTAAAGTCTGAGAAGCCTGTGAACATGGAGAACCTTCCTGTCAACAACAACAATGGTCAGTCCTATGGCTACACACTGTATGAGACCGTCATCACAACTGCAGGAACCCTCAACTCGAAGAATAACGTCAGAGACAGAGCACTGGTAAAGACAGATATGACTAATACTGAAATAAGGCTGCTACAGTCCAGTGTTAACCCTTCTGTGCGAGAACAAGAGTAGAGCTGTAACCCAGGGTGCCGCTAGTTGTTCTTAAACATTTCCTGGTGTGTAGTTCACACCAATTGATACACAAAATCTTCTCTGAATGACTGAATGTGAAGTGAAGACTCGTGCTTTGTACTCTCAAAAATCTCTGCTCGTCAGATGAATTGTAATTTTACCCCTGTAGGTTTTTGTGAACAAACATTTTGTTGGTGTTCTGGATTACAAGACACAAGAGCTCCCACTCCCCGATGGGCAGGTACTGTGTGTGTGTGTGTCTGTGTGATTTTCTCCCTCTGTATGAAGTTTAAAGCCGGTCTGCTGTTCGCATCTTTGTTAAGGATGAAGTTATTAATATTTAATGTCACACAGTTGTGTGAAAGCTTCAGGGGATGCTGATAGATCTTTCTGGCAGCATGTTCCCGGCATTAAGCCAGCAGCAGACCTTCAAATGACTGTTTATTTTAACAAATTTGAATAGCAAATGTCAACCATCAATTACTAAAACCAGACTGGCTCAAAGCTTCTTTTTTTTCATGTCAATTATTTTTATGAAGAAATGCATCCCTTCTTTTACTTACTTTCCACTGAAGGGAAAAAGGACTTTAAGTCTACTGGTGGAGAACTGTGGAAGAGTGAATTATGGAAAAACGCTGGATGAGCAGCGCAAAGGTACAAATTTTTCATTAAACTGATAGTTTTGTAGGTTTCATTTGGCACCAGTCTTTCCTGATAATCTTCCTCATTATAAACCTTGAGTCAGTAATTTACTGTGTCTTAAGATCCCCAAAATACTTGAAGCAGCTTTGACTTGCCTTTCAGGACTCATTGGAGATATCGAGTTAAACAAGCTCGTCCTCCGAGACTTCATTATTCATAGTCTGAGTATGAAGCCAGGCTTTGTAAACAGGTTTGTGTTTTTCAATTATTATCAGTTTCCTCTCCATGTTTGTGTTTCTCTGTCATTACACCTGCCTGCTCCTGATTTAATCTAGCCGATTATCTCCTTGCTTAGCACAATTACAATTCGAACACGAGGACAAAATTCACAAATAGAGACAAAGCCGTTTAGTTCAGCAGCTCTTGTTAAACATGAAATCAAAAGCAGTACGGTAATAAGAAAAGAGAAGAGTCGGAGAAGATGTGTTCTGCAAAGACTCTTTTCTGAGACTTAATGTGTGCTTTTTTTTAAAAATAAACCAGAAACTAAACAGAGTGTGCATTATTAAATCATAGACAAGAATAAAGCATGAAGCTAGTGGATCAATTTTAGAGACACAGGCTTTATTTAGCTGAAAGAACCTTGTTTGAAAGTCGGCATTAAGAGCCAGTTCTGACAAAAATGTTACACAGACTGACACAGAGCTGTGAAAAAGGATCAAAGGAGTCCGATTTAGATTTGTTCGATCTGTTTTGAATCTAAAATGTCTTTGATGGTTTAATTTTTATGTAGTGTACATGTTGTGACACAAATGTACCACTTCACTTTGTATGTTGTAGGATTTCTGTCGTAAACAACATCAGAGTCCCTAGTGATACACCAGTCAGAGGATTATACTCATGTATAATAGGATGTGTACTTTTTTCAGATGAACAATTGCAGTGTCTTTACTTCAGCATTATCCCTAAGAATGTCAAGACCTGAGGCCCTGCAGGAATGAACGCTGAAAATGCACAAACAAGGACAGAATTTTGGTCTTATATAATGGCAACCTTTAAATTCACTTGGAGGCAAAACATAACCTACTGTACAGCCAAAACAAAGACTGAATATTTCCCTGGCATCTGTGCCCAAAGTTAACTTGACATTTACTACAGGCATACTAATATGAATTACATGATACACTGTATGCTGCTGCCTTGCCCCCTCAAAATCAGGGGTGATGGATCTTTTTATTTTAAAAATAATAAATGTGGGATTTATCCCCCTTTTAACAGGCTTGAAAATGCAGGTCAGTGGATGTCAATGCGTCAGAAACCCTCCTTCCCAAGTTTTTTCCAGGCCAAACTCTATGTGAACAGTTTTCCTAAAGACACCTTTATCAAACTCCCTGTAAGTATGACCGTCTTCAAGTTGTCTGTAATTCAATTAAACTGACAGGCCTCTCTCTTCATAACAGTGCAGTGAATTACTTACAGTTTGGGGTATTTTTCCCAACTTTACAGGGTACCGCTAAATTTAAAGATACAATGTGTAGAATATATTGCCATTAGCGAGAGCTTGTATTTGTTTAAGATAAGATTCATGTTGTTATAGCATGAAAGGCTTACTGTGTGTTTTTTTTTTAAGTCATCAAGTAAATTTTTCTACCCCTGAGTGTTTCACTGGCTTGACCTGCCTGTTGTCGTAGTGAAACATTTACTGGTTGTGTTTACAGGGTTGGGGAAAAGGTTTCGTGTTTGTCAACGGGAAAAATCTGGGGCGGTACTGGTCCATAGGTCCTCAGCAAACTCTCTATGTCCCAGGCCCATGGCTGCAAAGGGGGAATAACCAGGTACAGTACTGATGTATTGATTTGTGTGTAGGAGATGGTTTTTTCAGAAGGGTATGGCACATTTTAGCACACTATCTTTCACCATGCATACTCGCCTGTTCATAATTTTCTGAACCATATTCTGATGAAGACTCAGCTGAGTCAAAACGTGTCAACATATCCCTGCTTTTTAAAGGGTTTTTGCTGCAATAGAGTGCCTCAGATTTAAGTTTTTGACACCATTTTTTTCACAGGAAACATTCTTTGAAAATAACCAAGACAATTATCCTTTCTGTCTTTTAAAGGGATATTCCTGCGTAAAATTAATTTAGGGTCAAACACACCATAACACAGAGTTAGAAACCCCCTCGAGAGATGAATGTTGCTGACCGCTTGCTTCTCTAGTTATACCAACTTTAGTAAGGACAGCAGGATAGCAATACACAGTGGTCTGAGGAGCCATCAACAAACCTAAACCAAAATGCCATTCTACAGCCACAAATAATGCTCAGAACAGCACCTAACTTCATCAACAGTACATATAGGGTCCCAGCCATAGCACTAGCCACCAAACATCTTTTTCGCTCTGCCTTATTTCCTTATCAAAGAGACTAAACACAACTCACCTACTCTCTTCCAGCAGTCGCTTGTTTGTAGCGAGAGCTTGGACTAGTCCATTATTGACTGCAGTGGGGGGACGCAGCTCAGGAAGAACATTTATGATAATTTCTTCATGGAAATGCAACCAGGCCGAGACACTAAGGCAGAAGAACTACCGCGTCTGCTGTGCAAAATGATTAATATGATGATTACTGAAAGAAAATGATAAAGTAATGATCATAAATGTTCCTCCTCCAGCTGCGTTCCCCTGCTGCAGTCAATGATGGACTAGTCTGAGGTCTGCTACAAACAAGGGGCAACATTCATCTCTCAAGGGGGTGTCTACCTCTGTGTTACAGTGTGTTTGACCTTAAATTAATTTTACACCAGAATATCTATTTAAACTGATTCATGATTGTAATTTTGATTCTCAATAAAGAACTTTTAGGAAAATAAATAATGTACTGTACAAACCAAAAATACAAATCCATATCCATGCAGGGAAGAGCAATTTAAGTGTCATGTTTTCATTTTTCCATCACACACTTTTATATGAAGTTTTAGAAAATTCCAAAATGACCATCACTGTTGCCATGACAATTTCTCATATCTTGTTTTACTTAAAAGTGTTTTATTAGTGGAGAAATTTTCACACAGGAAAAGTGTGATCATGTTTGGCATATTTTGTGTGATGAAGAATGTCTCCAGTGAATATTAGCTGGAAAAAATGATCAACTCCACAGTTTTTCCTGGGCATATTCATCCAAGTTATTTTGCATTTTGTGCACAGATGACTTCAGTACGATGATTCATCAAAGAAAGTGTAGCGGCCATTAGTCAGATTAAATTGAAATTTTGTGTAAATTCATTGCGCAAAACCCATCTTTAATCATCACTGCCCTAATATTCAAAGGTCTTATGTACTCTGAAGGGATTTTCTATAACGCAACCTTTTAAGAACCTCATGGCTGAATTTCTAACTTTCATGTGTTGTGATTTCTTTTTCGTCCAGTTTTCTTCCCCTCCGCTTGTACAGAAAGCATATCACGAGCCAGCAGATACTGTGCACAGCTGCTGTTATACATCACCCTGTGGTTCTGATGTGGTTGAACTCTGGAGCTCGTTCTGTTTAAGATCTTTGCTACAGTATCTTTGTACATCCCTGACTTGCCTGACCCAACTTTCCGTTTTTCTCTATGTATTGATATTTGCGCTCAGCCACCCACTTTCTTCGCCCTTTCACGACCTTTGCTTAACTATTTATTTTTGTTTTGTTGCAGGTCATAGTTTTTGAAGAGCAGGAATCAGATGGTAAAATTCAGTTTGCCAGCAACCCTGACTACGGCATGCCCGTTGATGTCCAGTGAAAGCAGGAGGCAAGAGGGGAGGACGGACGAGGTAGCTGAGATGATGGGAGAGGGCATGACTCAGACGATGACTGTTTTGATCAGTCGGATAACACAAGTCAGCAAGTGTGACGTGTTGTGCCCAATCAGACCATTTTTGTGGCTTTCTGTTGATTCCTTTCTATTTAATTTTAACACCTGTGTCAACATTTCATGTACTGCAAAACTGAGAATCAAAAGATTGTGACAGAAAATGTTCTAATAAAGAGTTTCTCTCTTTTCACGTTTTTTTAAACCTCTATCTCAGAAGGGAAACTAACTTGAAGCTGGTTTGACCTCTGTGTCAGAATCCAGGGCCAATGATGCTTGCATTATTTATCCTGCAAACTCAAAAATGGTTTTGGACAAAATGGGTGTTTTTTTATATTTTTCCTCCTACGATTTCATGTAACCCTCAACAGAGAGTTCAAACCACATGCTGTGTTTGAAATTCTTTACACTTCTCCAATGTATTGTGTGTAAAAGTCAAGTTATCTTCATGGTTACCACCTTTTGATAACAAAGCCACAAAGAAGCTGTGCTGTTGCTTCTGAGGATTAAAAGTTCTCTTTTTCAGATTTGTACAAGGCTATCAAAAATGTATGCGAGAGGTGACTTTGTGACCAGGGTTATCATGCTGAAAATCTTGGATCCGACAGCATCAGCTATTCATTAATCATGAAACTTACTTGTTGTGTATAGACTTGTTTTTATCTCATAGTTGAACTGGAAAAAAGTACACTTTGTGACACTGCTTATGAAGCAAACTTTGGATAATAAGAATGAAAGTAAAATAAGGTTGTCAAGGTATGACTGTTTTAACTTTTGGAGGAAAAGTAATAGAGTCAAAAGGTCTTACAAGAATATTCTCTTGGAAGATTATTAATGCCATTTCACAACAGAAAATCAACCTCAACAATATTAGCCCTTTAATGCCTGACAGCACAAATTATGGTAAGAAAATTCTTTTTTTTTTATTTTAGCTGAAATGTTTATTTCACTTACTACTGAAAACCCCAAAAATCAAAATGTCCTTAAAATTTAACAAAAATATTTATTTATCTTGTTTGATACATTAGTTGTTTTTGGAAACTAATAAACAACAAGAGAACATTTTTATCATTTATCAGACTGTATTCAGGTGTTTTTTTTTTAGTAATTTGTTGATCATATTGATTTGATTAAGTATATAAAAGTATGTATCAAATATGATACAAAAGGCGTTAAAAAGTTAGTTAAGGTAGTTGCTACGGAAGACGAGAATGGTGACAGATTTTTAACTTTTTTTTTTTTATACGCGCTATTATCTCATGATAATCACTTCTCTCATTCTCTCGATATAACAGTTTCTTTTCTCTTGATAACAATTTTTTAGTTTGTTGTCTTGACATAACAAAAACTGTTTTCTTGTAATAACGCTTATTTTCTAAAACGCCCTCCAGATTGGGATATTTCTGAAACGCTGCAGCCACCATTGTTAACAGCAAGCCATGGGATTTCACACTACACTTTAAACGTCAGAACATTTAACTGCCATACACAAATCTGCACATTAATTAATTTTTAATCAAGAGAAAACAAACTTTATGTTGAGATAACGAGATAAGTTGTTATCATGAGATAACAGTGCATACAAAAATGAAAATTCATGTATTCTGTAAGTTACAACCCAAAAACTGAACTTTATATTGTGGTGAAAAGTGTACTGCTGTACTAAGGTATCATAAATATGTGTATTTCCCTTTTTATTTATGAAGTTATTTCCTGCATGCCCTCAGGCCAAACAAGTCAGATCTCACACACACAGCTCACAAACACACAAAGATTCCTAGTGTACAAATACAACACTCGAGCACAAGTAAGGTTCTTCTTATTTATTTTCCTGATTCAACTATCATCTTTCTCTGAGACAAAATCACTGTGGCAAATAAACAACCTTAAGAGTCACATGCATAAAATGCGAATCACATGAGGCTGGAAGATGACAATGGAAATGAGGAAAAGGTAGGACATGTGTGACGTGTATTGTGCCTTAGAGAAGCCCTCAGAGAGAAATGCTCTTGAACTGGCATTTATTACTGATAACCTGCACTGCTAAAGTTGTATAGGTCGGTTGGTACAAGAATACTAACTCTTGGTCATAGTTAAATATTGCTTAATACATCATCTATTCAGAGGCAGAGAGAAAATTCAAACAGATTTTAGACAGAATTGTAACAACAGAAGTTTTCAGGCCTAAAGTTGATCTGCAGATTTTGAACAAACCACAGAGAGTAACATGACAAAATCTGAAATAACCAGTTCAACTACTTGTTCATCTGTATGCAAGATGACCTGACGCCACTTTGGACAAGGCAACACTGAGAGGAAAAGTGGGAATTTAGATTGAATAAAAACGATAAACCATAAATGAGCTCAGAAAATAAGTCAGCCTTGTTCTCAAAATCAGCGCAAACTTAAGTTCACTTTAAAATTTTGTTCTCTCTCTCTGAACTTGTTTCAGTGTAAACACTCCAAATAACTTCACTGCTCAATTCAGGATTCAGATGGACAGCAAAGCCAGAAAGAAGTCTGCTGGTGTGTGTGTGTGTGTGTGTGTGTGTGTGTGTGTGTGTGTGTGTCTGCCTGCTGAATTATCTTTAATCCATGTGCACAGTGTACTAGTAGTGAGCGTGCCTTATTAGAAAGCAGTGGGAAAATACAGATTCAAGAATAAACCCTGATTTAGTTGCACATCCACATTTGAAATAAATACATAAATAAATACATTATCATTTTTTTTTCAATAAATAATTGGAGGCGAGTTGAAGAATCAAACAAATCCAAAGATAGTTTGTGATCTCCATGGCCGATCCCTGTGCAGTGTAATATCATGCAGTTGCTGAAAGGAGACAGTTTTATTAGAGAACCAACACAGCCATTGTCTGAATGTGTATCTTATCAAGTGAAACGTAATAATAACACACTTTCCGGCTGATGAACCCAAGAGGCTGTGACGTCTTTGTAAGTTTTCACACTGCAGCGGCGTATTCAGGGTTTTGTGTGTGTGTGTGTGTGTAATCTGCCAACAGTATAGAGGCTGTGTTTGAATTATCTCCAGTAACTTCTGCAGGGCAATGTTTGATAAGAGCTACCACTGTGTAATGCACTAGAGGGATGATTTATAGAGTCGAGGAAGGTTCTTTAATATGAGGTGTAGAATAACTTTGTTACAGTGTTCAGCGTACAGCGTCATTCTTCTGATGTTTATCAGTAAAAGTGCTCTGACTCCCTTCTGCGATCCAGTGAATGTACAACAAAATGGATACTTAATACAAAGTGAAACCACAAGATACTTTGTTCTCAGCCCACAGAATTTAAGATAGCGAGTCGATGTTCATACCAAGTCACGGTCTAAAATAAGATTTATTTCTGTTGTGCTTTTCTTGAGCCTGCTGTTCATTCAGATAAGCATACACAATCTAACCTTTTAGGTGGAACCCTTTTTCTAAGTAGAAAAAATACTTGGGGCCAAGCATCTGTCTTTTTTTTTTTGTTTGTTTTAATTGTATACTTACACCAGCTCTTTAAAGGTAAGTTGTGTCATAACATCACAGATAAAGCCTGAGCATCTAAATTTAATCCAGGGAATTCACTCTGTGGTACAAGTATGATTTTTCAAGTTGGAAAAGTCCTGCTACTTTTTGTACTTGCAAGCAGTTTTGCCCTTTAACAGGTTGCATTTGAAAACATGAGAGTGCATAGACAACGAATGATTTCAAGTCGAAATTAAGTCAAACGCTGAACTGCTTTAATTTACTGCAATGTCACAGATTAAATAAAGTCGCATTGCATCAGGTCAGCATTAGTGATTCTACCATATAGCTGGTTTGACGTTTTAAATGAAACAGTTGATGTGCTATTACTCCTTCAATACTTTCGAATGAGGATGAAGCTGTGCCTTGTCATTTGTCGCTGTGAGGGAATAACCGCGGGGGAAGAGACTTGTGTTTTCTTTGACTTATAAATACAGTAATTACAATGTTTTTGTCATAATTCTCCATCAATCCTCTGATTGTTCTCATAAGTTACTATTTACACAAAGGAAGATAATTTTGTGTACTTTTTTTTAAGTGCTTAAAGCAATCTCGAGATTTGATGTTCCCCCAAGCACCACCTGGGGTACATTTAAAACAGCAGTCTCTCTCCTCAAGTGTTCGGATGACTTAATTGCATGAGTTATAATGACACTATAAAATGAACAATGATAACCCAAGAGTAAATGTAGGTAAGAGTCAAGAGAATTGAACTAGCAAGTCGAGTGCTTGTAAAATACTCAACATGATTAAATTAAATAAAAGCAAACATTTCATAGTTATCAAAAGAACATTCCTTCCCTTGCAGTGTTTGTGTTTGCACAATCCAGTCGAGACATATTTGTCCTCAGAGTTGTGTTTTTATCCAGACTGACGATGTTTCTCCTTAATGTCAAGAGGGATTTCTTGTACCATGTGCAGATCCAGATCATATTAGTTATTTTTTTCCTCTTAGTCACTTGAGGTGAAGGATCTTCTTTGACCTGCTTGTTTGGTTGAATCTGCTGGCTGGATGCTTGTCATATTGTGCTGTCTCTTTTTGTTCGGCTGTCCTCGGCTGGCTGTGAACATGCAGGTCATGTCTGACCACAGCAGCCTTGGGATGCTCCGTCTCCTCTGCACTTCAGTCTCAGACCCGACGACTGCCGCCTCTCTCTAATCTGTGCTTTAATACGATACATTTATACTGTAGGAGTCCATATTTTTAAATGTCAGCCAAGAAGATTAAATCCTCTTCCAAAGGCCCCTCATTTCCTTTTTTCTGATGATTAAGACTTGAGCACTGGTTGCACTTATCAAGAGACTCTGCTGTTTTCTTCCTCTGCAGGTCCAAGGCCAATCACCTGTGAAGGAAAGGATTAAGATATGCTGAGAAAGAGCGCTAAGATTTAATTCACATTAATTGAACCTGTTTATTCCATTAGTGACATTGAATAAAGCAAGACAGCTGCTGCCATTGTCATATTAAGAAATGAATGTTCAGCGTAGTGAGAAATATTAAGAACACCAGCTCATTTGGCTGATACAGGTCATGACATTTCCATTTTCCCTCATAAAGGGAATAAGGCTTGGAAAAGACAGAAAATACTTCAAGGAAAAGATTTTTTTTTTTTTTACCATGGTCTGGAAGAAGAAGGTCAAATCTCTACGTTGGGGTCTGTGAATCCTTTCTTCCCCTCATTTACAAGGACTGGTTTCTCTGTTCTCGTGTGCCAGACAAGTATCTGATGAGAAAATGGAACATAAATGACAGAAACATTAGTAACATGCTGTTCCCCTAATGCACTCCTTCAATGCACTCTCCCCCTTTCAGCTCATGCCGCCTCATGTTCTCCAAAACAGTCGATTCTGGCTGTACGTTCAACAGGACCTGTCTAAGAGCTACTTAAGCGTGAACCCAGTGTTAGATGGGAGTGAGGGGAGGGGACATGAGTGTGTGGTATTAAACACGTGTTTCAGCCTGTGTCAAGTCCGCCATCTGATCAGCTCTGAGGTAGCCACTATGTTATAATATTCTATTCTATGATTTATCCGTATATTAACTATTGTAATATAGTTTGGGCTAGTACCCACCAGATCAAACTTGAGCCTATATATTGTCTTCAGAAACGAGCTCTAAGAACGATAAGTTGTGTACATCCAAGACATTCATCTCAGCCTTTGTTTATTCATTTAGGAGTTCTCAGTGTTTTTCAAGTCAACCATCTCCAAATTGGTCTATTTGTTCATGGCTCATTGGGGAGAACCCTTCCTTCATTTTTCCATAATTTATTTGGGCATAATTCTCAGGTCCATTATTACCCAACACGTAGCTCGACTAACCTTAGACCCCCAATGACACGTACGTCTCAAACTCAATTTAATAAAGGCTTCAGAGGGTCAAAAAGATGGAACTCTCTTCCATTTCATTTATGGGAGTTGTCTTCTTACCAATTTAAGAAGGCTCTGAAATCACTTCTTTTAACTAAATACTTCCCATATGGTTTGCTTAACGAACCAGGGTCCATTCATTATTTTCTTTAGTGTTTTATTATTCTGTGTCTCTCAGATTTTTTATTTTGTGTTGTTATAGCTTGGTATTCTTTTTTTACCTTTTCATTTGTATGATATGTTTATTATTGCCTTAATTGTAAAAAGTATATTCTACATGTAATTTTCTTGGAGAATGCCATTTCTCAAGCCCCTGGAGGGTTTTCAGGCACTCTCCTTCACATTACCATTGAATCTTGTAATCTATGTTTTTAAACTCTTTTCTATGTGAAAATAAACAAACCAAACCAAACCAAACCAAATGACAGGCGGCTAAAAATGCTTTGACACACCGTGTGTGCTGTTTTTCCATTTGCAGCACCGCTCCTCTTCTTTTCTCTGTTTTTGTGAGTGTGCTATTGTGTTAGCAAGCCTTCAGACTTGGTTCATTTTGCTTATGAGACCAGACAAACACCCAGGAAAAGGATGGTAAGGAGAACAGGGCAGGGAAAGAAGAAAGTGTCAAGCTCATTTTGCCCGCTCCTCTCTGTGTTGGAACTCTCCTTCCTTTCATCTCACCGTGGCAGCAGCTATGAATTATGCATCAGGTGTGTTTGAGATGTGCCAGGAGCCCACTCCCTCTTTGCTCAGGTGTAGGGGGGAGGTTAATAGTCACGCTCACATCTGAAGTGGTAGATTATAAGGAAAAGAGATGCCCATGCACGGTTTTCCTTTCTCTCTTCCCTCTTTCCCTCCCGCTCTTCTGTCCATCCTTGCACTCATCTGTAATCAGCGTGACGTCCCTGCTCCCCCCAACTCCAATTCAGCTCTCTCAGCCGCTCCTTGAATCCCCTCCTTTCATTTACCCTGTGAATGGCTGGGAGGGAGCAGAAAAGAATGGCCGAAAGTATCTATCTCTCCCTTCTTTCCCCGTCTCTGTCTCTCTCTGTCTTTACGTTTGTGTAAAGGCGATGGATACGGCTAGCTGAAGCCCTCTGGCTGACTCTTCTTTGCATGGAGAGGCTTAGTGATGTGACCCAGACTACGAGCTGTAAGCAGGACGGACATTGAGAGGAATGCTGCTGCTGCTTCTGCCCACAGGCTCTTTCTCCAACGTGTTTGTGTAGAAGAGTGTATGTGGGCAGTGTGAGGAATAAAATCAATGATCTCAAACTTTTAGCAACAAACTGAGACTTATTTATATTCTGTCCATAACAAAATCAACATGTTACATACTTTTTCTTATATAAAATTACATGCCTTGAGGATAATTGCACAAACAGTAACCTCATTAAAGTGTAGATTGCACATGTGCAGGGAACTCAACCAAGTAAGTTTGGCTTATAAACTGATAAACTTTTGTGACATCCATATTCTGATAGGAAATTAGAAAAGTTAAATGCGGTTTAATTATCTATTCTGTAATTCAGCCAGATACGAGTCATTAAGGTCTCTGCTTGTCTCATTTGTTTTTTTCATGAATTAATGCATTAGATAACTCTAAAAACATATTTTAGCATTAGATAAGAAGATTTATGCCACACTTGTATTAGGTAAACTTTATATTAGCCAGGGTCAGTTTGGCTTCACAAAGACAAGAAACAGTAGAAAGCGTCAATTCTGGCCCTATCCATGCTTCAAAATGTATGAAATAGACTAACCGTTTTTTTCAGAGGTGACATTTCCAACCCTGATTTTGATTCTGTGAAAACAAACTATCTCACATTGTTAGGATTCTGTCAAAACTACATGCGTACATGCACATGTGTTTGGTGCAGTGGTGAAATGCTGCTTAAGGCCTCTACTTGATACGAACTTCCAAGTTGGATATATCTTTTCATATCTTTTTTGGGTTACTTTGCTTTATGGATTAAGATTTTATGTCAAAAATACATAAAGGCAGATAATGAAGTACAATGAAGCTCTTAAAGCTGCTGTTAGGAACTTCTGGGTTGTTTTGATATCAATGCCTCAAGTTGGCAAAGAGATACCTGTTATGTATTATGTATTATTATAGATAAATTTAAATGATAAATTAAACTTATTGTGAGTAAAAGTCAGGTCAATTTTTCCACCTGCTGTCAATCACCTGGTTCGACACTCCCTCCCTCACAGCAGTTAAAGCATCAAAATTTACTTCATTATTAGACATGTTGCTGATGGTCTTGTCTGATTTTGGGGTAAAAACATTATAAAGAAGCATCAGTTTCAGTCTGTTTCTCAACCAGTTACAAACTCCTCATAGCGCCTTTATTTTAATGTTTATTATTGTGATCCCTTCAAACCTGACTGAGTTTTGACCTCTTGTACTTTAAGCTCCTCTGTTTCAGAAATCCAAGATTTGCTGGCATTGTCATTAGAAACACACCCCTTCATAACCCCTCTAATGTTTTATGTTGAGTAACCCTTTGAGGCCCAAAGTTTTGGTGAAGGAGAAAAAGATTTTCTGCCCCCAAGGCTTTTAATCATCTTGACGCTCCTTAGATTTTCCTTGTGACTCTCAGAGGGACCCTCAGGCTTGGGACAATTTGACACCGAGCACAGCAAGCTTGATTTTGAGTGGGTTTGTCCTTACTTCTGAGAAAATTAACTTTCCATATATGAGGCAATAACACTTGTATACTTGTACTCATTAGACTGTTTAATACATACATTTTTATTTATGAATTGGCACTTTATCTAAAAAAAGAGATATTCATATTTTTCGAGTATTCTTTTTCTTCTTTTTTCTCCACACAAACCCCTAACCACGAACTGTTCAAGTAAAGCTGCCTAATATGAGTAATTGTTAAAGGAAAGAAATTACCTTAGTGCAATTGGCTGCTTTGGGCTCCAGGTCATTGAGTGTGACAAGCTCCCGGAGCAAACTACTCTCCTGGTAGCCTCCCTTCACCCCGCGAAGCTTAAAATATGCTTGTGGCTTGAAAAGGATGAGCCTCAAGTTGATGGCGAAGCCAGCCATGTCAATGGCAAAGGGCCGATGCGGGTCGAACACAGTCTTCCAGCCGTAGACCTTTCCAGCTGCATTCACCTTGGGGGACTCGTATCGCAAGCCACCCACAAAGGCCACGGGCCACACTGAAACTTTCCGAGTCGATCTCATCTAGCAGTGGAGAGGCAAGAAGAGAAATGGAGGAGAGGAGAAGGCAAATTAGTCAACTGAATTAGTGTACATGACAGTGACACAGAGTACTTGTGCATCAGCTGCCATCTTGACAGCGGAGCATGGACAGAGGGTTATTTGAGCTGCTGCTATTATTCATTCTAAAAGAGTGAATATTGACCGAGCTATTATGTTATGAGCAGATGACAAGCTGTAAAATACGGGCAGAGAACCCACAGCTGACATACAACAAGCTAATTGGATGCAGCCATCTTTAAAGGAGGTACGTTTTGAGAGGCTTCGGAGGAGTCAGGCGATTAGAGCCGGGGGCTCGCTACTTAGCTGAGGAGATTCTGAAGAAGATCACATCCATCCTCCTTTTTCCTTTTTTTGTTCTTTAATCTTACAAGATCAAACAATATTTCAGCCCTTTTCTTTGTCTCCCCCTCTGTGAGCCTTTGCAGGTCTAGCATGAGGTGCTGCAGTGATTAAAAACAAGGGCTATGTTTTTGCAATGAAGGATGAGGACGGTCGAGAAACAGTTAAGTCATTTAATCAAACCTAATGCAGCAGAAACAACGATACTGCTGCTTCTGGGGGAAGGGCTATTTAAAACAAAGAGACAAGTGCATGCACAGTGTCGAGATTAAGATATGTTGACGTGTTTGCATGCATACTGAACGTATCTATCTGTATACAGGCTGGTTGTGTATTTGTTCAAACATGGACAGTGGGTTTGAGTGAATCACAGGCAAATGACCTTGTGCATATAGCCTGCTTTGTTAGATTGGTGTGTGATCTGATGGGCTGCTGTGTGGTCAGTTCAGGGGATCAGAGAGAAGCAGGGTGTAAACAGCATGAGGTCGGCTGGAGGCTTATGGGAATCAGTGGAGTTGAGCTTTGGGAAAGGGACTACACTGGACATGCAGATAAGGATGTTCAGTCTTAATAAGCGCTTGGTGTTAATGGTGGAACTGAATGCATCATTGATGCTTTAATGTTAACACTCAAGATATCATGTTTTATTCTATCTTTGCGTTCTCTTTTTTTGTGGGCCTTTCAGTAAGTACGTTTACATGACACTCGAGAAAACTGAATTATTGCCTTACTCTGATTAAGACCGGACAACTGAAATGCATGTAAACACCTTAGTCTGACTATATTCAGAGTTTGAGAACTCTGATTAAAGTGGGAGAACTCAGATTAAGACACCCAGATAATGCAATTGGAATTCGATTTTTTCGACCTTGTAATCGGCGTAGTTGGAGTATGATTGGATAATGCATGTGTGCATGTGCCACGCCCCCATAACCCCAGAATAAAAAAAACACCAGAGAAGAAGTGGCGCTATCACTTTAAGAACTCCTACATCATGACCGACAAAAACAATGCTGTACGATGCTCCATCTTGCTGGAAAATGCCCAGCAGCAGTGGTCACCTGCTGCTGTTGTTGACAGTCTGGTCAATCAGAAAACAGCCCCGCTGAAAAGACTCATATCACCCCCAAGTTTTGGGTAGGAGGATACCGTCATGTCAACTATTCGATTTCCTCAGCTGCATTTATATGCGGACAAGAAAGTCTGATTCAGCGAAAAAACTAATTATGAGCTTAGTCTGATTAAGCTGTGCATGTAAATGCACCGAGTCACTTTGCAGAATATGCGCCATCAATACCTGGTTGTCACTCATTTAAAATGCTTTTGTTTTGACATTATGCAGATTTTTTTGTTGCCAGACTGCAAACGATCCAAGCTACCAACCTGTTTTATCTGGACCTCACCTGCTAGTTTCTCTTGAAGTGTGCAACTAAAAATCAAATAAAGCACGAATCAGGCTCCCTGCCAGCATGTCAAGTGGCTGATCATGTTCCCATCTACAATCGAGATGCTGCATCTGTTGTGTGTTTCAGCTAAAGTCAAACAGCAAAAACCCTTCCTCTGGTGACAGCCAAGAGAAGAGTGCAAGTTCATATTGGCCTGTTTTTCCAAATGTGACATGTGGACTCTAAAAAGAGCTATATGATGACATTATTTCAGATTTTCAATTAAACAGATGTGATATTTACATTACTGACAACAGTTTCTTTAAAAATATCTGTCATGTAAGCAACAAAAAGCAAAATATAATCCTTGTTTTCATATTTGATTTATTAGTACCACCCAACACTGAAATAAGCAGTCTGCTCATGCGAAGAGCTCATATTCCTAAAATCTGAAATTGAGGGCAGTGTGTGTTAAAAATAACATATGCTTACCAGTTAATAACTTTTTGGTGTGGGAGGGAAACATAAACTTTTCAGATAAAGCCTTGTAATTTATGCACTTTTTATTTACAGCGTGTTCTACTTTATCCAAAACAGAGAGAAACTTTCCTGAAGGTTTTGAAATTCAGTACTGTTCCCTCAGAAGTTAAAACCAGTATGAACTAGAAACTTCGACAGGCTGAGATACAAGATACTGTACTCGTGCTCTACATACACTAAGACTACCGTAATTACTCTATTCACTTTGTTAATAGCAGATATGAAGCAAGTTTGATAACAACCAGTCAGGAGTTTTATTGCTTTTGCAGAATATGTCCATCTTTCTATGTCAGTCGGTTAAAGCTAAACTAGATTCCGGCTGTGGTTTAGGATTAAACATTTTATGAATTGAAGTAGATGTTTTTGGCGTAGGCTCATCATTTCAAAAATTTTCCATGTGTGTACTACTATCTACATGTGTCAGTGATAGTTTGTGATTATGCTGTCTGTGGAAAATGATAATCTTTTCAAAATAAAGTTGACATGTTCACTTCCATTTTTTTTGTGGTCTCTGGAATCACTTTACTAAAGTCAGAGGTTTTATTTGGGGATTGACTTTACACCTTTGGCAATGTACACCACATTTTCAACCTTTTTCACCCGAGCAGTCACTTTCAGTGGACTCCTATGAGCAAAGGAAGTTTAAGTTATGTGAATGGTAGCTGCTGTCAGTTCTTTCTACCTGTTACTTTGTCTTTCTCCTTCATTTTTTTCCCCTGTCTGCCTCTCCCTATCTATTTCTGTCTACCCCTCTGTTACTATCCTCTCCTCTCTGGGCCAATCCTTTGGCCCATAAATAGGCCTGTTGGAGGTGATGGAGGGCCTCTGAGGGAGACGGAGCACTTCGGCTGATTCCCAGAGAAAGGTAATGACAGGCCCCGTCAATACCCGGCGCTCCATTTACTACAGACCCCGTCTGCACTACTAACAAGACTGGAGGCTAATACTCAGAGGACCCAGACCGTGTCCGCTCAGGTAATTCAACTGATGTCAAGATGGATGGCCCAAGATGTACTGATTACATGCCCAAACTTCTCTCTACAAGCTCTAAATCCCAAGAGATCTGGTTGTTGACCGCTTGAAAAAAGCTTCAGCCATCTGATTTTTTATTGTTATACTAAATTAAAGAATGAAGACATGAATTTAATCTGATTGAGCTCTTAAGGACTTTATAAGTTATTGGAAAGTAGGTTTCAAAACAAGACATTCATCATGCAGTGCACTAACAATAACCAACATTTTCCGTAACCTTCTTAAAAATATATGTTTTTCTTCCTGGACCTGTGGACAGAATGAGTGCACATGATATATTGCTGAAGGTTTACCAGTTTTTGGCTTTCCTGATCAATCCCAAACTCTCTGCCACAGCTGAATTGCTGCTGTGCTTCAAGCTCTCCAAACATCGTAAAATGGCTTGCCCCCGTGCTTTACTGAAAATTGTGTCTCCTCTAAGGCCAAACTGAATCACCCACTGTGAGGTCTGGACATGTTTTGTTTTCCGGAGCTCAAATTTGTTGTGCAGCGTTCAAAGGTAGATGGAGTTTGAGGATTAGGAAAGGAAATTGTGTTGAGTTGACCGTTCCTGTGTGCATACCAAAATGCAGAGTCAAGTTTTGTTGTTAAACTGGATCATGGAGATGTATTAGTACATGCTTAAAGTTGAAAATATGTGACTTTGGCTCAAAGTTGTAATGTTTTTGTTGCAGTTACTTTTAGCTAAATGTAACTAAATTTGAATCCACAATAACAATGAAATTACTACGATGAAGGTAACCGAACTATATCAAAATTGCAGCCACTGTTTGCTGCTGTCTTTAAGTACCAAACATCCACTCTCTACTTTATGTTTACACACACTGGAAAAATAAAGAGTGAAGATTAATTTATCATCCCATAATGACTTTCCAGACATTTGACACTCCATTGATAAGAGTGAAAAAGAAAAAAATGCAGAAAAGTGACATGAGTATAAAGGAGCATGATGTCACCCTATGAAAATAATGGCCTAAGTCATTTTTTGACGAAAATGAGTTTTTGGCCTAAATCAACTCTTGATAATGCTGACCATCTCTGGTAAAATCGTCAGAGATGGCCAGCATTATCAAGAAGTGATTTAGACCAAAAACTCATTTTCGTCAAAAATGACATAGGCCATTATTTTCATAGGGTGACGATGAGTTTGTGAATCAGCTCTTACCTCCTCAAACAGCTCCAGACTGTATGTGTTGTCATCATCAGCGAAGTAGACAATCCCTGCTTGGCTGCTGTTGGCGTTGAAGGTTTCCCTCAGCCACCGAAGGGCCAGATTCCTTTGCATGGTGCCCCGTGGGATTCTGGGATCTCGAGTATCACCCCTCAGTTTATAGTTCCTGGGTGTCTCTACATTGAGGTGGGTATAGTTGAGCCCAGTTTCTCTGAGGAGTCTTGTCACGAGAGGTGTCCTCCTTTGAGAGTCCTCCACCAGAATCCAGTGCAGGTTGGGAACATGGAGGAAGGTATTTGCCAGCCGTGTAAGCTCCGCCTTCTGCACCGGGCGACTATATGTGGGGGTGATGATGTGTATGGTGGGCAACACATCGGACCAGGGTGGAGGCCGTGTGTACACATACTCTGTCCTCACCACCTCCACTATGTCCTTATCTGAGGCACAGTATTCCTTGGAGTCCTGAGCTTGGCCACCAGCCTCCCTCCTCCTCTCGACACCATCATCTGCAGATTTGGGGATAAGAAGACATGTAAGGCATTAGTGCAACCTTGGGCTGCCCTTTGTATATTTTCCTCAGGTGACTTAAACCCAATGGGGGTAAAGTGTACCTGAGAGCCGGTGGTGACGGACTGCAAGCCTCTCTGGAATGATAAAGATCTCTTTTACTAGGTGGTGACAGGCTGCAAAAAGTGAAAGCAGGCACTGTGAGAGGGTAACACAGCTGATGGACAGAGAGACAGCGAGAGCAAAGGGACAGGAGGGGATGAGCCTTGCTATTCCCTCAGTGTTGCCTTCGGGCTTTTCTTCATAAAGAAAGAAAAATGTGGGTATGTGGATCCAGGAAACATGCCCTCTTTTTATGTTCAGACTCCACCATGGACTCACTTCTCCTTGTCTAACCCCACTTACTTTCCTAGCTCACCACCCCAATGAAAATCACATTTTTCTTGTTTTTTTTTATATCTTTATTTGGTATTTTTCTGATGCTACAGGACAGATCATGACAAAACTCAATGTGAAATACCTTTTCTGAGTATTCATTCATTCAAATCGCTGTGAATCTGGCAGACCCAAACGGCAGATTCAGAAACAATGAAATTTCATTCGTAACCAATCCAAGCTCCGCCCACAGCGCCCCGCTATGCAGGCCCAATTTGCATATAGAGAAGAAATACAGAGGACGATTGCAGAACAAGCATGTGCGTTAGTGGGTTGCAATGCTCAAAAGAAAGCTAATATATTAGCTTTCATCGAGTCCCTAACGACATTAGTGTCAGAGAGCTGAATAGCTCCTGTTCAATGTTAGGCAATGTTAGGCTGCAAGCTAACATGAGGACGAGTGTGCAGAGCGGCGCTGTCTCCGCCCACGACTCAAAGGTGAATTGCTAATAATCTACTGGTACTCTGCAGAAGAAAAACCTTTGAAAATGACACAGGTAATGTGATTTTTGGTAAAAACTACTGAAAACACTTCAAGTAGTAAAAAAATAAATAAATAATCGATCGGAGTGGGACTTGAACATATTTATGCTTATACATGACTGAAAACAGATTACAGGGTTATGAGGTAATTCTGATTGGGATTCAAAAGTTAATGTTTGCTTTGATGGTCACTACACTTTTTGTTAAATATCACCTGTAGTCGGGAATTCCAGAAATCAAACTGGACAAAAAGGTTGGAAACCTGCAGCAGGACAACACTTCGCTCATGACTTCTCATTTCTTTCTAGTACACAGTTTAAAGGAAATCATTCATTTAAATGTGAAAGAAGGTGAACACTTATTTAAACCTTGTGTGTAAGGTTACAGAGATTAAAAATGTGATATTCTGACTATGATTTTGGGTCTTGATAGATAGAATATAATAATTAAATCATTAAGGTTTTTAATTTCTTTTCATTGTGCTAATGGTAATCTTTTGTCACCGTTCTGCCTGAGTACCATTTGCACCTCCAGCATAAGGAGGATCTCTCTGCAGCGGATAGATTAACACAATCTGCTGATGGCCAGATGTTCGACAGAGGCTGCCAGCAAGCATGCTGCCAAAAAGGAAAAAACCCTAGCTTCTCTTTTCAGAGCATGAAAAGGGACGCTAGTATTCACAGCTGGGTCAAATGACACTGCCAAATGTTTTTTGGACTTTATTGTGTCTTTACTTAATCCCAGGAGATATTAAAATAACTGAAAGCATTTGAATTGTCAACACTTAATTTCATTAAAAGGGAGAAAATCTGTGTACCTGCAGTGCTCTGTTAGGTATATCTGTTCACTCTGTATTAGTGTTTTGTATTATATTTGCACATTAAATATTGAAATAAAGTATATGTTGTTTCTGTTGTTTTCAGACTGTCTTAAGGGGTTTGTGTGGACCTGTTTTGTTTGTCAGATCCTGAATGTTGGTTGAACCTTTCATGTTTGCTCATGACTCTCAAAGGAGAGGGCAAAGAGCATTATTGATTTTCTGTCGCTCTAATTTGGGCTTGTTTACTTTACGGTATACTTGACATTTTACACTGTTGGCTTATGGTCTCTGAGAGGATCATGAGTTAGTGTATTAATGATTCAGACTGGTGTACAACCATGATATTACAACATGGGATTCAAATATTCCATGAAGCTTAGGAAGCAGAAAAACATCAAATTTATGATAAAACAAACTGAAATCAATCCCTGCTGGATTTCAGTGCATAAAGCTGTGGAATAATTTGAATCTAAATGAATAGAATGACTCACTGACATGCTGTTTGACGCTAACATGCTGTGTTTGAGGGTAGAGGCCATGACTGAGTTATGAAACATTTTTGTTTTATCGAACTATTGTTGGCAAATGGTTATGAACACAATAAAATCCTTCAGATCTAACAGCTGAGGGATACTGTTCCACAAACAAATGGAAACTGCTGCTCAAAAATACCTCCTTGTATGCTATGTGGTTATAGCTCCCTATTCATGGACATAAAAATGAACACTGATTAGGTTTACAATGACTGGACAAGTGCTATTGAGCTCTGATGAAGCTGATGGTCGTGGTTTCCGAGTGGCTCTAAATGAACGGCCTGTTGTCTAAACTTGAAGTGTGGTGTTAGGTTCAAGGACCCACTTCAGGTTTAATATTGCCAGTGAAGTGCACTGCATACCCTTGCGGATGGCGAGAAGTGGAGCGATAGCGCTTTGGTGCCAAACAGTGATGAGCAACGTCCAGGGTAACACAATCAACACGATGGCAAGAATATCTCTTCTCTTCGGCATCTCCAGGGTTGGTTATTTGGTTCAACATTACCTGGGAAGAGAAAATGGATATATTAGTACACTTCATTTTATAAAATATGGGTAACACTTGATGCCTACGTCTATAACATATTATAAATATATGTATTATGCATTATAATCACGTTATTGCACTGTATAACTATAGTTATAAACACTCATAAATGATCATAATGCTTTATAGAAATAATCATAATACAGTACAAAGCATTTCATCATCACTTACAAGGTCAGATATATAATGTATTATAACTGTCAACAACCCACTGACAATGCCCACATAGATAATGCATTATACATATATTTATGATGAGTTATAATTTACTTGTGTAACTATCATTATAATATCTTATTAATTATAATAAGGCTTTATAACAATAAGCATAACACATTATAATACCTGACCTCATTAAGGCGTCAAGTAAAGTGTTACCAAAACATGTCAAGGAGTTATGACAATATTTAAAAAGAGAATATAAAAATACCTGAATTTAGGTTCATAACTGAAAATAAATACTGAGACAAAGTCATCAGATTATGAGAAACAAATGTGTAGCTCTCTATCACTCAAGAACCATGACCTCCTTTTTTATTCACTGTTGCAGAAACACCATAATAGACATGAGATGACAGCAGAATGAATGTGTCGCTCTGTAAGTTAAAAAAACAGACATTGGGTGAACACACAAATTGTGCAGTAGTCAAGCCTAAGCTTTGAAACACATATAATTCTGCAGCAGACAGAGCAACATTCAAGTCTCACCAAAAGAAACAGAGGTAATAATTTATGACCTCTGCAGAAAAAAAATGATTTAAGAGGTTTTAAAATGATACTGTCAGACATTTAACGAATAAAAGGTCAAAGTCGCTGAAGGAGGCCATGAAGAGAGGCTTTTTCCCTGCGCCAACCTGATGAGCTCATCTGTGCCATCACTGAGGACGGGCAGTGACTTCATGCCAAGGGAGAAAAAAAAAAAAAAAAAAAAGAAGAAACAATATTTACAGGCCAAATGGCAGGAAATGATGTCACCAGGCAGAGGGTGGACTGCTTGGCAAATGTGCAGAGTTCAGATCATATTGGTCAGCTTTGTATCCCCTTTAAAAAATCTACCAGCACCATAAACAGCGTGATGATTAAAACCATGTTTGTACAATTTTTAACAATGTGATGAAAGAGAAAATATATTTCATAGTAGCTTATAAAAATATAAGCTTTTGGACGTCACATAAACTCAGACTGAGGCTTGAGGTGCATGTTCCAGTAAGTCCAATTTAGCAAGTTAACGTTAAGACTTAAAGATGTGTTGCCTTGTAAGCCACGCTGGGTCAGGTCCTCACTAATGTTGCAGCAAGTAAACACGACTGACAAACCTGCAAATCTGGTTAGAGCTAGCAATGTTTGAGCTCATGCTGAAAAAAAAAAAAAGCCTTAAAGAGTGTAACTGAACACACCCTGACATACCAATATTACAATTTGATGACACATAAATGACTAGTCCTAATTTGTCAAAGTTGATTTAAGAGGAGTCAAAAACTGTATTCATGTAGCTTACTATATTAACTGACTTCACGCTGTCTGACATCAATCTATCTAAGAAAATATTCAATAAAGAGGGAGGGTTAGTTCATCCATTATGATGGCCAAAAACTTGGTAGGTTTACTCTTAATCTTGCCAAACTCCAAACTTCTTAGTTTTATTAAAAACGAATTAACATATTTTCAGATGTATCTTTATTCAAGTTCTTCTCCCTGAACCACTGTTGATCATTTACATTGAGTTGAAATATGACAGTCCCCCATATTACTCTACAAGTCAGTTTCCCCCTCTTAAATGCTATTGCATTACCCTGAGCAATAACTGGGAAAAACACAGCCATCAACTTATCTGCGCGATAAAACAAAGGAGAAAAAGACATCATGTGGGCCCAGGTGTTTGCCATTCAGATTTTCACATGAGGAAACCAGTCATCATTTCTCACAGTTATCCAGGTCCCACTGCTGGGAGAGGTGGCGGTATACAGAGGCTTAAAATATTGTACAAGACAATTATGTTTATTGAGCTCTGTAGATAAACACATCATTAATGCCTGAGCCATCAGGGGAGAATGGATGGAGTGTAAGTGGTGACTCAAGCTGTGCACCATTTTTCTGATATGGAATTTGACTGTATGAAATTTTTAACTCATGACTTTGGAGAGGTGATTTGCAGCACAGCCCTATGATATTATAATACATGGCTCTGCATGCTTAAGTAGAAGAGCAATACATCATACAGAAAATATTCCATTAGACTTTGCGCATCCTGGAATAAATTACAGAAGGATTTCACTGATAAACACACTAAGTACTAGGGTTGGGATAAAAAAATCGATACAGCATAGTATTGCGGTATTTTGTCTGGTGATGTATCGCATTGTCTCCTTTATCAAGTACTGATTTTTCAAATTATTGCTAAAATGAAGTCAAATCTATGATAATGGAAAATAAAAATCAACTGTTTGTCCAGTGAGGTTGGCAGAGGTGACACCATACAGCAGGAGAAAGTTAGTACAACATATAAGTAAAAGGTTTGCAAGAGGTGTTACATAAAAATAAAATTGAGCGTAAATAAGACAAACACAAAGAGGGACAAATGCTGAATTAGCTAAAACGTTGAAAAAATTGCATAAATCGCAATACATTGTATCACAATATTTATTGTATTGCAAAGTGTTAAAAATCGTGATAATATCGAATCATGGCCCAAGTACCGTGATAATATTGTATCGTGGCCCAAGTATCGTGATAATATCGAATCATGGCCCAAGTATTGTGATTAAATTGTATCGTGGCCTAAGTATCGTGATAATATCGTATCATAGCCCAAGTATCGTGATAATATTGTATCGTGGCCCAAGTATCAAGATAATATTGTATCGTGACCCAAGTATCTTGATGACATTGTATTGTGGCCAAAGTATCAAGATAATATTGTATTGTTGCCCAAGTATCGAGATAATATCATATTGTGGCCCAATTATCGTGATAATATTGTATCATGACCCAAGTATCGTGATAATATTGTATCATGGCCCAAGTATCCGGATAATATTGTATCATGGCCCAAGTATCCGGATTATATTGTATCGTGGGGCCACTTGTGATTACTATGAAGCAGGGAGTTTCCTACATAACAGACTTCTGTGGTCAACTTTACAGAATTTTAACATCACCTTTCATGCCTCTCCATTTCTGGGTAACTGAGGAGAGTCTGATGTAGAATAAGACGGTAGAGGCCAAAACGAGGCAGCAAAAGCAAAGAAATGCTGATTGATTCATAGGTGAAGATGGGAACACTCTGAGTTCCAATTACATGAACCAAAAGTATGTTCAAGATTCAACATATCGTTCTTAGATTTGTTGTTTCAGGTTGACCGGGTAACCCTAATGACTGCACTGTGACATTTGTTAGCTCTATTTCTGACATAGCTCAAGAGTCACCAAGGACACCATACTCACGGAGCACTTCTTTTTTTTGGATGAAAATTGATCCAAATGTGTGGAACATATCAAAATGCCCATTGTAATATTATACCATCTCAACTGTGAAAATGAAAAAGGCTCAAGATACTCACCCACAGTTAAAACTGGATCATGGCAACACAGTTGATGTGCAGCAGGGAGGACCACACTGCATACTTGACAAACTACGTAGTGGTGACGTTTATGACATCTCTGCCGGCCATTTCCTCCTCCTCTTCTCCTGCCCGCCTACCCCTGCAGACAGGCCAATCTTGGTCCAGACCTGTGAAATACAGACATTTCAGTAAATATGATTTCAGTGTTTTTTCCTCTTTGCGTATTTACAGTCTGTATCTTGATCGCGCGTTCAAGGACAGTGAGTCTGGTTTTAACATAGCAGATTGGCGAGGGCTTGAAAGTCAAATGCTTTATAGAGATTCTTGGCTGAACCTTCATGAGTAGTGTGGCTGTGTGATGTGATGTCTATTCATTATTTAACATCAAAGAGCCCGGGCTGAAACTGCAGCAGAGGAAAAAGTGTGTCAGTAAAGTAATGAACAATTTGGATGCACGTTATTCAGGATCAAAGATGATCCCCCCCCCCCCAGTGAAACACCGCTGCTGCTCTGTAATGCAGAAATTAACACTGTATACTCCGATAAGAATTTTTACCTAATTGCCTACAGTGTGAACCGCAGAGAAACAGACTGAGTGTTTTTTGTTCTATTTTCCCTGCCTAATGTGGAGACTAGAAGAGGGTTAGTCACAACTCCATTGCTTGCCAACAGTCTGGGGTGGGGGATGTTACGAAAATAAACTGGCATCATGTCTTATTCAAATACATCTGAGGGAACGCTGCGTCTATGGCGGCTTATACCTCACTCAGCCAGTGATGTCTGCATGCTGCATCAGCTCCAAAAGAGATGGCTGCAGACTGTGTTTCCAGGGCTTTATAATTGAGACTCATATAAACTGTTAATGTGTAGGTTTTGGAAATGAACAGCAGGAGTCCCAGAATCATTTTACTGAGGTACACTTTTGGGAAAAAAAAAAGGAAATTTGCTGTGATCCAGTCATGCAGTAGGGGGTGTTTGTACTTGATTTGCACCAAAAACTCAAAATAATCTATTTTCAGATTGCTGTGACTCATTGTCCAAATCCAAAAACTGAGGCATCAAGCATCTGAGAGTAGATATCAGTGGTGTGGAAACAGGAATAAAAGATGAATACCACTTAACTGTCTTTGTGGATTAGCATAGCTTCTGCATTATCTGACTGCTGTGACAATGACGAGCACGTACTGCAGTGAAAAAATACAATAGCTAAACAGCGGTGAGCGAAATCCTTTATTGTTATTGTCATATATGTGGATTCCCATTGACAACTCTTATTTCTGTTGTGTGTTGAGTCAACAGAGCAAGAAATGTATGTTTGATAATATGGATTATTTCATCATCTGTTATTGATGAAGTTTTTATTCATCATTTCACTCCTTTTATGGGCGGCATTAACTTCAAAAGAGCCTACGCCTCGCATTTAAGCAATTCTAGCAAAATATCCAGTCCAATCCAGGTTTATTTATAAAGCACATTTAAAAACAACAGAATGCTGAGCAAAGTGCTGTACAGTAAAAATTAAAACAATACAACTAGACAATGAACACAAACAATAAAACAAAGACAAAGGAACACATTAAAAAAAGGGGGACATAGATGGTTCAGTAAAAAACATGATTAAATAAAAGTTAAAAGTTAATAAAAGTTAAAAGTGATAAAAGTTCTCCAGAGTTTAAAGCCAAGGAGTAAAAGTGCGTTTTCAAATTTGATTTAGAAACAAGCAGTGAAGGGGACAGTCAGACATGAAGAGGAAGAGCATTCCCGAGTTAGGTGCAGCAGTAGAAAAAGCCTGGTCTCCCCTCAACTTTAATCTTGACCTAGGGACAGTCAGAAGGCACTGGCCAGAGGATCTGAGAGTCCGAGATGAAATATAGGGTTTTGAAAGGTCAGAGAGATAAAAAGGAGCAAGCCCGTTTAAAGATTTATAAGTTTATAACAAAATTTTAAAATCAATCCTAAAATGCACAGGAAGCCAGTGAAGAGAGGCTAAAATAGGGGAAATGTGGTCATATTTATGGTGACCAGATAAAACACGAGCTGTAGCATTTTGAACGAGCTGTAAACGATTAAGAGAGGTTTAGCTGGCACCAAAAAAAAGTGCACTGCAATAATCAAGACGAGTTGTGATAAAAGCTTGCATAACCTTCTCAAAATCACTAAAAGATAAAAAAAGACGACCTTGTTTAAAAGACGAAGATGATAAGCATGAGCATTTATCTGTAGATCCATTTTAAAATCTCTGTCCATTATAACCCCAAGAGTCTTTAAGAAGGGCTCGAAAGTGGACAGATCTGCTCTGGGGCAGCTGCCATGTGGTCCAAAGACAATTACTTCAGTCTTACTCTTATTTAATTTCAGAAAAATTAGAGCCATCCAGGTTTTAATGTCCCTCAGACAGTCTAACAGTGGGCCCAAGGCATTGGAAGCTCCTAATTTCAGGGGTAAATACAGCAGCGTATCATCAGCATTGAAATGAAAAGAAATGTTATATTTTTTAAATATAGATCCCAGGGGGAGCATATATAAGGAGAAAAGGACTGGGCTGGGTATAGAGCCTTGGGGCACTCCACATGGAAGAGGAGCTGAGAAATGGCTTTGCTTATTCTGTTAATTTAAGATGAGAAATAGTTACACAGTTTCTGGCAATAAAAAAAGGTCTCAAGGACAGTTGGAATCATGGTATTTGGAGGATATCCTCTACTCATCTGTGAGAAATACTCTATTTGCAGTAGCTTTGTACTTTATTGCCAATACAACTATGCAAACACATTTAAATGAGATCTTGATAGACAAGTTAAAGAAAAGTCAAGTAAGTATTCTGAATTAGAAAGGTGAGATTCCAAATTCAGGATGTTAGTTTTAGCGATGTGAACTTGTTAGCATGCTAATTTTGTTAACCCAAGCACTGCTGCGCTGAGCTACAACCTCACGGCCCAGCTAGCATGTCTGTAACTAAGAGGTGAATCACTTCTTTACAAATTAAAACTGCCCGCATTTCTCTTGGTTTGTAGACTTATCCGTTTTGTCACATTAATGAAGTCAAGACATTCCTCCATACCCACAGCTGTGTAAAGTAGTAAGGCGTCTTCACCTCAGCAGGACCCACTCAACCTATTTGTACTCGGCACCTAGCCTGCGTGACGTGACAAGAATACACACCACAGACGACAGCAGCTGATGGCAGACAATGAAGCTTGACGGCTTTTCACATCAGCACAGGTTAACCAGCTGTGAAGAGAACACCTGCCGCCGATTAACGAAGAATTACTGTAACAAAGCATGTGTGAAAATTATCCTACAGAATGTTGAACTTACACCAGGACCCCCCTTAAAGTTTTCTGTGAAAATATTATATTATACTGTGACTTGATTGTAATGACATGCAAAAATTCAGTGTTGTATATTTTTAGATATGAATAATAAAGTTAGTTTTCATTGGTTAGGTATATTGCCTTGTTGTATATTTAGCACCCAGGCTGCATGGAGAAAGGAACCTTGCCTTGAATGTGGCCTTATTTATGAGTGTTTCTTATTTGTTTGTTTATTTTGTTTTATACTAAGTTTCCTAGCTTTCCTTAATCCTCCAGAGGATTTGTCAGGCGTCTGGCAAAAAAGACTCCAAGTTCCAAGAAAGATGGATTTATTCCATATCCCACACCCTAAAGATGGTGCCAATTTTTTAAATATACATATATTATGTGTGGTAAAATAGAACTAACTTTGTTTTTCTGGAGCAACTGTAAAGGCATCAAAAATACCTTTATTTATTTTATTTATCTAATAATGGATTTATCTATCTATCTATCTATCTATCTATCTATCTATCTATCTATCTATCTATCTATCTATCTATCTATCTATCTATCTAATTTGTCGCAAGTGTTAAAGTGCATATTGGCACATGATCCAATACAACCCTGTACTACTTGTTTCGGTGATAGAAATACTTTGACAGGTGCTAAATGGTAAACCCTGATTATTTACTACACAGTTGCTCACAGTGACGTGTACATCAGAGTCATCAGGTCAGCACTGCAGGCTCACACATTCTCCCTGTCTCTCCTCTCCTCCTCTAGATTTACAAAGCTGAGTCCACAAAGACGAAGCAGGGGCACGATTCCAAGTTGGTAATCGAGTCTGCCTCTGACTTCTGAGCTCCCTCGGCCATCTCCTATTTCCCGGGGACCAATAATAACATAATCTTTTCCTCGCCAGCTTTGCGGCAACATTTTGATGTGTTCTCCAGTTGACAGGGAGAGGAGGGTCCCTGGAGATACAGTGCGCTGGTATGTCCAATCGTCTCCTTCAGTTTATAAATTCATGATCTCTGACTAACTTGGTGAGGCTCTGAACTGTTTTCAGATATGTGAGGATTCCTCCAAGATGTGGGGCAATGGATCATTATCGATGTTTCTGTCACTGCCCCAAAAACAGCTTCGCCTGGAGGTGTTATTAAAAGTGAATTTGGAATGTTAGAGCATTGATTCAAACAGGCTTAATTGCTTCTGAAGTAGAGTAAGCCAAGACCAGGTGATCTGTCTAGGCTTTCTCTGGCACATTTGCTTCTTATATAGGTTTGCTGTCACAATAAAAGCATCGAAACGGTGACACTAATATATTTCCATGCAAACTGACAGCCAACAGTGTAAAATATTTACACATTTTTTATGGTAGAAGATAAAAAAAAGGACGGATCACAAACGTCTACGCGTGATCTGCATCAGTGATTTCATACTCAAGGTCCTTTTGCCTGAATGACCTTCAGATTTCATGTGTTCATGCATACTCTCTGTCATGTGTTAAAAACAACCTTATTCAGAAGCTCTATTTATTAATTTATCATTCCACATGGAGACAAACTGTGAAAAAAAAACTGGAAATAGGATGAAAAAAAAAACACTACAGGCTGTTTTTGTGGAGATGTGAACAATCTGTTTTGAAGACAGATGTGCGCTGAAGCAGTGTGAATCTTTTGGACTGTGTTTTCCTTACTGCAATTATACTCATTTGTGTAAAGAAGATGGTAACAGAGACATACTGCACATTCCTAATTTGAAATATCGAGCAGAGTTGCAATGATTGTAAAAATGCAAAGGATGGTGCTTTAATTCCCAAAACAAAACATAAGCAAAACAAATGATACTCTGTGTTGCTTGGGTTTATGGGAGATATTTTGGTCATACTTTACAATAACCTTATGGTAAATATACCATTTATAAATGGTAATCAGATAGTTTATTAATGTTTAATCATCATTTATAAATAGCATATAGACCATTAATAAATTGTACATTGTACAATTTTAAAAACCCTAACTTTACAATAACCATCTAAGTAATGTTTATAGGTGGTTTATAAACCAAATGTTAAACATTCACAAAGTGCTTAATCTAGATGTTTTACAACCAATATTTAAACCTATATAAACCCTTAATAAATAGTCCATTGATAATTAATGAAAATTATTAATCATAATTTCAGTGCTTGTTAATGGTAAAGTAACTATTAACTTACATTCATAAACTGTTTGCCATTCATAATTGGTCTATATGCTGTTTTTAGATGATGATTAAACATTAATAAACTATCTATTTACTATTAATAAATTATGGTTATTGTAAAGTGTTACTGATATTTCCCTTATTTAAATTATCCAAACCAGCAAACATTTCAGGTTTCCTTGCTCTCTGCCATTCAGATTCTCAGTTGGAATTGAATAAAAGGTCATCCTTTCTGCCATTTCTTTGGCTCCATCAATCCAATTCACACCTGCCATGGGGCAAGTCTCTTCAAAATTTGATCCTCTCTCCTCATGAAACATGTGCCTGCAAAGAGTCGGGCTAATAATAGCAATGCAGCAAGGCAAAACAGCAACCGTATGAATACTGAGATTGCCTCTGAGAGGGGAGACAGTTATGTTGTTTACGATCATATCATGTTGGAAGTTGTATCTTAAATCATGTTAACTGGACTGATAACTGGATTAACTGTTGAGCAATTATTAATCACAGAGTGCCTAATGTGTAATTTATAGACACATTAAAAAAACACATCAGCTTTAATATGCCTGATTTGACTATTTTGCATGTTGCAGAAAGGCTAAAAACCACTGTATGTGCCATTTGAACAAAAAATTGCCAAGAGGGTATAACAGCAAGTGCTGTTCCTCATGCTTGATTTACATGCGGATGGCTGTTTAATTTTCAGGAAAACTTGAATAACCCATTAGCTATGAGCATTGGCCCTGATTGATGGCCCCAGTCTGTGCCAGGATCAGGCTGCCTCAGCAATGATAAAAGATTTAAGAGCACCAACCTTCAGGCAGGTTCTTCTTTGCTGATATCTACAGGGGATAGCCAAGCTCAGCCCAACCCTTAACTTATTCAGACTAATTTATAGTCCAGCTCACCCAGGGCACATTTCCAATGCTGGACCAAGGAGCACCGTGCAGTCTCTCACAGCTGACTGAACAGACTGACAGAACTCTGTCAGGGTTGTGGGGGCTGCCACTGAGACATGGACCTGCCGTGTCGGGTCAGCTCTGATCAAAATGAAGTCAAGGGAAATGTCATTTTAGGGAGACAGTGTGCAGACATGGGAGCAATAGATGAACTGTCTCATAGTCGCAGCAAAAATCTACTCCTGATTTCAAGTCAGCAAAAAGCCATTATTAATGAAGAAATATAATTATCACAGACATTTAGATTCTTTTTTTGTGGACTCACACAAACATGTAACTCTAAAACAGAGTTAACAACAGTGAAGAAAGAACTCATATAGGTCCAACACTACAGGGGGAAACAATTCATCGCAACCCACTGACTTTGTGCTACAACAACATGACTCTCTATCTGCTCAGACAACTGTCAGACAGTGGGATACTCTGACACTTAAGAACCTAAAACCTAGATTTATAACCCTCTAAGGACAGAGAAAGAGCCTTTAAGACAACAAGATGGCAAACAGGCGATAAGAACCAACAGCAAGGGGGAAGTGAAAACTACCAGAAATCAATATATGCATTATTTTGATCTTTGTTTGTTTGAATCATATTCTTATTCAGTATTAAAGACACCATACTAGATCAGACTCTTAAACATTTTTTTTTATTATTACAGGTGTACACAACACGGTGCCCTAAACAAAGACCATGAAGAGCCGTCCTGTCCCCACCCACCCACTAACACACACACACACGCACACTTACGAAACTGTATCACATCCTTCATATCTACAGCAGATATAAATGATTTATATCTACATATCTTTAGCTATCTAATTAACTAATGTTTTCTTTAAGTGAATTAAGTGTCTACACAACTGTTTGTCATTTCATCAGCTTGGCTTGTACTCTTTTGAATCTACATCTAAACAGGATATACTACCTGGTCTTCAAAACACCTTTAATTCTAAGTAAATCACTCAGCAGAGATAGAGAAATTAATATTTAATTTATTGTTTTGCCTTTGTTGTAGTTTGGTCACACCCCACAAGATGTTATTTATAAAATCCTTTGTGTGCAAACAACATAATATTCAATATCAATAATGAAGTACAGGCCTTTGTTGACCATGAGAAAAATCTATAGGTTACAACCTTCAGACAGTTTCCAGGTTTGATTTATAAATGCGAACCTTCACAGTTTCCAGCAGTAAAAGGGGAAGCAGTGTTTATCTCATTAAAATCTTTAGCTATGGTAGACATTGATTTCGACTGCATGTGACATGACTGCTCTGTGAACAGGCCTATTATTCCTCAACATAAGGCCAAAGGTCAGCAGAGAGAGCTCCAAGATTCATTAGCTAATTAAAGCCTGCTTCCTGAGAGAGAGTTTAGGTGTTCGACACTCCCCTGGACTATCTCCCTCAGACTTCAACGCGCGAGCTCTGCTGAGTTTCTTAATGAGTGTTGGACCATGGATATCTCCACTGAAAGATTCCCCTGTGTCTAAGTCCCCCCAATTATACGCTCTTGTGGAGGGAAAATATATATAATTATGATTCCAATCATCACTAATTGAACCTGGGGGATTTGATCCAATACAGTGACAGTGTAGCCGAGAGTTTTGTTTGGACAAGGAAATAACTGATGTAAATAAGGAGAACCAAGAGACATTTTAAAAAAAACATGCCTCACAAGAATCTTTGGTTAGACAATGGAGCCGATCCCTCTGTCATCTGAAGAAACCAGAATAAATCAAATCACAGTTAAAGAAATGAAAAGGAAACAAAGAAAACCTGCCCTGATACACATCTGCTAATGATCAACTGAGATTTCCAAGTCAAGACTGGTGCTGAGCTCAGTGTGTTAAAGGGTCTCACAGTTGCATGTCGGAATTCAAATCTGGTGTGTCTGATGATAGCATGCATACTCAACATATCCTTTCCCAAGACTAAGGATATGTCTGCGCTTGAACTTGACACATAACAATAATGATCTCGAACAGACACATGTGTTTATCCAAGTCCAACTCTGGTGCTTTCTTAATTATACAATTAGTCAGAGTGTTGGTATATATACCAAGTCCCTCTATGACAAGCTGTCATTAGCATTGAACCTGCCAGTAAAACATGCCCCCTAGGAGACAGCTAATTTGCAGAGAAGACTCATTTAATAGCATTGGTAATTAGTGGAAAGATACATCATCATTATTATTGTTTCCCATGCTTATTACATGTGTAAGTCATCCATTTGCTAGTGCTGTGGTGTGTCCCATCAACACAATTTCACAGTTTCAGCATATTTGTCAAGATGATGTACTCACACTCATGTTTAATACATTTAGAACTACAGTCCAAATACTAAAAATAAATCAAAACATATTGTTTTGCTTGTGTCCAGCATCTGTGTCCTGCAAGTAACCAAGTACTTCATTTGAGTATGCCTGTTTACTTTGGCACCATTTTTAATTTTCCTTTAACACCATAATAACAAATTGTTTACACCATATCAAAATCAGTTTGACACATGCACCAGGACCTTAGTAAGATGTAAAGTAATGATGTTTAACGCAGGTCTGAGTAGCATGTTAGCTATGTTTCTTCTTGTTTCAAAGCACCTTTGACATTCATAATGTAGTCTTAATTATTATTTCTCATCCCTTACTAATTTTATCCGTCCTTCTCTGCTTGTACGCTGCTATTCACAGTAACATTCAAAGAGCACCTTGAGGCAAAAAAAAAAGATGACACCAACAATGTTGACACAGCGATTGTGTGTCTGCTGATGCCACATTACAGAGGTGTCACTGACTCAACGGAGAAATGACTTTGCTGAGATAAAGAGCACAGTGGTGACTGACAGCATGTCTTTGCAGGCAAAACTGTGGCCACATCCATAGGCCATTTGAAGGCTTCGTGGATGCTGTGCAAGCATCTGGAAAAAATACCGTAGTACAGTTTCACTATCATAATAATGAGTGAGGGGTGTGACTCAAATTAGCCTGCATCAGTGACATTTCTAAAATGTTATTTAATACCCTTCATTATATAAACAAGACCTCTTCTTGACTAATAGAGAGGGCGGAGTAAGAAATTACCTGGTTATATGCTAATTGCAGCATGCACACGCTTGCAAATCAGTATACAATTCATGTTGGGAAATATGCTTATTCTTATTACCAGATTTGATTAAAAGAACAATCATAATTTCTGTATGGTGAAGATTAAGCATTGAACCCCAGCTGAAACTACAGGAAGTAACTTATTCTTGCAATGAGTCACTCCTCCCTCTCGGTACCAATGCTACTTGAAATTCTTGTACAACATTTAGAAAGCTTATGATTTAAAAGGAGAAAAGCAGAGAGTGACAAATAAAGGGGCTTAGGGTTACTTGTTCAACTAATTGGCTGCTGGCAGTAGAAATATTGACCAGATGGACATGGAGGGATGAAGTCAATTTTCTCATCTAACTCATGGCAAAAAAGCAAATAATTCTGAATAGTTAAAAAAATCCTGCCAATAAACAATATTTGATAGAAAAAGCTTTTGCAAATGACCACAGTATTTACATAAATGATGTTTAATATGTTTATTTCTATTTCCTCTGATTTTACTGCAAAGGTGAGTCATTTGTGCTCCTTCTGTGACCATAGTAACAAAAAGCCAGCATGACTTTCCTCCAGTCTAATGGCGATCAATAGCCCGTAAGCTGAAGGAAACCCTCCTGTATCTGTCATTGGATGGAGCCATAGGACCTCAATGAGGGGGTGGCTGAAGAATAGTCGAGGTGGATCGGCCCAGTTTCTTTAATGAGCCCCCTCGGGGCTCCCACATTACATGTGGAAATGGCTCCAATTAAGCCATCCAGCTATAAAGTCCACAGGAAGCGAGGATTGGACAGTTAGAGGGAGGATATGGTGGGGACTGGCGACCACTTTGATCAGGGCTGCATGAAACACTATTATTTTCTGTGGTAAATGGACTCTGTTTATATCGCAGTTTCTGTAGTCTTCTGACCACTCAAAGTGCTTTTACATTACATGGAGCAGGTGAGGTCCAGTGTCTTGATATTGATATTTGGCGTATGGACAGCCCTGCAATTGAATCCCTGACCTTCCCATTGGGAGATCAGCGAGTCTAACACTGAGCCACAGCCGCCCGAGCCTGTGCCTTTGTACCATGATCATTGTCTGCTGATCGCACAGACATGAAGCTCTTTCCCCTTCAGTTTAAAGACCCTAACCACTTCACAGTGAGTCCTCATAACTGCTTCTTATGTTAAAGCACAATGATGTTAATTCTGTTTTGCGGTCAATAGCTTTCAGTACTTGGCATCAGATGCCAATGCATGCAAATTTCATTTGAATAACATCTCTATTCGCCTGCAGTCAACAGATTACCATAATTATCATATTTTCAATCCAATGAAATCTTGTTCAGTCATAAAACATTCATCATATGCTCTGAAAGGAAATGTAGATTTAGTATTTTTCTCGGTTGGTAACTAATAGGCCATCACAACCTCATAGAGGTTACTCATCATCAAGAGTTTGATGAGTGTATCCCTGAAGTTTGACTGACCCCTTTGGCTTGTTGACCTTTTATGTAACACAAGGATATTTGTATGGAGTATAAACATTCAGCATGGGAAAGGTCAGTAGATTAACAAATTCATTCATCTACATGAAACAAGCCTTCATTTGATCCCCTTATCGCCGTGGCAGCGTTTGAAATTATCTCTATCATGCTTGTGTCTCACAGTGGATGATTACATCCTTAATCAGTTTCTAAAGAAGTAATCAGACTGTTTTTTTTTTGCTTATATTGCCACAAAAATGTGATATTTATCACTTTGGAAAGAGAAGTAAAATTGTTTTCATAACATTTAACAATTATCAGTAGAATTTTGCTCTCCTTGACTTTCTGGGGCCAAACGTCTTAGAGACTTGAAACATATGCAGGTGCCATTACTGTATGGTATGACCTCTAGTTGAGCCTTCTAGTAGACTTTCACCAGCTCGCTATCGATCAGCCTGGTCGAATCCAGACTGACTTGATGATTTTATACAGCTCTGAGTAAAAGCAGTGCTTGAAACCCATCCCTGCACTCAGACTATCTTCCTACATAAGCAGTCTCGACCTGCTTCTTTAAACTGCGTTTGTATCAGAGTGACTTGTAACGCTTGGTGAGCCAAAATCAATTGAATATCACCGTTCCTATCACCCTCTCTGCTTGGTTTGTGTTCTGTGATTAAGTCAAAGCAAATATTATTTCATTTATTAGTTTTTTCTTTCAACTGTTTCCATGCTTGCACATCCACACACAATCTGCAGAAATTAAAATATGTATTTGACAGAGGTGGATGGTTGTAATGCATCTTAGAGGTTGGTTATAGAAAAAATTCAAATGACACTAATTGTTCTTAGCCAAGGGACACCAGCGCCACGGACCAAAGCAGTGTGTTACTTATTCTCCAGGGAACAATAAGGGGTGGGCGACATGATTGCCTGTAATAAATCCTGTTGCTCTTACATATTTCACCATGTCGCTGTTATTTAGTACCACACATACTGCCAACAGCTGTCAGGTCTTTAAAAGTCAGTGTTCTTTCATGTTGTCTGTACAAGAAATGATAGAGTAGTGTTATCTTCACTTGAGCCATCAATGCATTCCTGCAGAAAACACTATTCATTTGCAATCCAGAAAGAAATCTCACGATTGGAATTCATCACAGTGAGAAAGAATATAACAAAATTCATCATTTGATCACATCGCTGCAGTTCAGAGCAGAGATGACAGCTTTCTCACACTTGAGTCAGGTCACTTTTTATTTTTGTGATCTTTTTTTCTGACTCAAATTTGAATTTAAATCTTTCTAGCACTGCAGTCAATTGTGAAATCTCTATGTAAAATTGGCCACAGGATTTGTGCAGTTTCAGCCAAAGCTATTTTCTCTTCCCTCACTCAAATCAAACTTTTGAGAAAATAGCACAAACAGTTTGAGTCATTTTGTATTACACTGAAATACAAACTACTGCTGTCTGGTTTATTTTGTTTGATTTTTTGTGTGCGTCTTATTTTTTCTTTTGCTGCTTTCCTGGCCATGCCCGTGTGTTTGGTCCTGATACGCTACAAAAGTACATTTCTGAACAAGACTGGCAGACTGTTTTGAACAATGCAGCTCTATATGAAATAGCTCAACTGCATAGTAATTTGGATGAGTTGTTTCACAGTTAAACACCTCATCATCTGTCGACTGTGTTTCTCCAAATTCCCCTAAGCTTTGGTGTTTTTCACACTTAGATTTCCCCTGGCACAACTGAAAATGCATTAAAGGTAGAGTGTGTTGACATTTTAAATAACACACTTGATAGAATAGGAAATAATATGCACAATTATTCTTAAATAAGTGCACAATTGCCTGAATATACCAACCATTTTGAGTTGTTAGTTCAGTAAGAGTCTTTTGTACCTCTACAGGGGGTGAGTACCTTTCTGCAGGGGCTACTATCTTGCATCGACTTGTTTTTACATCTGCACAAACTTGTAACATCCATGTGCATTTTTATTTGTAATGTGTGTGTCTTATACGCACTGATTAAGAGACAAAAAAAGAAGAGAGTGGTTTTGATGCACAGAATTTATGAACATGTTAATTTTGGAAGTAGTTTTTAATTTAGTTTTAGTTAAAGTCTTTAGCCTAAAATGTCTTTTAGTTTTAGTCATAACTCAGTGGCTTTCACATCCTAGACCTAAATAGCATGGCAGGCAGAAGAGCATGTACGTGTGTTGCATCACCAAATGGTGTAACTACTGAATCAGCTTTCTGACAATTAAGTGCTGAAAAATAACTTGAAAGTGCATACACGTAAACTGAGATGAGTGCTTGGGTCAAAGTCTCAAACTTAGTTGAATTATATGGCAGACCTGACTCTTCCTGCCAAAGGAAAAAGAAAAAAACTTTCTGCAGTCTCTGAGCTAAAGGACAGAGCTGACTGAGATTCATTGTGGTTGATCCAATAGCTATTAAAGGGATATTCCGGCGTAAAATTAATTTAAGGTCAAACACACTGTAACACAGAGTTAGACACCCCCTCGAGAGATTAACGTTGCCGACAGCTTGCTTCTCTAGTTATACCAACTTTAGTAACGACCGCACAATAGCAATACTTAATCATTTCCTTGAAGTAATAATCACCATATTAATCATTTTGCAGTGCAAACACGGTAGTTCATCTGCCTTAGCGTCTCGGTCTGATTGCATTTCCATGGATGAATGATCATAAATGTTCTTCCTCGAGTTGCTTCACCCTGCTGCACTTGATGATGGACTTGTCCGAGGTCTTTCTACAAACAAGCGGCTGCTGGAAGAGAGTAGGTGAGTTGTGTTTAGTCTCTTTGCTAAAGAAATTAGGCAAAGCTAAAAAGATGTTTGGTGGCTAGTGCTGTGGTTTGGACCCTATATGTACTGTTGATGAAGTTAGGTGCTGTTCTGAGCATTATTTATGGCTACAGAGTGGCTTGTTGGTTGAGGTATGTGCGTGGAGACGTAGACCACTGTGTATTGCCATTGTGTGGTCGTAACTAAAGTTGGTATAACTAGAGAAGCAAGCGGTCGGCAACATTTGTCTCTCAAGGGGGTGTCTAACTCAGTGTTACGATGTGTTTGACTCTAACTTAATTTTATGCCGGATTATCCCTTTAAAATGAAAATCATAAACCCCATTTTAAAAAGACAAAAGTCCTTTTAAAAGACTGTTTCATCCATGCATTTAATCCTAAACACTACATGTCATACGTTGTGCCTTTATGTGGGGTTAGAAAAAAGCAATGATGGCCCCACGGGGGTTTGTTGTGGCTGGACAATCGCAGGGTTAGACAGCGTTGGTGAATCCTCTTTGCCTCCCATAGGAGATGGTTCAAATCGTCATGGTTGTGCTTCACTTGAGTCTGCTGTCCTGCTAACTAATGCTGGTTGGCCTGGCCTTGGGCTGTCCATGACACACACTCACACACGCTAACACACTGATGTGGTCTGATGGGCTTCAGGGTGATTTAAGCTCTCAAAAAGCCTTCAGGATCTCCCTGTATTCTATATGTGTGCAAGTGGATGCGTTCATATTTGTGCTTTTTGTGTGTGTACGTGTATGCGAAATGGCTGCATGCTGTTTTATGTTTGTGGGGTGTTATCAGACATCTGAACACCAACTTTTACAATTTTCCAGAACCTGGCCGAGTCTTAAAGCAGTCCTAGTTATCTAATCTTGCAGGAGCTCACAGGTGCAGGCACCATACAGGGCTGAAGCCAGCTGGCTCCAGGATAAATCAAAAAGAAGTCTGGGAGACCGAAACACTCATGTGGGTCACGTTGGTGTTGGAGAAATGGACGTGTTCAAATGCTGAACTTTAGATGATCTGCTGTGTTCATTTGAGCCTCTTGCGTGTTAAAGAGACTTGTTTCTCAGCATGATTTGACATTCTGTTTTGTATTTGATTCTGTAACTGCACCAAACAACTCTTCCGTGAGTAGTTTCCACTCCAAAATCAGGTCTGTGCACTAAATAATTTAATGTTTAAGAGAGAAATGTTGAGAGACATTTCTCATTATAACAATGAGATTGCAAAAACTTGCATCATTTTTTTTCGCTTCTCCTCACAATATAACATTATCCATGTCTGAGAAATCTAAATCCCTGCAAAAATGTGTTTGACATTTGGCAACCCCACTGACAGCTGCTGCCTGCAGCACTTGAAACAGCTCTTACAGTCATATGGAGTGTTCAAACAAGCGTTGTATATTTTTGAACTCATTATCTGGGCCCGCGTATTTCAAAGAAGTCTTGGATTTCTTAAGAATTTCAAACTAGGATTCAGTCTAAGTTTGATTCGTAGGTCTGCCCTCATTCATACACAGTGAAAAGAAAAATCTTTGGAAGAAAGAGTGTATAAGAAAGCACAAAATCTCATTTCCAAGGCATACCTTAGAGACTTCTTTTCACCATCTTTCAGGTATCACAAGCTTGCATGGTTTACAAGTATTAATTCTTCTAAAAACTGCCTGTGGAAAATGATTAATTAAAGTGCAGCAGCAGACTGAGTATATAATGGTGCTTTTAATGCTTTCCAGACCACTAAATGTGTGTTATCTTATTTCCCTTAAGTGTAAGCAATCATGTACAGTGATTATGCATCATGCTTGAAATTTCATCATCAGTGCCAATGATTCATCAGCTAATGGCCTAACATTGAACAGAGAATATACAGTTTGTAGATTTTCTGCATAGCAGGTTTGTTTTATTACAGAACAAAGAGTGTGTGAAACAAACTAACCCTGACAAAACCCAAAGCAGGAATTTTAAAGAGTGCCCTGTTTCAGATACTAGGAAAAAATACAATGGGTTTTTTGGGGAGGCGCTTTCTCACTTAAATAATTCATATTCCAATTTCTTGTTCTACAAAACTGTAAGTTTTAAGTGTGTTTATCACTGAGAGCAAGGGAGAGATGCAGAACTCAAGGAAAGTACAGCAAATTAATTTATGGCTAATAAAAATACCTTGGGGTTGTGGTAAAAAAAAAACAGCCTCTTCTGTACCAGCCCTAGGAAATGCATTACAGTAGCCTTTTCCAAACTTAGATTGCACTGTTATGCTTTGTTTTTTTAAGACAGTGATGTACTGTTCAGGATATAACTCTGAATGCTGCAGCTGTGATTACAGATTAACACAGCAACCACAGTTTTATTTTTTAATACATCGTACAGTAATTTCGTAATTTCTCTCCTAACTATATGGTTGCTGAGTTGCAGTTAACTTCTGACAAAAATGATATTACAGGCATGATGTTTCTATTTCAACTACAAATCTATTGCAATATGGGTTCATTCTGAAAAGCTGCCATTCATTAAGAATTAAAAGAACTATTAGGCAGTATCTTTTAAAACTGCCTTTTTGAAAGAGCAGATGAGATGTGGTTTTATATGCTGCAATACTTTCAATATGCAAGAATGTGTGCAGTGCTGTGTTTACCTAAACCAGACTGATTATCTGTGATATTATTCAATATCAATCTCTTTTTTCTTTGCTGCTTTAGTGTGAAAATGTCTTTGAGATAAAAATAAAACCATTACAAGAAAAACAATTGAGTAAAGTAGATCTTGTTTGTACCTTTTTTTTTTATTATTTTTTTTGCGTTTCAACAGGAGAAATCTAATTTTTAACAAGTAAGACTTTGCAAATGGTTTCTTTTATTTTGCTTACTTGTCAAATTTGGCCGCAAAAATCATGTAAATCTATGACATTCAGGTCAGGACTTACGACTTACACCAGGCAGTGTGCCTACTAATGTGTTTAGATAACACATAATGTCTGATTTAAATTATGTTTAAAAACATGGTGTAAGCACATGGTGCAAAGTGAATACGGGCATATGTGATCACTTGTTTGATCAAATCCATTGATGAATGTGAATTTTTGGCATAACATGAATCAAATCCTCATGTTTGATTCTCATTCCCTTTAAGAGATAGGCACACCAGCTGACAGGCATGATGCCATTGACACAGTGGATTTAACAAGGCTCAAGCAGGCTTGTTTCTTTTCTACCCAACAATTATACCCTTGAAATCACATGAAACACACAGGTCACTGTGGGCGTTTTAACTGTCTGGATTTATGTCATATCCACTAAAACTATTCGCTGATTCACTCACAGCAGTGGACAGGATCTGTTCATAATAACTGTCCCTTGAACTTGACATCACAAAAGTGACAGCTGTTATTTTAGCTGCTGGATTACATGGCTGTATTTTGTACAGCAAGCCTAACAGATACTGTCCAGTCATTATAAATACCTGGGAACACCATGGTCAGTGGCACTGAGAGTTATGTTTGAGACTTACAAATAGTGTTCCCCCAGGTGTGTGCTAGCATGTGTGCAGGTATGTTCCTGCATGCACTTAAAGGAGCACACTTGATGACTTCATGACATATCAGGGTGTAGTGTTAGAGCTGCTTAGGGCTGAGGTTAACCAGGTGTGTGGGGAGACGAACCCTAACCCTATTTTAATAAATGAACAACAACCTTAGTTTCACTGCATCAGCAAAATCACAGATGTTAATGAAAGTTGGAGCACAGCTGAAAGTCACTATATGTGAAAAGTACTTGGGAACGCTTATGCCTTACTGTGATCACTAAAGCACTCTCTATATATTAGGAAACTATATACTGGCTTTGGACCAGGATTTTGTTGGTCTAAAGCAGGCATCTCCAAACTATTCCACAAAAGGCCATGTGGCTCCAACCAATCAAGAGCATGCAGTCTGACCAATCAGCTGTCTGAAGACTGAGATCAGCTAATGAAATGAATCAAGTCTGGTGTGCTGCTTGCAGCCACACCGGCCCTTTTTGAAACAGTTTGGAGATGCCTGGTCTAAGGTGTAGATACTTTCTGCTTCCCTTGAGACTGTAAAATTGCAACCTTCGCACCTGACTGCATCTCATTACATGAGACCCATGGGTGCTAACATGGGTGCAAGTTCCCTTATTATCTACACAACATAGGCACTGGGATCAAATAAATGAGTGTCAAACAGCAATGACAGTTACACCACAATAGGCCCTCAAGGTTGACACGCACTCCTTTATAACACCACAACCCAGTGCAAACAGATTCGATTAAACTGTCTCACTAATTACAGTAAATATTATTACAGTCAATATTATTTAATTTAGCCTTTAATTTCACACTTGATGATAGTTTGTGACGGAGCCAATTTCATTTATACTGGAATTACTTTCTATGAGAAACCATAAAACTAAGGTGCAACCAATTCACAAAAATCATACAAAGCTTTTCACACTGCTTAAATAAACGAACTTTAGTCACTAACCCTCTTTAATACCTCTGGAGTAAATATTACATAAACCTGACCACGCCTAAACTTGACTACACCTGACTACACTATATGCACATTTGACACACAGCAAGCTTTGCCACTCTCCTAAATGACAACCTTTATCAATTTTACAAATGCAAGAAATTCAAACATGCATACCAAGTAAAAAGAATAAGTTAGGAGTTAGGACACCTTAGGACATTCAGGGAGAATAAAGGATGAATCAAGACCTCTCTGCTTTGCATCAGGGCTGTCCTGTTGGGAACATAATTTTCATAACTAACTTCTCACTAGGAGCTGTGTCCTAATGAGCTAATAATGGCAATCACAAGAGAATTAACACAAGCTCTTGATTAACACCCGCTCTGACAATACTTGTCTCAATATTAGAGATTTAATGGCTTCAGTAGTTAGATAGTTTGGATGAACAGCATTACTTTATGTACACGGGAAGCCTAGATTAGACATTTCTGAGCCATGATGGTTGTATAGGTACCTAAGAAGGTAATTTAGATATCGATGTGCATCAGATGTGTAATATTCTGAAAAAGAAAACCCAGGCGTATCACTGGGATGTATAAAAAGTGAGTGTTTGGTGATCTTTTGAATTTTGATGCATTCGAAATGCAGGATGTGTGCTACCATAAAAATCAATTCTGTCAGTTGTTTTACATTGTCACAGCCTGTGATTGCAGGTATCTTTTGAGACCTGGACCAAAATATATCAATCCAAATTTGAAACCTTCATAGTTTGTTAGAGCTTCAGTTTGAGGGTTTTAGTTGATATTTGGTTTTGCCTCTGACATGCACTACAATTTATATTTAGAGAAAAATAGAACAAAATAAACACTTAGTCAAGGCACAGGAAAAAAAGTGGAATTAGGTGTCTGCTGGAGGCTTGCTTCTTTGAGCTTTCTCTGTTATCTGGGCCCTTTTGCTGTATCAAAAACACACACTCAAATACATTTTTATCTTCCTTGCCTTCTGATTCTAGTGCCCTCCTCTTTCTCCACCCCGTCTTCCATTCCTCTCCCTAACAAGACAATTTTACCCTGCCTCTTTCTTATTAACTTCCTCCCCCTCTTCAGACCATCTCCTACCAGCCCTCTTTATCATCTCTTCCACTATTCATCTTTCTCTTTCTCTTCCTCTGTCTTTTTGACTGGCTCTCTCTGGGGGGCCGGATGTGTCTCTGTAGCCCTCCACAGATCTGGAAAGGACATCCTCTCAGTTTAATTCAAGTCAACCCCCGGTCTCCTGGTGCTTCAAGACACAGCATGTGTGACAGCTGTACAGAGACAGCCAGAAGGAACAGACAAGTCTCATCTGCATATACATACGAGTGTCTGTGTGTGTGTTTGTGTGTGTTAAAAGGAGTGTGTTTCACTCAGGCATGTTCAAACAGTTCTCCCTGCAGATTTAAAGGGTTAATTTCACCCTGGCAGCAATCATGGTTGTCTATAAATCTATGATGAGAAGATGCTATGTTGATAAGCTGGTGCTAACTCGGCATGCACTGATTAACGGGGTTGAGAGTAAAGGCTAAAATATTATATAACATACGCTATAGGCTGTGAGCCAGAAGAAGAGACTGTAGATATGAACATGAGGATGTTCAGGAATATTGTTTTTTCTTTACTGAGGCAACATACGATCATAATCTTAAAGGTGGGGTAGGCAGGAATCCATTAAAGAAGCACTTTTTTTGTGGTGTATGTAGCAACAAAGCTTTTGATATCAGTCAATAGCTATTAGTTATCGATGACATTTGGTAATATTACGATATTGCCATGTTGTTTATATGCCTGTGTAGTAACATTTTAACCTTTTTAAGCGGTCTGCTCATTCTGACTATAAACAAACCCATTCTCCACCTCCCCGACCTGATTGGTTGTGTGTCAGCTTCTCCTTAGAGCTGATTGGTTGTGAGGCAGATGCTGCTCCGTAATATTGTGAGGCACGCTCCACGTCCTCCAATAACATTCACGTGCCCAAACATAGTTATCATGCTACGATATCAGACAGTAGAAAGCAACCAGAAAGTACAGAAAATTGTCTGAGTACTACTTTGGCCACGACTGCCAACACAAGCAAGAAAATGAAGTAAATACCCGAGACTCTGGTGGAACAACGCACGCTTAAAATGGAGGTAGACCACCCGGACAAGAGCTAAAAAAACGGGTCAATAATGATGGGGGATGCTTCGGGATCTTATGAACCCTGTAACCTTTCTGTTGGACAGGCAAACTGCTTTAACAAAGTAAGCCAAGTGTCTGTAACAGAAGTGTTTCTTGTCAAACAGGACCTGCTGCGTGTTGTAGCGCCGCTAAACTGTTTACCACGGGTCCTGAAGTATGTCACTTTATCCTAGTTGTAGAAGTCCTGCAAACATTGTGTTTGCTGGTAGTCTGTTGGCATCTACAGTAGCACCAATGCTGTTTACTTTCACTTTGACTGGGCTCTATTTGTAATAACTAGAGGTATTTATCTGCATTATGTCTGAATTTAATTGGAACGATATGAGCGAGCAGGAGTGTCTGTTTGTGGGCGGGGCTTGCTTGAGCAGAGAGGGAGGGAAGAGGAGGAGCTGAGGGGAAAACTGGTTGGGAGGGGTAGAGTTAACATTCAAGATTTCTCCCCAAAAACTGGCACTTTCTCAGATCCCGCCTACCCCACCTTTCATTGATGATTTCTTTGGAAATAAGAACAGAGTTTCGAAGGTCATGTAAGCACTTCATATACGAGCCCCCCCAAAACTGTACTCTTAAACATGACTGCTGACCTGAATTAACACTGCTTTCCGTTTGTTTCAGCCACTGTAGCCCATAAACATTCAAATGCTTAGAAGTCTATTCAATAAGTTAATTTTACAGTATACTTAATATCTAAAATCTACTGTTTAAGAATCATGAGCCACAGAAATGGATGAACTCAAGTTTTGATCGTATGATAGCACTGTATTTTAAGCCAACATGGTTTCATGCTTTCTGAGATGATATTCTTTTCCAATGTTGCATGTAAATGATATTTAACAGGATAACTGACCCACTGTGAACTAATATGAGTGCTTAATAGTCCAAACACCATAACAATTGGTTCTCTATGGACCACAGATACTGTAACTGTGCTTAATATCACTGTAAATCGCTCTCTATGGATGGTTTCACATCAGTAACCTGTACCCAGATCTGAATGTATTTCACCCCAAAGTCCGATTCATTTAATCAGTGTAAAATCAATAGGACTCCAGCACCGCGCCTGAGTCCACTCCAAGAGAGCACAATTCATTAGTGCTTGGACACGGTCTGTTGGAGATGTGGACACACATGTGCTAAAACAAGGGAAACAGGACACTGGATGTAACATCATACTCTCCTACTCTGTCAGTTTTAAACGTGTCCAATCCAAGCAGCATGGGTCCATTTCATCTTCTGAGCTATGTGATCGAGGCCGGTGAGAAGATTGTTGTTGGTGACTCCAAATAAACATGAAATCGCAAGTGTTTGTTAAAGCTAAAAATTATTTTTAAAAAAACTCTAGCCTTTGGTGACCATGAACTCTGTAAAACATCTGCTGGTGTAAATTAAAAATGATTACTGTTCATCAAAGGTAATCATTCCTTCATCCCCTCTTCTGTTTAACAAAAGTAACATTTTCATTTTTCTGCAGTGCTGACAATCATTGTCTGAGAGCAGAGGATGACAGTGTGTTTCTTTTCAGATGCAAAGCCCGTTTTATGGCTGTTAGGTATGGGGGATAAGTTTATGCTTTGACATGATGTTCTGCTATCCATTGGTGGTTGAATTGTGGAGCAGTGTGGATCTTCTCTGCTAACCTGTCTTCTTTTTTTTTTTTGTGCACAGGGTAAAAGGCAATATAAGAGTGCAAGGTTTAGATTTTTTTCCCTTGGCTTGCCAGTAATAAATCCTGATATTTTCGTTTTTTTAGCGAGAAGAAAACAGAGCCTAAAAGCAATCTTACACCAGACCTGTCTCACTCTTTCTCTTGCCCCCTCCCCACTATCTTATCATTTGCAGCCTCCGCACCTTTAGATTATTTCCTTGGCTTTGTCATCAGTGGGACCAGCTCTTGAACTCTCACACCCTCCCCTCTGAGTCTCCTCCACCTTTCTACCTTCGCTCCCTTGATCCCATGTGCTATACCTACATATATAACAGTCACTAATAACCTCAGAGGCCGGGAGGATCAGGACAGCAGAGCTAAGTGGATCTGTCAGATCATTTTGCCCCTGTCCTGCACCTAATTCCTCTTCTGGATTTCCAGGTGAAAATTGAACATCTATGATAGGGAGTGAGACAGGAGGCAGGAAGACAACCCCAATGGAGTGAGAAAGACGGTAAAAAAATAGTTGGTAAAAAATACTGTCTCTTGCAGCTTTTCGGAAACTTTAAACCTTAATCCAAGCAAGATTTTTGAATAATAGAATCGGTAGTTGTTTGTTTTATATGGTACATGATTGACAGTGAAGAGGAGCACAGAACAAGGCTGCCAAGGTCAGTTGGGCTGTCAGACACTTCATGCAGGGATATAAAAAAATCCTCACATATTTCAGAAACATCTTTGCAGAGAGACATGCTGCTCCTAACAAGGAAATCAATACCTTGCGTTCATTGTCGGATAAAATTCTTTCTCTCTATAAATTCATCATTTACCGACTGGAAAACCATCAAATGCTTCCAGGGTAAGAGTAGTAAAATGTTGGTCTATTGTGTGGAGACATGTCCCCCACACAACAGCGAGAACAATGACATACTCACCAGCAGATGTGTGTCTCAGTGCTGCAAACACAGGCCCCTCCTCCTCCTGTGTATCTCTTCCCTCCTTGCGTCGGTGTTGTTGGAGACAGCCACTACTCTTCCTTTCAAGCCCGCTTTAATTGGTGCGGCCCCAAGAGGAGAGCTATATGTAGTTGAAGGTGGTCAAATAGGATGGAAGCTGTGCCACCAGGTACATCCAAACTCCCCCAACAGTTTCCTGTCCTCAGGGCTGGCCCCTGGAGAAACGAGAGCACGAGAGACATGAGTAAGAATGGGCCTCCTCTTCCTCACACAATGAGAGGCATTGAAAAAAGGAAATGAGCAGGATGGCAGCTGGGAGGAGACGCTGTCATTCTATCAGAGCCACTGGGTCATTCTCAGTGCCTTATTGGACAGAATTTGTGTTTGCATCTGCGCAACTGTTGGGAGAGATAATCATTAGGTGGGTCTGTTTCTCAGAGGGCTCTGATGAGGTGCTATTACATGCTGCTTGATGGACAGGAAGCTGATGAGATTTTTGTTTTTGTCATTCAGGGGTGCACCTTTAGGATTCTATTCTTCTAGCTGCTTTTAGTTGGATATTTATCTCACATGTCTGAAAACAGGATGGCTTCTGTTGCCTAAAATACAGAAAATATGCAGTATACCTATATCTTATTTTTTATTTTGTGTCATTTATGATTTAATTTTGCCCCCTAAGGAAAAAATACCACAGCAGCACAGGAGATTTTCAAGAAATACTAAATTATGCAAAAGCACACATCTTAAGAGCAATTTGACAGGCTATGCAGCCCATCAGCTATTAATAACTCTCCTTCTCTTATTTATTCTCTCTTGGGAGCACAATTAAATATCTTATACATATACACTACAGGCCAAAAGTTTGGAAGCAAGATCAAATTTGTATAAAAAAAATCACAATACTTTGCAACAACAACAAAAAAACCTAATAATTATCTAAAGAAAAACTTATCAGAAGACATTTTTACTATAATTATTAGGTATTTGAGTTATTGTTGCTTAGACTTTGCTTTATTTAAAGTAACCTTCTCTGTCTTTAACAACAATTTGGCATATACCAGGCATTCGTTCCACAAGTTTTTAAAGGTATGTTCCAGGGATTGCATTTCAAGCTTTCTTAAGTTCATTAAAAACAGACTGCTGATTCGTGGGACGCCCTTTTCTGACCGATCGATCCAATTCATCCCGCACAAGCTCAATTGGAGAAAGGTCTGGAGACTGAAGGGGCCAAACCATCTTTTCAATAACACCTTCCTCTTTTTTTTCTGTCTAAGTAACCCTGACAGTGCTTGGCAGAGTGCTTAGGGTCATTGTCTTGCTGCAAAACAAACTTATAAGCCACAAGTCTGAGTCCAGATGGAACAGCATGGTGCTGGAGGATGGAGTGGTACTGTCCCTTCTTCATGATACCCTTTACTTCAAACAAATCTCCAACTCCATCATCTGCAAAACATCCCCATACCATGGAACTACCATCTCCATGCTGAATTGTGAGTGTAAAAACATGGTGTTTTCAGACGTTCACCATTTGGTCTGCGGATATAGACTCTGTTTTGAACCAAACACTGCAAACTTGTTTCCAGTCATCATAGGTCTAATTTTTGTGAGCTTTTGCCCACTCATATCTTTTTTTCTTGTTCTGTGGATGAAGAAGTCTTTTTTGCAGATACACAACCCCTCAGACCAGCCTTTCTCAAACGTCATTCCATGGTTGTCAGAGATATGGGTTTTGACCTTGTCATGTTGATTTCCACCCTTATTTGTGGTGCTGTCTTTCGTCGATCTCTCTTACTGGTGACAATGCTATGTTTATCCTCTGCTCTTGTAGTAACTCTCTTTCTTCCAGGTCTTTTTCTATCATCATAACTTCCAGGTTCCTCTAGTCTCTTCAGAGTGTTGTGGACTCCTTTGTTAAACATCTTTAGGCGTTTTGCAATTCCTCTTTCAGTGTATCCTTCTTTCCTCAATGTACAAATCTATACTTTTTTTTCTTTACTCAGTTGCTTTTTTCTCGACATTTCTGTGATAATTTGTCAGAGCTTTGAACACGGGTGAGATTTATTGGGATTTTTGTATGCAGACACACAAAAGCCAATAAGTAAAAGTGAATAATGGGAAGTGATTTTTTTCGGCATGTGCGTGCAGTGAAAACAAATATAACCAATGAGAATATTCAAAACAACGATAACAATAATCAAAGCAAAAAAGTAAAAATAAAATGTTCTAATAATCATAATAATAATAATAATAATAAAAATAAAATTTAAAAATAATATTAATGCAAACCCAACACGTCCGAAAAGGAGTAGGTTGAAGCATTATGTTTTTTTTTTTTTAAACCTACCCCTTCTCCTTTACTCAGTAATAACAGTCACTCTCCAGCAAATTTAAATTATACTGACAAAAAAAAAATATATATAGAATGAATAAGGAAATTAATCATTTGAGAAAACAGCCGACAGTTAATGTCCTTCTTCCTCCCCATACCTGGTGAGAACCATGTTTCTGTACCGCTTTTCAAACTGTTCCATTTGGAAGAATGACACAAACACACCAGCTGCACTTCTCAATCACTCCACCACCATTCCTCTGCACGACTCCCCCAGCTACCACTCTCCATTATTGATGAGACTTCCTCTGTCAGCCTCATCTGCCACAGTGTTGGTTGTACTCGCCTGTGGGCAGCCACTGTGGTTTTAGAGGGGGACCAGCTGATGCCACGTGAAAATATAAATGAGAGTCGGAGTCGGGTACATCAACAGCCTATTGACAACGTGCAAAGCAGAGGGCACACGGTGTCGCAGATTTGTTATTGGCCTAATCTAAATTCAATAGGGTTGTCATAAGGGAAGACAGTAATTATCTCAAAACCACGGGGAATGCTCTTTCTGTAGATCCAGCTGACTCACAGATACTTGACTTGAGCCCTAGGATTTAAAACATGTGCTGTGGTGCCAAATTACATCAACAAAGGAAGAGAGTTGGGAACATGGACGCAGAGCTCAGAGAGTGGAATAAAAAAGCTGCAGGGTCAATTCCCTACTTGTACATTCTCATGCAAGCACTCTCCCTGAATTGATTTTTTCTTTATTTTGTAAGATGAACTTTGCTATAGTTATCTTCTTTTTATTATTCCTGTAGGACTTCAACCTTTTTTTCCTCTTGTGTGTTTCAGGTTCAGACACTGCCAGGATAAATTCGGTAATGAGTGTCACTGGCATTTCATAAAGCAAACCTAAATTTAACAAGTATTAAGGGTACAAAAAGGAATCCTCACAACATGCTGTGTAAATATTCTTTTTATTAATTTCATACACAGCGATTCTGTTCGCTCTTTATTCTATGTCTGTCTATCCTTTTGCACTAAATTTTTACATGGAAGTCTGTCTTCTTTTAGTTGTGTGCTAATCTGCAATTTGCTCTTTGTTAAGTAATATTGAGTAAATTTATATCTGTGTTACCTAATTTGTTACCTTTTTTTGACAAGGCTAATGTCAGGCCTGATGCCTTCACTCACAGGGCAAGGTATACAGTTCGTCCATTTAACAGTAGTATTAGATCGATATCTGATATCGACCGATACACTCAGCCCAGGTACCAGTATGAGATTGGATCAGAAAAAAATGGATTGGTGCATCTCTTGTGAAAGGTTAAATGAGAAAAAATATTGAAAAGCACCACAATATAGATGGTGTTGTTTAAAAACTTGAACGTAATTTTTTGTTTGATAAAAAACAATACTTCTATTTTGTCTTTTGAATTATAATGTATGTAGAATAGCAAGTCATCGGTCACATTTGGAATAAAGAGTATCTTAAATACTTGGGTATACTGTATTTTAGTAAATTCTGACACTGCTTAGTTTTTTTCTCTTTAAACCTCTAACAGCATCACACACAGAGCCATCCACCCTCCCATACACATCCACCTCCTTCATCACACTAGTTGTATTCTGCTCTGACATGATGGAGATTGAAAGGCCTGTTCAAACCTGCACCTCCTGCATGGGAGGGAACAGTATATCATTGTTACACCAACGCTTCCTCTTGTTGGTGTTCAACTGACAGCTGATTGGTATCGGTGTGGCTCCTATACAAGCTCAAGGCCCGTGCTGTATATGACATACCACCGTTGCATCCTGATGACAATGCAAGGCTAAAAGTTCAGTCATGAAAAAATATATTAATGCATGGATAGAGAATCAATACAGAATAAAGCAAAAATGTTTAATTCAAATGTTGAAAGGACAGAGCTAAATCATGACAAGAATTTCTATCAGTTATGCTCTAACAGCGTAAAGGCTATAAAAATATTTTAAAGAAGACTACGATGCCCAGCAGGTTGCTGCAGTGCCAGGAAATGCTCACAGAAATAGCTCAAAAAGCAATAAATGTCATCTTGGAGCTGCCAAAAGAGGCTGAGGATCTCAAGCTGTGCCTCTGCTCCTCAGGGGTTAAAATCTTAGAGATAAAGCAGGCTCTAACCCAAAATGTGCCTTTTGTGCATTGTGTAGCTATGGTTACTGCACTGAATACAAATCTTTTACTCGCTGTTTTACTCCGACAGTGAAAGATAGTGAATATGTCACAGGGTTGATCTATATATGTTAAAAAAGACATCTTACACACACCTGCCTATCTATCTAATGTATGGGAAGCAGTCTGAGCAAAACTCATTTCCATATAAACGATGGTATTCATGAGAACTGTGACTGGAAGACTATTGTGAGACGTGCTTTATTTAGAAAAGGTAATGGATGTTCAAAAACTATAATCATGAGCTACATTCTTTAAAATACATTCTTAAGGAAAAGAAAAATAAATGTTGTTGTCCTCATTGTTCCAAGAGGGATGCAGCATTTTGAATCAGCTCTGATATTTATCACAATGAAATGTAGGGCTGGGCGATAAATCGAAAATTTACATACCGAAATTTATGATGATAACCATCGTCTTTTTGCTCATGTCAATATATTGGGTGTCGAATAAATAAATAAGTAAAAAGTTGGTTTTAGGTGTGTAGGTAGGCTATGGTCTCATGTCGCTTTAAGACGCTGTCCTACATCAGAGACATGACTGCACCCCATCCAGTCCATAACAAAGAGGGAAAGACAAGTGAGGAGATGGAGGACAGTTCAAAAGTTGTAGCAGCTGGAGCGGCGACTGAAGTAGAAGTTAATGTGGGAGGGGGTGAGCAGCTTGTAGAGTAGTTATCACTGAATTAGTTTTATCGAGGTGAACTGCTCGATATATCGTGACATTGATTTAAGGCCATACCGCCCAGCCCTAATAAAATGTGAAACCACCAGAAACAGTAGATGTAATTTTTCACTGTTTGTTTAAGTAAATTTCTGGGTGTCAGACTGGGTTAATCTGGTTGTCTTATTTGTCTTTTTAAGAAAACCTTGAATGTAACAAAAGTAATTAAGTTTCAGGTTGATTTACAATACAGTGATTATCTAATTTGTTTTCCTTGATGTAATTTATTTAGACCTTCTATTTTAACCAGCTTTGGAAATGTCACCTTACAGAGATAGATTATTCTTATCAGCCATGGAGGGGTATATTTATTTGTAAAATAAACATCTGCAATGCACTAAGAAAATAACCGAGATTTCTTTTTTTGCATTTGCTCGAATTGACAACATTATTGCAGAAAGGCAAAAAATAAATAAAAACACAGAGGAGACTCAGTAGGCTTGACACGCAGAGACTCGGAGTCAAACCTCGAGGCAATGCAGCAAGTCTTCTCTACATTGAGCACCATTTTTACAAACTGAGCTGAGAAGAGCCCCTGAATTTTTTCCAAATTTTAGTAAAATCAGAGCACGAACTAAAAAAAACACAGGGGGGCTGTGTACCACAACAGGCAGCTGTGACACTTTTTAACAACAGTTCTGGCGTGTTATGCTCTATGACCAGATACCAAACACTGAGAAAATCACAAGTGTTGAAGTGGAAGCAAGGCAAGCACAACACACACACCCTCACACGTACACACACACAATTTCACACTCTTTCAGTCAAGCTCATGCTGTCAGGCAGGCTGTGTTGGCTCTAGCAATGGGCTGACCATTGTTACCATGTCAGTCTGTGCATCTGAAATGAGGGATGAAGGACAAGACGAGAAGAGGGAGAATCGAATGGAGAGAGCAGAAAGAGAGGGCAAGACCAGACGGGGTTCTGTTGGTATTGATTGTCTCAAAATGTGACGACAGAATAGAGATGGATCTACACTCACATTCAGCCTACTACACATATATGGTTAAAGGATGCATTCCTATAGGAAGTGATGCTTTAAGCAAGAGTTGTCTTGCAGGAAAAGTATGAGAGTGTAGACACTTCTCGCTGGATGCAGCATTGATTGTGATTTTGCTCTCTGTAGGTTCTGACTGCGGCAGAATTTGTGATAAATCTTAAAATCTTATAGAGTCTAGAGGAGCATTTAGAGCCCTGTGGGGACAGTCCTTTGTAATTCTACTTCCATTTGATGGACCCACCTAGAGCTATGTGCAGGATGAAATATAAAACACACACACACATACACACACTACACACTATTAAAGTATATGAACCCAGAAAAACATATAGAACAATAGACTTAAAGGCTCACTGGCCTTTGGCGAAAAAAAAGTGGCTACTGTACTATCTGCAGGGGGAAAGTACATACTTATTTTCATCAGAACTGACTGTTTTTATACTTGGAGGGCTACACCTCTGCACACATTAGCAATAATCCCAACAGTGATGATCTCCTTTCGTGTATCACCTTTACTCTGTGTGTGATATTCTGTTTTGAAGGTCTGTTTTCAGCAGAATGGAAAATTCCCCACCAGGAAAGAAAAAAAAAAAAAACACACTATTTGTCCTTGGCTGGATTTCTGATGCTCAGATAACGCTGAAGCTAATGACAGCCCTGACAGCTTTTTTTCTTCCCCTCTGAAGACATCTGTCGTTTAAGTGAAATTTGCCAGGTTTGTCATGAAAGAGAATTCATCATGCCTTTGAATATGCCTCTATGATTAATTCAGGCATGTCAGTTGCTGAGTAAATGCCTCTTTATTCTTGTCTAAGTGGTCAATATTAATAATGCACACGTGGATCTAAGTTCAGCATCCGTCTTGGCAAAGTTCAGTGCAGAGGATTTCATCAGCTTGTATGCTTGTCACCACATTCCTTCTCTTTCTTTCTCCGTCCGTATCTCTTGTCTGAAGCAAGCCGGCCACTCTGTTCTCGCTCTTTCTCCTACTCTTGCTCTGTCCCTGACTCTGAAAGGCACCATATGGCTCTGATGCCCCTTCGGATAGAAAGATGTGGCCCATCAGCAGTAATTGGAGAAGCTGCGGTGGTTGGGTTTCTCTAGGAGGCGGCGGCGTGATCGATCCCATGGATGCTGGAGGTGGGCAGGCAGGCTGACAGCGCCGCATCCCCACAGCTCCTGACAGCTCAATGAAGGCCACGCTGCAGAGCACAGGTTGTCCTTTTACAAGAACAATCATCACGCTCGCGGGTCACCCGTCCGCCCCCACAACTTACAACCATCCAGTTAATTCATAATTACCCCATTTAGTGGATTATCAGCTGGGTAGAAGCAGGTTGGATTTAATGTTAGCCTTTCATTTTGCTCCCATTACAGAATAAAGGAAATGTCAGCTGCTTAATAGAGATGACGTGATGTTATTATCTGTGAGGTGATTTATTTAAATGATTTTACAGCAATAATCTCACAACGCCCTCATACATTCTGTGGAGTATACAATTTAATTCTGTGCTGTGTGCACTGACATATTAAAACAGCCCAAGATGTGGATGATTGATGCGTCAGAGACTTCACACAAGCGAGATAATTTGCATACTTGTGACAATTCTCAGGCTGGTGTCAATACTGTGCTGCGTTTTCTCATCACAGCTTTGGAGAGCAGCCTTTGTTTGTCCTTCTGTTTATGGTTTTCTCAAGACCAGAACAGTTCTATGCTGAGCTCAGCCTGACCACCGGTTGCCATGGTGACACAAGGCAGCTGGGACTGATAGCACGGAAGAAAAGCTTGGCAACGGTTAAATCAAAAGGACGATTTATTTTGCTTGCACTGTTGTCTTTATCCTCACCGCCGTTGAATCTCAGGATACCAGTTTATTAGGATAGACCTGCTGATTCTGCATGAGGCTAGCTATCTGCTACAATCATACCCCTGCTATATGTATGTGTATATATGCACAGATACATTTACCGTGGCTTTACCCTTCCTCCTGTGTTAGCTTTCACTACACGCCCACTTTGTTAACGGGTCAGTTTCGACCCGTGTCTTAAATCAGCTTCAAATTACACTAAAACAATTCTCTATCATCCAATTTGGTTCTCGTCTCTAGGTTACCTTGTTAGTGTTCATTATCCATGAAAACATTCCTTATAAAGTCATTTTGGGTGTGGGTCTCTGAGCCTTACTTGTCAGTATACCCCACACACAGACGTCTATACTGAACTGATCTCACATGTCTGGACATGCCCGACATTGTTTTTTGTGCAGGTAAAAACAGGCAAAATGAGAATTTCCTAAATCTCACATGATTGGTAGAGCATCTCACTGTTAGTGTGGTACCTGACAGTGCACATATGATTTTAGTTTTTGCTCTAATTATTAGATATTAATCAAACCGGGTCAACAGCGACCCTAACATGACAAGTGCCATAATTTTAATGAGAGCCTTTTATAATGTAGTCAATTTAATTTTTTTTTATTTTGTTGAAATAGAGGTTCCTGACAAAGTCAAAAAGTCTTGATGCAAAAAAGCTCATTTAAGTGGTTCTTTTAAGCATTTTAAAACAAAAACAGGTCGGTGCAGACCCTAACACAGGAGGAGGGTTAAAAGAATCACTTTAATTGATCATTAAACTTAAACGATTCTGCTGTGTAAGTATGGAAATATTTTATTTAAACATGCAAACACAGAGAAGTTGAAAGACTTAAAACACTAGGCACAGTTAAAGAAAATTCAAGTATCTCTTCCATATATATTGTTTCCTGACCCCAGACCTTATTTTGAACTGATTCTTTCTACCCAGACCACTATTCTAACAGCACAAAAACAAATCTAAAAAGGACAAGAACATGTCCACATTTTAAGACATTTCAGTAGTTTAAAGATTCCTACAGAGTTGACATCAAACAGTGCGAGGAGTAATGGCTTCACTTATAAGACATAAATGCACCAAATATCAATGACATGCTCCACTGACTGCCATTGCTTTGACAGTATCAGACCTTGTTGCAGGGTTTCTGCTCCGCGGCCAAATATATTGTAGCTGCGCCAATTCACGCGTATCTGACAGTGTCAAACCCATCTATGTTGTGGCTTAGAGTCAGAACTGCTGAACACGCCCTGCTATGGTCACAGTGATAACAGGCAGTGGTAATTATTTTAATAGTAGACAATGAAAAACATATGCATTGCTATGGGATCCAAGATGAACTGAGGTCAAATGTTTGTCCCTCTCTCTATCCACACATTTAGAAATCAAATAGATGATAGGTTAATAGTTTTAAAAAGTCTAAATTAATCTAGTTTTATTTCCTAAGTAATCTGAGACACAATAAGTGTTTCACAGTCTATCACACAACTTCAAGACCAAGATTATAATCTGAAATAAAATACCAATTTTAAAGGTAGGGCTGAGCGATATGGGAAAAAGTTTATCACAATATATTTTTTTCACATTAATCCATATCGATATATATCAAAATATAAAAAATGAGATTTAACAGTGCTTATTGGTAGCACGTCTTCTGCAATACAATAAGCTACTGCATCTTTGAGGTCTTGGTGTGTCTTTCGCCGTGAGGCGTTGCGCTAGAGAAAGTGGAATGGTCAGCTGTTTTGGCTGCACAGGCGCCATGATGTATTCCCCGACTTTGCCGCAACATGTACTCGACATAATTTACAGTGCTCATTACTCTGCTTCATGTCCGACCTTAAAAAACCAAAATACCTCCACACCACCAATGTTTTCTCGCCAGTGTTGTCGACTCATTTTCTTTTTTTTCTCACCAACAGTGCTGTCGGCTTCACGTGCTAAAGTGCTATGGTTGCGTGTAGCTGCAGCCTGTTACTACGCAGGTGTTTGCTCCTTGGTTCTAATTCAGTATATGATTGGTTCATTGCAGTGCAGACTCGGAGCAACTCCCCTTTTATATGGCTTTTTGTTTAGTCAACCAAAACATAGCAGAATGCCAACTATCGAAAAGGATATTGACCATGTTTTATATCCAAATTAATTTTCGATTTATATTGTTATTGCTTTACCGCCCAGCCCTACTTATACGTATCTGTTTCTCCTTAACTTATCCTGTGTGATTGCAATCCCCATCTCAGAAAAATACTGAGCAACATTGGAAACAAAAGAGAATACTTTTAGAGCTCCCTAGATTTTGACTGTACTTTCAAAGACATTTAAATTTATTTTGTATGATTAAAAAAAGAAAAAAAAAAGAAACATATATTCAATTTCCATGTCATCTGCATGAATTCAAACACTTAATTAATTGTATAGGGTGTAAAGTGACAATTATCCACTTAGAGTTAAGCTAATAATGTTGAAAAGTCTCTCCTCGACATCGCCTGCTGATCACCCTCAGGAAGAACAGCAGCAGCAGAGGACGGGAAAAGGTTATGGCTTTACAGGCAATCCCCCTATAATATTACCTCACTTTCCTCTGCCATACACTGTAACACACACCACACACAGACACACACACTCACACACACACTATCACCACCCACCCACACACCATTTCTGGAATACACTGATCCCTGTGAAGAATTTCTAGCTTGAACCAGAGCTGCAGAGCTGTACAGGAAAAACATCGTCAGCCTAAAGGTGCCGCTGGGTGAAACAGCCAGAATCTCCGTTGGTCTCTGCGGTATAAATAGATAAAAGTGCTGGTTGTGTCCTCTTTGAACTCACCACGACTTCTCAAATGATTTTGTTTACGGCGCTGGATCTGTGTCCTTTACCCTTGGATTTGATAAATAGGACAGGCCAGTGTTGATGTTTTGATTACCATTACACTAATAGAACGCTCGCTGCAAAAGGGAGGCAACCACGACCTTTCCCTTCGTACACCTCATCCTTACAGCTGCCAGGCAACCTTCCCAGGTAATCCCCAGCTTCTGCAAGTGTACAACTGATCCTGAAGAGTTAGTCAAGGAGGTAGGGGGGGTGGGAGTATTTTTAAATTTTGCCTTTTAGATATGGTTCAAGGTATTAAAACAATGGTATGGCAACAGGGGGACTCCAAACACTCTGAAGGGGAGCTGTGGAGGTGATGATAACCTCCTGGCTTGCGGTTCAGTTGCCCTCCTGTGATGAATGATTATGAGCTGCTATGAACACAACTGTGAAGTCTCTATGCTACTTGAAAAATTTATCACTTTGTTTCACCTGGTTTGGTCTCTCAAAATATCACAGACTGTTCTCAACCTCCTCTGACCCGTCTGCTCTCATGAATAGCACAGGATCTCTGACTGTTTGACTGCAGGTCTCTCACTGCAGCAAAGATCCATGATGCAGACACGGTCAGTTTATTACTCCCCACTTCTCTGGACATAAACAGTTGCACTTACATTAGATTTTAAAACTTCCTTACTTTAAGAGTAAAGTGCCCTGTAGATCAAACATGACAACAGTGAGTGTTCAGCTTTGATGTGTGCAGCTCTCTGAGACTCAGCTAAGCACGGCAGTGATTTGAGCACAACCGCGCTAACAGTGTGAATTGATAAAGCGTTCTGATCCTGTGAATTTTCTCATTTAAATCAGATTTAATGATCACTTGATCTCAGCTGTCATTGGGTGAGAGGCAGGTAACACCCTGGACAGGTTGTCAAGCTATCTCAAGGCTGACATATAGAGACAAAGCAACCATTCACAGCACACAGTCACACCAACAGACAATTTCAGAGTTACCAATTAACCCAATGAGTATATAGTATATAGTATAGTATAGTATATCCAGCAATCTCCACACGGAAAGGCCCCCTGCCCGTCCGGGGATTTTAGAAACCTTTTTGCTGTGAGGCAACAATACAAGCCACTGTAAACTAAAGCGAAGGAAATAAGAATAAATGAGTAGATAGTACTATTAGGTTTGTCAGACTGTGGTAAATCTGTATGTTCTTGTCAGGCTGTTGTTTTAGGACAAGGGCCTCTTGAAAAGAAAAATTACTCATATCTGTATTGCATACATTAAAATTAAAATACTGTATGGTTTGAGTGCAAAGGAAAACTTTAGCATACTAGCAGACTGAAAGAAATACAGTTTTGATCCATTGCCAGTGTTATGCAAGTGGGCAAGCTCAAAGATCAGTTCACACAGATTAAAATAAACTATGAAACTTCAGAGTTTATGTTAAACATTTTCGTTCCGAGTTCATGGTCCAAAAATTCTCAACTCTCAATCGTTTCAATCCTGAGCCAACAATCTGAAACACTTTCTAAACCAAGTGAACTACCATATTCTTCAAAAGAGAAATAGACAGATATAGTGTAACAATGAAAATCAATCTGCAGCTTTGAAAACCCTGCAAACGCACTGAAATCTCTAATTTGTTAGCTTAATATTTTACTACACGTTCCAAATGTAACACACAAATTCATGTACAAATGCATGGGAAAATCTGCTTCGTAAATGACGATGTAGGGGAGACAGTTTTTACAGCCGCTAAAGTAAAAGGCTAGGGGTGAGGAAACACAAACACACAACATGCAAGTGGTTCTCTACAAAATCATACAAGTGAATCTGCATCTGTCCTTATTCCCTCTTTCCTATTTTGCTCATTAAACTCAAAATATTAATCAGCACTGCAGACAACATCTATTTCTTGTAGAATCTATGCCTGATGCACTGGTGCTGTTTGTTACTGTATTCACCTTTACCATACGAGTTTCAAATTGAGCCGCCCAGTCACGGTTCATCATTAAATGACCATGTTCATTTTAGCGCATAACATTCTCAACTCTGTCCATTAAGTCTGGGCCTGTTTTTGTTGATATCTTAAATACTGAAATGTTCCCAGACTTTGCTCAGATTCTGGCCAACCTAACATGCAGATGTTATGATGTGTACCAGCCTCCCCGTCTTATCTCGTCTAAGTCTGCAGAGCTACTCCCAACAAAAACAACAGCTCAGGTTGATCGGACTGACACCACATACCAGTGTTGGCGCAAAAATGTAAAACCCAGTTGGCCACAAACTTAATTCTTAGAACCTAAGAGATAAATGTTTCTCAAATGACAGACTTTCAGCACATTTCACATAATCATGTAGAGTCCGAATTCATATGCTGCACAAAGTCCCCTCCATATATCATATTACCTTCATGTTTCACTTCCATATTGCTCACTGACAGTCTTGAAACGAATGTGGTTGCCAGTGCAGTCAAGCAAACAACAAGAAAATCCTTCTTATATGCGCTAACAATTCACTCCAATGCACGCTGCAATTATACGTTTCTCCCTGAGGTGCTCCCCTTGACACCCTAAAAACGTAATATACCCGGTGCCTTAGAACACAATCACATGCTTCATACTCCTAGTCTGCATAATTATATGGGCTGGGGGAAATTGAAGGGCTCCCCTACTCATAAGACAGGGAGCTTAAGTAATCTTAGTGAGAGAGGAAGCATTAAGAAAAGCATGGCTGTCCTTGTTGGATCAGTGCTACTGCATATCTTGGACAACCTGCCATGTTTGGATAAAGATGTGGTTAACAGTTCTCTCACGGTGGCAACTGACAGGCAGCGGTGTGAGCAGCATTATGACTCCTACACCGGGTTTAAAAATAACAATGGGCTTAAAGCAGCGCCCGGCTGCAATAATGAACGAGTAGAAGCATATTAATGTTTACCGTGGGGAAGCTTCTATCTATCTATCTATCTATCTATCTATCTATCTATCTATCTATCTATCTATCTATCTATCTATCTATCTATCTATCTATCTATCTATCTATCTATCTATCTATCTATCTATCTATCTATCTATCTATCTATCTATCTATCTATCTATCTATCTATCTATCTATCTATCTATCTCTTTTTTGTCAAAGTTTGAGGAGAGCAGTAGTCCTTGTGACAGAACCTGCATGAGTGGACAAGGTTTTTCTCGCAGGTAGAATCCTGGCTGACAGGTCTGATCAGAGGGGAGACAAATGACGAGGCGTCCTCCCTCGTCTGTCGTCAGCAGGCCTGACAGAGCACTGTCTGGTTCACTCAGTGCTCTTTCTGGCACTGCTTCACTTTCGATCAGGGGATTTTGACCTCCAAATTCCTCTTACATGATGTTTCCTCTAGAGTCACAACAGCACAGAGCTTTTGCTGGTGAGGGTGTTATGAGCTGAAGTTGTTCAGAATAACTATGGCATTTCCTCTTGTTTTGATACAGTGAGCACAGTCCATTGGGGAGAGAAGACTTTTCTATCCATTCAAAAAGAAAACATAATACTCTGCAGAAAAGATGCGGCTGAATCTTTGCTGATAGATATGAAGGTGTAGGACCAGTTTATTTATCTGCCACCTATGGTGTCTTTTACAACAAAACTTTTTAACTGCAGAGTCAAGCACAGTCGATGCTCACCGGAGGAACTTTTGCTGAAAATCTTTGGGAAAAAAAGTGCACTCCAAACCTCTCACATTGATTGCATTATTTAGTGATGAGGCTTCTATATTCTGTAATCATTAAACAAATGTTAGAATGCACCCTGTGGTGATTGTTGAAGGATCTGGTAATTGATTTGATACACCCCTGAGACTGCTGGTTAAGAGCTCTGCTCTCAACAGGAACATAAAGGTTTTTGTTAGATGGAGGATCTCAAGATTGCGAGCCATTAAACGCAGACATGAAGCATTCAAACCCAGGACACAGATCATTCTTTAGGCCTGAGGATACATTTTCATTGGCAGTTTCCAGGAGAAAATGACTCTGTATCTGCTTCTTTGTTCTCTCCACTAACTTGCAGCATAGCTGCAGTATGTCAGTGCGTCTGCAGGAGGAAACTGCCTCTGCCTCACATGCAGGATGGCTTTCCTACTATTAACAAGCTCCTGGTTGTAATTGCAAGTATTTTATGAGACAGTAACTCTAATGAAGGGAGGGATATGCCGACAAAGCAGATCACATTACAAACACAGGAGGTTGAGGTGTGGCCTTTTATCTCATCTATCCTAATAGCTACACATCAGTACACAGTATGTTAGCAAAAAACAACATCCATATGTGTACGGAGTGTGCATATAAGTATAATGTTAAGGTTGGTAAAAACACATATGTATTAAGTGGTTAAGTGTTGTGGTAGTAACCCCTTTGTGAAAACTGACCTGTCACAGTGGGACGTCATGTTCTCAGAGGCTCCTCATGGACACTCAACCATGCGAAACACTCCCTCAAGGCAGAAGGAAAAAAAGAAGGCAGCTTTATAAAGTGACTGATAGGATATACTGCCTTGGTGGGTGTGAGACCTGGAATTCTCCACAGTGTTACTGCAGAAAAGCTGGCCTCAGTGTAAGTGACTGACACTGAAGAAGGGGAAATGGAGGTCTAAAGCTTTCTCTTTTATCTGATCTCAAAGGAGACTAGTGCTGATGTGTACAGCCTGCATTTCCTATATTTTTGAGACTGCAGCAGACATTAATCTAAAAATTCAGCTGAAACTTTTAAAAAGTGCACTTTCCAAAACTGAAAAGGAATTGCTTGCCCCATTTCAAACAAATTTGCGAGGGAAACTTATAATTTCCAACCAAATATATTGTTTAAGGGTTTGGGGAAATACGTTTCTTTGAATATTTTACCTTAATTATTTTGAAAACAACCAGGATGCCCAGGCTGGAGGAGAGATTTTGTTTGTTTGATCTGAAATCTCTCAAGTAGTAAGAAAGCATCTGCAGAAATTATTTCTAATCGGATGTTAAACATCTAAATCTGTATTTCAATCAGACACAGTTGAGTTGCTTGTCTGATGGATAAACACGGATATGGATAAACAAATGGATGGATAAACAAAATATCGCAATTCTACACTGTATAGATTTTTTTCTCTCACCCCACCAACGATGTCCCAAAACAATGTTAGTATAAACTTATACAGGTGTGGCCCTTTGTTTAGGTGATGTAAAATAGCTAACCAGTTTGCATATTTACAGTTAGAGAGTTAGAATAATATCAATACAGTGCAACAAACTGTTAATTATATTGCAGATACTCATAATTTTTTTTTTTGAATGAATGAAAGCGAAGAAATACATTTAATTAGCTTCACAAATTTCTCAAATCCAATAAATTTATATGTGAGGCAACACAGCTCGGAGCGCAGAGCATAAAGAGCAATTAAACAGCTCTGCCTTGGTAAACAAAGCTAAACTTGCAGCGAAGGCAATACATCCACTGTGATTATTCTCCACCCTGAGCACTCAGCAAAAATCAATAACACATGCAGACATAAAACCAAACATGATCTGTAATCAGTCTTCATAAAACAAACAGAGTGTGTCAAAATATCTCTTAACTACACGTGGACACATCACGGAGTCAGCATTGACAAGCATTATCCTAGGAAGTTGAAGAGTTTTATGGATTTCTCTGCATTTAGGGCATGGATGATTTAAGCGCAAATGAAAGTCACAGTCAAAGTCAGTTCAGAATTAAACCAGCACAAAGAGTGTGTGTGTATATGAGCTCATGCGCTTGCATGTGTGTGTGAGACAGAGTCTGATGCGTAAAGTGAGAAAATGACAAGTTTTATCCTTGACATTCACATTTTAAGAGGGATTAATCAGGAGTTTTAATATTGACACGAAAAAAAAAAGACTGCATTATGAGAGAGGGCCACTCCTCCTGCAAAATAATTCCTCTTTGATCTCAGTGTTTAGGTCTTAAATTTCACTGTCAAGCTGGCTTTATGTCCCTTGAGTTCTCTCCATCTCCTTTGTATTGTCCATGTTATCTGTGACAGACGGCATCAGACTGACAGGGCTAAAATCTGTAGTCAACCCATTTAAGATTTTCATTTGCTAATACCAATGCTAATATATAATGCCGATATCATGATTGCATTTAACTAAATATACATATCATCAATAGTTACAGCCATTATTCCATGCACATTACAGTTTAATATAGATGATAATCTGCCAGAAAAATGTTTCAGATGGACTTTGAACTGATTCATTAAATAGAAAAATACACTTGGCTATTCTTAAGTATCCAAAACTGACATATTTATGCCAGTGGCAATATTTATCTCCATTGCTATCATTATTCCAAAAACAATAAGATTTGATTTTCTGTCATTCAGCATGTTATTTAAGGAGATGTTGATGTTTCCTGACAGCTGCTACTCTGAGAAGACTGCCTTTAGGGTCTGTAGATGTTATTTGTAGCCTTTTGAAATTGGCCTCATGAGTTCAGATATTGTCTATTTCCAATTATTTTAGAATGCCGGAAATGGAATAATCACTGATCAATCAGCCAAACTGATTAATTAGTCTATCCATGATGCAAAGCACCAAGTTTTTTTATTTTTCTGGGAAGGGAGGGAGGGATATAAAACACAGGAAGAAAGTGATGGTCTTGTTTCAATTTGGATTTCATAAAAAAAGCATCAGCATGAATTTAAGTCAATTTCATAAAAGTGAAGAAACTTCTCACAAGAGCTTTGATGTAAGTTTTTTGCCCATTAGCAAAGCAAGCACTACAGTGTAGGGCCGGGCGATAAACCGAAAGTTTACCGATACTGAAATTTACTACAATAACCGACGTCATTTTGCCCATATCAGTATATTTAGTGTAAAAAAAAATAGACAAACAAAAGTTGGTTTTGGATGTATGTAGGTAGGCTATGGTCTCATGTCCCTTAAAGACGCTGTCCTACGTCAGAGACGTGACCTCACCCCATTCAGTCCGTAACAAACAGGGAAAGACAGGTGAGGAGTTGAAAGACGGTTCAAAAGTTGGAGCGGCTGGAGCGGCGGCTGAAGTAGACGAAGTTAATGTGGGAGGGGGCGAGCAGTTTGTGGAGCAGTTATCGTCTATTTATCATTATCAAGGTGAACTGCTCAATATATCGTGATATGGATTTGAGGCCATATCGTCAAGCCCTACTACAGTGGCTGTTTTTCAAATAGCTTTTTGCTTTTAAAGGTGTTTCAATCTCCTATTTGTGTTTAGAGCTTCACTCTAAATTCAGTCCGATAACAGAAATCTGGACTTCTAGAGTCATAGAGCTTTGAGAGTCACATAATAAACGGTTATAATAAGTATGCCAAGGTCTGGTCAAAAAAAAAGAAAAAAAATAGGTAGTCTGGCAAAGAGCAAAGACAAACAGCAGAATTAAATCAAGTAATCTACCTGGTCCAAAATCAAGCTATAGAAACCTTCAGTTTAATCAACTAAATGCTGAATATGCTCAGAGAACATACAGTAGCTGCCGAGATTATGATTCTCTGAGTTAATAACAGGAAGGAAAGAAATAAACAGACTCTGCCCCCTCATCCATCACAAAGAAGGTGCCCTTGAACATATGGATATGTTCCCGATGTGATAAAAAATTGAAGTGCAGTCTTATTGCTGTTCTGTCCTTCAGTACATGGGCTAATCCAGATATTGACAGACCAACAAGAACCAAAGTATTTAGCTTTCGTGGAAAATGATATACTCCCTGACAGCAACAAGCAGCCTCCTTTAAGCTTTTCCCCTCATAAAGATCAAGTGAACTGAAAAACTCATCCACTAGTGCAGTTAGGTGTGGAACAGCCTAGACTTGGGCTGCTCTGCTCTGCTCTGCTTGGCCTTTACTTGAATTTACTTCAGTCTTATTTCTGGAAAGAGTCAGAATTTCTGGACAGTTAGGCGGGGCATTAAACTTCCTGAATGATCGCCTCTTTTCCAAGCTTACAGTAATTTATTGGGTCTGTGAAGCCGATGCATAAATGTAATGGATAGTTTTGCTGTGTGAATAGGTAGTTCAATTAAAAAACACTGTCAGCTGTGGATTTAGAAATGAATATATGAAGATTATTTCAAAGAGGAACATTTGAAGTGACTCCACTACTATTCATATGCGTTACTGCTTAATATACAGACATACAATTGATGAATGGAGATGTTTAGAAAGCCCTGTCTATTTTCAGAGGAATAACTTTGAAAGCATTATTCCTGGTTTGTGGCCAAGACCTTCAAGTTAATGTTTCTCTCCTCCCCTGCTCACACTTCGCCCATTTCCATAGACTTTAACAATATGCATTGAAGCCTCGAGTTGATATGGGGCTTCAAATAGAATCCCTCTTCCCTGCTGCCTGCAAATGCAAAATGTGATTTACGTCGACTCAAGTCTCCACAGCCTCCTTCAGCCGCATCTGTCTCATTCTCACTGCACACTTTTAAGTACCAATTTGGGGCCTTATTGAACCCAGCTTAAAGTGCAAAGACCAATTTGTCATGCAATTTATAGCTCCAGACCAAAAGCTCAGAGACGTTTTATGAAAGCTGAGCATAATAAGCGGACAAGGGAGAACATATGGATCAAATATAAGTGGCTTCTGTCCTTTTTTTTATCAAGCTGGGACTTCCTCCAAAGCTCTAACCCTTCTCACCCCCCATCAAGAGCTTTGGTCTTCATTTGTCACCTGTACCACCAAGCCCCATGAGGTTGTCTGCATGCTTTTGATGAATGGAGCGAGCGCTTCTGCCCTTTCTTTCCCATCCATCAATTCCTGTGGATATACAGCGCTGAAGACAAACAGCTCTCATTGGTGCTTCTGTAACTCTGATAGAAATCTGCCCAAACAATCATTTAATCACAGCAAAAACTCTAAATTTAATCGTCTACTCATATTGACAGCCTGCTTTCCCCCACCTGTTTTAAGAGCATTTTTGAGGGCGTAGCACATATATAAAATATGTGCAGTTTTATGTCCCAGCGGCTCAAAATGCAGCAAATGTCACTCAGAGTTACTGTGTCAGCATCCTAAACCCTTACCTATTGACCACATCTGGCAGTTTGAGTCCTTGGGTGGAAACTTTGTGGCTATGAATTAGGTATTTCAGACCTGTGTGGGCTGGATTTAGGGCACATTAGGTCTGCTTTTTTAACTCCCTCATCAAGAATCACAGAAAAGCTAACACTGCAGACTGTCAGGGCAAAACTATCAATAAAAATGTAGCCAAGTTGTGTATTTGCAGCTGCAGCAGCTGCATAAGTCCCAACATCAGGACTCTATTCTCAAAGGAACAGAGGAGAACAAATAAAGCGCTCATTCTCCCTCTCTTTCTCTCTCTCTATCTTTTTTTTTCTAATGCTGGAGATGCTGCACATCCCAGCTAATGTTGCCTGAGCCTCACACCTTTGGGAAATTAATTCCAATACTCTAAATGCAATTTGGATTACTGCATCATAATACATAGACAGCTTTGCAATCCCTTAAAAAGGAAAGAAAATGATATTAATTTTCTTGAGCTTGTTATGTTGAAACTTCTGACACAGAGGATTACCGTGGATGGCACTTCAATTTCAAGTTGAGATGCATTAACTCTCTTCTGGATTTCACGGTTCTACAATTAGCTGGAAATACTTAAACAAATTGCCTTTTTTTCTCTAGATCGAGGCTGATAAATTCTCTCTTGTATCCCAAATGACACGATGGGACAGACCCTGGCATGACTTTGAATTAACCTCCAACATACCAGCCAAGGTTCATCCAGAGATAAGGTTACTACTCTGACAGGCTTTGTCCCTCTGCTGCTATCTCCATCTCCATCTCATCCTTTCTCTCTCTCTTCACCATCCGTCTTTTTACCTCTCTTCAATTAACAGCAATAGAGTCAAAGCGTATTGGCTCTAGTCGGTTCATCCTGACAGCCCATCCCCTGCCTCACCTCTGCCAGCCTAACACTGGGCTATGTCGCAATTACATTACTACTCAGTAGTATCAGGGTGCCTGTGTCAAGGTGATACCACCTTTGTGATGACAGTGACCTCCAACCAGTCGATATGTAAGCCTAGCTCTGAAGCTGACACTGTGTCTTGACTCAACCTTGGTGCCTTCAGGTAGCGCTGGTACCACAGAAGAGTTGAACCTGAATAGTGATGTAAAGCCTAAGTTAAGCATCTGGTCCTCTTCTGCAGAATGAAAACATCATGAAAGCCTTATTTTAACATTAGCTGTTACTTATGGCAAACAGATTTAATATTTCCAGTCATAATTCAGCGGTGAGAAAACCTAGTGTTTGTGTCTCTGGAGGCTATGTGCTTTGTGTGCTGATCCACGCCAGAGGTAAATGTTCAGTCTATGTCTTTATTGTTTGCTAACTCAAGGATCATCAGGGTTTCTTCATAAAGGAAATTTTCCTGCCATGACTGCAAACACGTCTACATTCAGTGCCTCTTGAAGAAACAGAGACCAGTTGTCAAAGCTGATTTATTTTCATTGTTCTGATTATAGTAAAGCTAATTTCATGGCCTGTACTTAAAGACCCACTCCAATGAAAATCATGTTTTCCTTGTCGTCTACATGGTCATATGGTATTTTTCTGATGCTAGACAACACATCATGAGAAAACTAGGTGCAAAATTGCATTTCTCAGTATTTCTGCATTTAAGTTGATGTGATTCTCTGGCAGACTCAAACAGCAGGTTCAGATACAGTTAGATTTTCTATGTCACAAATCTAAGCTCCGCCCCCTGGCACCCTGCTCTACAGGCCAGAGCCACTGAGAACTAGAGGACAATGGCAGAATTAATGTGTGCGGTAGTGGACTGCAACGCTCGTAAGAAAGCGAATTATGATATCAGCTTTTGTTGTGCCCCCAAAGACATACTTGTTCAAGAGCTGAATAGCTCCTTCTGCTGCACAGGCAATGTTTGGCTACAAACTAGCGTGAAGAGGAGTGTGCAGAGTAACATTGTCTCCGTCCATGACTCAAAGGCGAATTGTGAATGAGCTCTGCAGAAGAAAAGCCCTTGAAAATGACACCAGTAACATGGTTTTGGCTAAAAAAAAAATCAGACCACTGAGAACAAGTAGTTAAAAAAGAAACAGCTGGAGTGGGACTTAAATTTCTATAGCATAGTTCTGTTTTCACTAATGTACATACTAGTGACTCATATGCCAACAATGAAATCACCACAAATCCAGTCACACTGTCTAGAAAAAGACCAGTTTCAGTTTCATTAAAGGTGCACATTAAAACAAAATGTCAATGCCGTTAACATTTCCTCTCCAGACACAAGAGCTCTTCATTATATACAAGGAATAAACACAATCTGCGTTTTTTCCCTGGGTATACATGACTGCATTTGAATTCTCTTTGACCATTTTCAGCTTAGAGATAATGTCTACCTTTGTTGATCTCTTACAAACACATTTATACTGATGTCTGTTGTCCTGTTGTTTGTGAGGAACCGTGTGAATAGGGTTTTATTGATTGGATGATTAACAAAGCACAATGATTTGTTGCATGTCCCAGCGATGACAGATTGTCACTTAAATTGGCCATTAATGTTATACTAACTTAAGACTGTCAATCAATACTTAATTTTGTTTTGTAGGAGCAGTCACATTGACACTCTTGTTGTTTTTGCTTTGGAAAATCATGAGATATTGAAGATTTTTTCATCAGGCCTGCCTGCTACATAAAAGTGTATCATACAAAGCTACTTCGGGTCAAGTGCACTTATCTGAAGGGTTTGAAGATTTACAGTAGTCACACTTTAAAGGATAGTCCTCGTCTTAGATTTAGCCGTCTGGCTGACAGAAGGCTGCTATCAGTGGGTGCAGACAAACCAAAGCATTAGATTAAACCTAAATGGGAGCACTGTTTCATTCAGCTACCTGTACCTTCACGTTATGAACTGAATCTTGAAGACACTTAGTATATTTAAGTGATGTTAAAAAGAAGGATTTAGTCTAACTAGAAGGAGACTTTTAAAGTACTTGTAAACACATGGGACCGACTGAAATTAGACTAAATCACATTTGTGAAAGTTGGACAAACATGCTTTAACAATGTGGTGGGGGATCCATTACACCTCAATTTAATCAGCCTCAATCTGGACCAGGTGTTCTTGGCACTAGATGACAGGAGGAACTAGATGATAGGAGGCAAATCAACACCTGTCCGATTAAATCGTCTTCTGGGGCTTTAACCTTAGCTTGACTGAACTCCTTCTGTGCAGGATTAGATTGAAGATGATGACTTCTTAATGAACTTGCTAGGTAAAACACCAAAAACATTTAAATAATACAGTTGTTAAAAAATTTAAATCATGTACAAAAAACAAAAAAAAAAGAAATACAAACTGATTTGACAGTATATACTTCAGATAGTCAGGAAAGAATGGTGTAAACTGATTAAATGCATAAAGAGGTTAAGTAAAAGTTTACTTAATGGAAAAGCACTAAACCAGCTCATTGTTTATTATGCTGTATTTTACTGTAACAAACGTGGGCAAAGAGCACAATAGCACATTCTCACATGTAAGTCTAAAAGATAAGGAGAAATATGCTCACGCCAAATGAAAATGTGATTTTTAAATTGAAGTTCTCAGTTAAGACTTGCATTTCAAAAGAAGTGATGAGGGACTGTAGTATTGAAAAAAGCACTGCTTCTTCATGAAGCCATTTTTAAAAAAATCAAAATTAAATTTTTCTCTCTGTAGAGCAAGAAAGATAATTTCTCTTTGATACAGACGGGACAATGATTTAACCTTTTTTCAGTTCTTTTTGATGCCATGTGTTTTTTTTTTTAATTTCTTTAATTCTTGGGTACTTATAATTTCTGTTTTACCTGAAATTAAGTGGAAACAAAAAGTACTTACCTCATTTGGATTAAATGGGTAAATGAATCCAAACAGACTACTGAATATTCATACCATTAAAATCAAAATACCATCATCTTAGCTGTCTCAACTTTTAATTACATGAGGCTAAAACCATTGCATGCAACTGCATTAGCAAAAAAAAGAGAGATCCTAGAGGAAGTGTGACCCAAGTTTAGAGAAGACCAGGTCCAAAACATTTCAGCGAACCAGCAAGACTGCTTATCTTGACTGATGGACATATTATGACAGATGTAAACATTAAAGCCTGACTATGAGGTAGCACCAGAGCTGAAAGATAAATGGACACATTGCTTTGTACATCTGGTGTCGAATCTAGAAAAATAATTGCAACATTGAAATGCAGCATGCCTTGAGCTTTTGGCAGTGAGGATCAACCAAATAGGATCGGAGATTATCAAAAGATCTATGACAGCAAATCTGAAAAGTACACATCTCTTCATCGCACCAGATTCACATTTTCCATTTTCCATGACAACCTGAGACAATATCACCCAGGCAACAGCATCCTACATGGACACAAATTTCGCAGTCTGTTCACCAAATAAATTACGATTCAACAGAGTGACCTCTCGAAGAGACACACAAAGACACTATAAAAGCTCTAAGCATACAAAGACACACCAGGAGGCCTGATGCAGAGCTGGTGTCTTACAGATTACAAAGTGCGCTATCTCAAGGCTGCTATCCTGCTACTCTCAGCATGATTAGTACTGTTAAGTTTGCACAGCCTCTCTTTCCTCCTCACTGTCTGTTCCACTCAGTGTTTGGATTCCTCACTGTGCCTTACGCACCATTTCAGCACAAGTCCAGAGTTCATCTATATTCTGCATTCATAAGCCCACTCCTGACAGCTGCTAATCGCTCTTGAAAAGCAGCAGGCAGGTCAGGATGCAGCATTTTGGACTTGAAAATAACACACTGACGGTTACGTATGTGTAGCATCTGAAAGAACTGGTCCATTCTTAAAAGTATATATACAAACAGGCATTTCTCCACTCACTCTATGGTGATTGAACACTGTGTAATAGGAGCCACATTATGTTGAAACACACGGTCTGTCTGATGCACTCATCAATCATCTTTTGTAGCACCATATATAAAGATTTTAGACGTGAATAAGAATAAAACATTAGCCACACTCCCAGAAATCCATATCCATTATCGTGGCATGCATGCTTTTCATTTTCTGTGATGTGGTTGGAGACTCATTGATTTTCATCCCTTTACCCTATTTTGCACGTAGTGAAAAGGATTGTTTCCACCACTCTGTATTGAAATCAGCCTGCTGAATGTAAACATTTTAACAGTCTCTATAAATCACAGGTGATATATGTTGCTGTTGTTGTTGCTGTCTATTTGCGGTGTAAATTCAAATGCGTATTTTTAGACTTGATGGTATTTTTCACAACGGACCAATTTTTTTTGTTCTGTTTGGCCGAAACAGAAAGCAGCAGGAGCACAAATACCATGTTTATCACATATTGTAGAATGTTTTTTATTTTTTTATTATTTATTTATTTTTATCACTGGCACATTAATTTTTTTATCCCAATCATTGATCATTTAAGAAGGTGTGGTAACAACAATAATAATTCGTTAATCTGAAAGAAAACACATTTTAAAACGAAGAAACAAAGTGCTATAGATAGATAGATAGATAGATAGATAGATAGATAGATAGATAGATAGATAGATGTTTTCTTCCTGCCCAATGGCCTTCAATCAAACACTGCTGGGAATGATTTGTTTTTATCTGGAAATCAATAAGAGTAAACATTTTCTTGAAGCACACTGCCAACACATTTTTGTCCCTTCGTCCTCTGTGTAAAAAAAACAGTCAATACTGCCAGTTTCTCCCCTTCCCCTTTTTATGACTGATGACTTGTGCCCTCAAGTCTCTGAGCACTCAAGCCGGTGAGCAGACAAGACTTGAGTGACGCAGGCATGAAGCTATCAATTAAACGCTCCTCCTCTGAATGTCCTTCCAGGAGTCTGATTGTATTTCTCTGCTGTCAGGCCAAAGACAGTCAGTGCTGGTAAAAATACAAAACATGTCAAATGTACAGTTGATTGGTTTGTTTGTGTGCTAAATCTTTGTCAAAATAGTCGAAGGGTGAATGAGCCTGAACTGTAAGAAACCGAATATTATGAACATCAGTAGTTTCTCGGAAGATTTTATATTTTTAGTGGAAGAAGACAAGGTTTTACTTTCTTGATCCCTATGCTTTCTGTGCCCTTAGTATAATGTGAGTCACTGCGTGTGGCTCGGACATGCTCAACATCACATACAGCAGCTGGCCCTGCTATACTCTCAGGGCCAAATTGGTGAAGCATAAAGGTTTTAATTGGTTAACTACAGCTTTTGGATTATCAGTGAGCCTGTCATTAGCCAAAGAGGCAAGGACTGCGGCAGCATCAGCATGTAGTCCCTACATTGGGCTGATGGTCATCCACGCTCATCATATTTTCATCCGCCCTGTCACTGAGCGCATTTAACTGTGCATTCTTGTGTTCGCGTGTTAGAGCAAGACTTCCTGCTTCACTGCACCGTCTCGCTTGTCTTTGTCTCGAAAAACGTTTTCTTAGCAGTGATTGTTAAGCACCAACTTGCCAGGATTTGATTTGAGCCGAATTGACCCTGATTGCAGCGGTGGGCGAAGCAGCTCCATGCAGCAGACGAGGACACAGCTCTGTGCTCGGCCAAAAGCGCAGCTTGGTCTCATTCGCTGGCTCTTTGAATATGAGCGTGTCAATACAGCCATTGCACACGGCTGCATATGCCCCTCAGGCATGATTCCTCCCCGACTGAATCGATTCAGGCTCTGTTTATCTCATTAGCTTGTAGCGTGTAATCAATCACACAAGGGCATTTGTTTCGGGCCTCCAACCCACTGCGCATTATAACTCCACTCTTATCCTCTGTGAACATTGTTCTGTCTACAGTTATCTTTAGCAGTGAGTGCTACACTGAGCCACATGTTAGTCAGTGCAGCAACTTGGGATTCATCCAAGTGATCTTAATAATGCTGAGTGATGTGGTATCTGCTTGGGCAGACCTGCATGAAAAACCTATATACATGCATGTAAATCACTTATACTTCTGAGAATTCACTTGTGTTCAACTCCAAAAGAGTTTAAATTCATCCATCGCTGCTTATTTTTACAATTTTTTTTCTTTAGTAGCTTTTTATTGGATCAAATGTTTGAGTGGAAATTCTTGACTTATACACATGACTCGTGTCACAACGAATAATGTCGGGGCACAGGACTCTATCAAAACCAGCTGAGAGGGAACCCTGCCTCTGGCAAAGCAAAAGGTGCTGCTTTTGTCAATTTCAATGAGCCACTTTGATCACCATACAGCACTTTCAGCAAATATCCCATCACATCAATGCTTCATAAGACTGAACCAACAATCCTTACTCCAACAGGGATACCGGAATGGCAGTATTTGAAATTAGCTTAAAGATGACTGTGATTTGCAGAAAGTGTGAGGTCCACAAAAACTATGAGCCAAAGCTGATTCATCCTTTTTGAATCACTAAAAGTAAACTGAACTACAGCAAAAGAGGGCAGACGTACAGTCTTATATCACAATTAGACAGATTAACCCAAGATCCTCCTCTTCAGAAGAAAATTTTAAAAGATTATTTTTTGTACATGGTCCTGGTATACATTGCATTTTTAGTACCAAAACAAAGGGACTGGTTAACTATCCAGTTATCTTGAGCCTCTTTCTAATAAAAATGTGATTATTTGGGTAAAGCATTTTCAGAAAAATCCTGGAGGAAACGCTGACAATTGGATATTGATCTGTGTTTCCACAGTGAGACTGGCTGGAATGATAATAAGCTCAGCCTTCAAGTATCTTTAAATCATTGAAATCAACATTGCTAATCTGTTTCTTATACCTGTCAATTTATTTTGTGCCATCACTACAAGGCCAACTGACTAAATCTAATGAACTATTTCTTTATAACCGTCATAATAGTAAGATAAGGTAAGGTAAGGTACACTTTATTGATCCACCAGGACAAGAAGACTCATGCAGACAACAAACAGCATGAAGACATCAGAAAAACATAAACTCAACACCAGATACACAACAAACACAGTAAAAGCCAATGAAACATGATTTAAAAATGGTACAATTAAAGGTAAGGACATGATTAAATACAACAAAAGCCTCGTAAAAAAGAAAGAATACTGAAATAAATATCTCTACAAACTATGCAGCAGTGCCAAGTCAGACCCTCGCATAGTCAGACCCTCTATCTATTCCTGCTGCTGGAACAAAAGACTTTCTTGTTGTGGTTATTGATATGGATGTTCACCAGCTTCTTCAGCATCCTTACCTTTCTGACAAACTTCACTATCAATTCTCCCCAATCAGGATGAAATGATTGCTTAAAGAAAAAACAAATATATAAAAAATTTGTATTGATTAAAAGAAAAACGTACTTTTAAATCATATGTAAGTACATCTTTGAGAAACTAAACACACATTTCACTTCTAATAAATTCTCAGCTTAAAAAAGTATTGCTTACTCCCAACTTGCCAACTAGTTTTTAAATACAGTAAATCACTTATAAAATGATTATTTGACTGATTATGAGCATGAGTGGCTTAAGCTCTTTATTTTGTTTCTGTATTCCACAGCTCGTTCATGGTAATTAATTTTCATAGCAAAAAAAAAAGGCTCTGAAAATTAATGCTGCTGCAAGGCAGGTCAGGCTCGCAGCTCGTTTCACGTACAAAAAAAAAAGATTAATTAAAGACCAAAGCAGAAGGTGATAAAAGATGCTCCAACAGGTCACCTTCTGTTTTAAAACTTTTGGCACTAAATCAATTTTAGAAATGAGATGACTTTGTGACAGCAACACAAACCAATCTACAACAAAGAGCTGTTTTCTTGTCAGGTACAGGGGGTTCAAGAGGGACTGTCAGAAGAAAGAATGTTGTGTACCAACATTTGAATGCTTTATAAGAAGCAGCTTCTCAATATTTACAAGAGCAACATGGACGCTTTGCCCTTGTCACCCTTGAGCTGGTGTGATTCAGAGATGCAACACTGAAAGTGAGCCATAATTGGCGCCCACTGCACATAAAATGTCATGCAAGCAGTGACAGGAACAGTAACAACAGGCTTGCTGAGGTCTGTCTCCTCTCACTCTTCAGCATGACGCACGACACCCTGTGACAGCTTCAAACTTCAGAAATGCTGCTTAGCTTCTTTTACACATTGACTTTTTTTATCTTTTACACCTTAAAGTATTAAACCTGCCACATTATTTATTTCACTTATTTTTAGCCTTTCTATGACTTTAAAAGCAAAGAAAGATATGAACTAATTCCTCTACCTGCTTCGTTGCATCTCCTATCTGTTTGTTCTTCTCCAGCTTTTTGCTTTGTCGATATGTTGGTCTAGAAATGTAAATGTACCAGTCAAGGAATCACATTTATTAATATTTAATCTGGAGTAATTCCCTGCTGCAATTGAGCATTTATCCATCTAACCCAGTCAAAACAGTCAGAAGTGCTGCCTACATTACCTCCAGTAACTCAGAATAGAACATCCAGACTGCCTTCTCTGTGCCAATCCTATTACATACTCTGTGACTAGGATGATTGCACCATAGCAGAAAATGATTTTAGCACATTCAGCATTCATGGTTACAAAGAAAATGTCATGTTTTTAATAGCGCTTTTGTGGGGTAGATTAGTAAATGTGATTGGTCTCAGATCTCGAAAAACACTGGGATTAGAAAATGAAAGGCATAATGCAAACATGCTTGCATTTCTTGTCATTTTGTAGAAGTCAAGAGTAGGAATGCTTTGAAACAAGTTATGTTTGTCCTTGTCTTTAAAAACTAAAAAGCTTCAACTCGGCCAACCTCCTAGACCAAATGTAAGACAATACTGAGGGAACAGCTCAAATTGAGCCTTTTTTTTTCTGACAGTAAAATAAACATGATGACAAAGTCTTTGGGTAAACAATACTGAAATGCAGAGTGTGGTTTACGATAGCAGAGCCAGCACTTCCAGATCACAAGCCTGTTATTAAGCCTATGCAATGTTACACAGTGCGCCAATCGAAAGGTCGTAGGGTTGGGTTAGGGTTGGCTTTGGTGATAATACAATATCACTTTCTGTACCATCAAAACAACAAAGGCCCGATGCAACTTTTTTACTTCCCATGAGATACCGATATTGTAGCCTTCAGTACTGGCCGATACCAATGTTGATCCGATTTTGGCACAAAATTGTGCATGACAAGTTTTGCAATCAGCTTCAATGTCTTTTTTGGACTTAAACAAAAAATACTGCCACACGGCTGACATCACTCCTTCTCCTCGCTACTTTGTTTGTACCTTAGTACAAACTGTTGTTGTGATTACATAGACTTTGCATACTAGATCCAGGTGTTGCTAGATAGAGGTGCTTGAGCAGAGTCTGGAATGGACTGCTTTTATTGGAGTGCTGATATCAGGGATTTTAGATGCAGGCCGAGATGCAGTATTCCAGTATTCTTTTTTTTTTTTGTTGTTGTTGTTGATATCAGACAGATATCAAAATTGGACTGGGACATCCCTACCCTTAACTGTTGATTCAGGAGAAAAATTAGACTAAGTTAATGAATGTGTCTTCATCATCAGGGATAGAGGTAGTGGAGCACCTCAAACGAAGTGAGTTGGTCTCTTAAAAAAATATATAACCAATGCCATTTGTCAGCATTTTCGAGTTCCACTTACACCCATGCACAAAGATTGTGATCCATCTGCATGTGCACAGATTACTAACCCATATCCATGGATGGGCACAGAAGTTTTTATTTAGTAATTTTCTTTGTATTGTTTGTGATATAATGTTATCAGTCTGCTGTAGGCCTGTCGCGATAATCAATAAATCGCCTTATCGCTCGATAAATAAACACGAGGTTGATAACTTTGCCAGCCTCGATAATTTACGTGCGTTTGTTTTCCTCCTCTCTCGCTACCAAACACGCTGGATGAGAGAAGAGGTCTCACTCTGCGCATTTTTCTCGGCACCTGGGGGCGTTGGCTCCATAGCGGAATGAACGGAGTTAGTGAACCCTCCTGTCAGTCATTCAGTATCTTTGTCACGGGGGGGGCGCGCGCACAGGTACACGTAGGCGCGCACAGGCACACAGACCTTTGGATACAGTGCTGCAAGTGAGCGTTGTGAGTGAAAAGCAAGCAAACAGAATGAAAACGACAGCTTTGGTGTCTAAACCGAACGCAACAGCCCAAGTGTGGGAATATTTCGGCTTTAAACCAGTTTTGTTTTCGTCAACCACAAAACTCCACGTGTGTGCGCGCGCGCGCGTGCGTGTGTGTCTGTGTGTTGGAGGAGCACAGCAGGCTGAAGAGAGCTGTCAGAGCGGACTGAAGCTGCTCCTATATGTTTAGCGTTTAACTGACTGAGTTTTGCAACTCTGTTCGTCATTTTCGTCTCGACCCATCAACGTAAACGCACTTTCGTCTCGTCACATTTTAGTCATCTCCGACTTATGTTTAGCTCGTCAACGTTATGTCTTCGTCGTGGGAGAAAAGGGAAATATTTTAGTCAACGAAAACAACCAGTGTTGTTCTCGTGTGGAAATTAAAGTTTATCACTTTTGACATGGTGTACTCGCATTATTATGCCCTATAATATCATTATCTATAATTTAAAAAATGGTGTCAATAATATCGTTTATCGGCGATAATTTGTAGCACAATTATCGTCCAGCAAAATTTGTTATCGTGACAGGCCTAGTCTGCTGACTATTAAAGAGGCTCATTTAAAACCTTAAACAAGATTTTCAATTAGCCACAGTAATACTGTGGTTCCTAATAAAATGACTGAGGAGGTAAAATATGGATACTGCTTCAAAATGCCTCATTAACTGGAGCTTCAGCCTCAGCGACTGGCAGGTGGATGTGCTACAGTTTTCACACAACATTCGAGCAGTCCCAATTGATAAAAATGGTAATATAATTAATTTAACCAACTGGCAACTCTGGCGAGGGTGATGACATTTAATGGCAAGTGCACAAATCCTCCGTCAAGAGCAACATTTTTTCCCCGATATGCAAAGGTGTAACGCGTACAGTTCAATTTAGATCCCTCACTCTACTGCAAAACAATTTTCATCCCATGCTCAGTACATTTACTAGATGTCATAACCACGTCAAATGATATAATAGAATGCCAGTGGGAAACATAATTTGAGCATTTTAGTAAATGCAGGTATGTGCACTTTCAGTTGGCATGCACATATTCAATACAAATATGAGCAGATTCCTTTGGCCTTCAGGCAAAACTAGAAATTCATCTCATCATCCCATCATGTCATGGCATAAAACATTTAACACAAATACAACACGAAAGACTCTATTTCAACATTTCACATAACAGTGAACTGAAGCACTTGACTGTATACAGCACTTTGTTACCATATGTCTTGTTCACCCCTTCACATACACTACACACTTGAGAAATAGGGTGCTACATAGGGCGAGAGCCAACACTAACCTCCTGGTTGACAGACAACATACTCAATCAGTTACAAGTGAGAGACAGGTTGTGAGGCATCTCCACAATCCACCAAACGTAAAAAGGTTTCCAAGGAAACAAAGTTCCTTACATTTCTTTGCCCATGATAAATTAAATGTGCGATAATCATAGCAGAGTCACATTAGCAATGCATTAGTACCTTGTTTGGGAGCAACTGAACTACTTCTCCTTGTTATTATGTCTCACACACCCTGTGCTTTCTGTAATTGCTCTTGTTCAATTACTGGGAGAGAACTTAATGTATAATGTCTATCACTTTAATGTGATTAAATTTAAGTAATTTCACATCTTAAAGGGATACAGATATCAGACCTGGTCCTAGAGTCCTGCCATGTTTTTGTAGTTTGTTGAACTTGGGTGTTGTCTAGTATTTAATTTATTGATCAGACTCAAAATTTGGGGCAGTAATGTCTACCTTGGCAACGCTTGTAAATCCGCATACCAGACATTAACTGATAGTCATCCTTTTTGTCTTTTTGCAAAGTTTCTCAGTAAATGACTAAATAATCTCTCAGCATGCTCCCAAGTGATCATTTCTCCCTGCAGAGATGGACAGACACTTACAGTTCTTGTCAAAGCTGAGGGATTTACAACAAAGCCTCTGGGATTTTCTCAAGAGGGTAATTGAGAGAGCTTGTTTGTGCCTGAAAACTTGGACTTTTTGTTGTGTTGTGTGTTTGCCATTTCTGTTGTCTAATCTGTGAGTAATTACAGCAGCCAGTCCTGGAAGGGACTGGATGTTTATCACACAGACGAAATAAGCACAGAAGCTCATACTGGGAATTAACTGCCAAAAGCACTCTTATTTGGTTGTCTCAGTTATGAACAGACTTCTCACTACTTCAAAAGTATCATACATATAAATAATGAATTTTGGTTTGAAAATGACAAGTTGGGTCAACTTTTACATACATTTACCTAAATCTGATCACATGAGGGCTTCTAAAGGACAATGTGTGATGCTCGTACAAAACCATATACTTTAGCAAGGCTCAGTATGCAATAATTTGGAAATTTATCTTTTGTTTTGTTTATTACCTCGGATTAAGCTCTTGATAAACAGTATAGTTGCGTTTGTCTAGCATAGCCAATTTGCTGCGAAAGACCGGAGCAGAAAAACCCAACAAAAGCAGATTCTCTTGCACACTTGAAGAGAACCGAACTATGCAGTAGGCAAGTGTCTCTTGCATACTGCTAATTTAAGAGGGGAAATTCACACTCCCTCATCTGCAATGTGTAATGCATGGAGGTGTAATGGAGGTGTAACAGAGGAGCAAAGGTATTTTGCCTCTGATCCTCTCTGGATAATAACTGGATAATGTTTGCTGGAAAATTTCAGGGAACTGCTTTTAGGGGTGACGTTTCTGTAATCTTTGTTGAAATTGAAACATATTAACAAAATGCAGAAATATGAATAAGTTAGGAACAGAGGAAGAGGGGAGTATTAAGATAAATGCATTGAATTAAGAACACAAATTAAGAGTTTTAGAAGCTGATGTACTTTTTGAATCCAAAATGATGCCCATATAGTGCTAATTTTTGGAGTGACTTTATTTGACTCGATGAATATGGTGTCTTCCAAACATCTCTTGCAGGTGCGAATATGAACAGTGGTGAATTTTGCCTGCAAAACAATATTTCTTTCTTACTATTTCTGCTGATCACACTGGGTCCTCCACCTGCTAGCGCTGCAACGGCACAAGGACAAACAACACTAAAGCGTGACACTCTGTAGAATCTCCAGTTATGCTGTGTAACGTCACCAGCAAGTGCAGGACCTCGATTTGACCACCTGAGCACATTTAGTACCTACACCAGCACTGCTGCAGAGTTGTAATGTGTTAAAAGGGGGGTATCATGCCTTTCCACATTTACAACAAAAAACGCAAAGTTACAAAGTTTGGTTTTCATACTACATGTAGCCTATACAAAGTTTCACATCACAAAGTAAACATGTTTTGTCATAATCTTTGAAAATAGACGTTAACTGCTCAAATCTCAGACAAATGCGTGAAAATGCGAGACCGTAGTTTATGTGCGAGATTTACTAAAATCTAACGAACTCTAACTCACTAAATCTAATTAACTAATTCTGACATAGAGTAGAGGGAGTGGGGCCAAAACAACAAGCTCTGCCCTTGTCTGGCTTACAGAAAGCCTCCAGAGAGGTGACCAATCAGAAGACAGTAGGCTTGAGGAAGGGACAGCAGCTAAAATGAAGCGTTTCAGATGGAGGCTGAAATAATGATATTTTAATACACCACTGTCAGGGATTTTAAGCTTTTTTGACCTGAAATTCACATAAAACTATTAAAGGGGTATCAGAAAGGAAATCTAGAGTCTGAAAAACAAAGCATAATACCCTCCCTTTAAGGGTTGTGGGTTGTAATCTGACACAACCAGATAACACTCACAAACAACACCCTGGACTTTAAAGGTTAAGAAATGCCGAGTGGAATTGTGTGATTGTTGTCACCATTGATTTATGACATCATGTTTGTTTTATTCATACAGTGTAATCCCTGTTAAGTCACACAGACCTCACCCACAGCATCATGCGCACTGTCAGGTCACATTAGCATTGTGTGGATGGGGCGATGAAAGGGACGCACTCTGTCATTATGTGAAATAATCATCTCAGCCTTCTGACCTCAGACACCTCCAGTTGGGCACGACATATAGTTCAGTACAAACTCAACACTATGCTCACCACCCTCTCGTCAGGCTGAAGACAAGCTGTACAACTCCACCATACTTATTAAAGGTAAGGTTTAACGGTGAAGGATGCAGCGGAGCTTTCCTTGTTTACTCTCTTATGCTGTTCATTGTGACACACAAAGAAAATAACTGGAGATAGGAGAGAAAGAGAAGAGAATAGAAGTGTTTTCCACTCTATTCTTCTTCTATTCTCCCCAGTGTGTGGCAGAATATGGTTTGACAGTGGGGGAGGTTGAGCTGGAGGGCTGGGTCAGGAGCTGTGCTTAGTGTTTGTGCCTGTAGATATTGTAGACTGCGTGAGTCTTTGTGTAAATGTGTGTATGCGTATGTGTGCGTGTGATGGCGTCTGTGCCTGTGTGTTTGTATATACAGTGTATGCATTGTGACTGCACATGCTTTACGCCTCCAGTAGCATCTCTGCTTCATCTTCTAATCTCCAGCAGGCCTGACAAATGTGAACACAACTGATAGCACACTGCCAGCTGTCCCTAATACCTTCTTTTTTTCTACCACAGTGGTACTGCCCCAGGGGACTATGGGTTACCATGAATACACCTAATGAGATTATACTCAAAAAAAATTCATTAAGAAAAAGGGACAACTTATTTGAATCATGCAGCATTACTTATTGGAACGGTAAACAGCATTACAAGCCTCTGCAGTAAATCCCTGTGAGACAGAAGTCATGCTGTTTATTTTATTGACACATCTAGCAGATGTTAGGATTGTTAGGAAAGCAGTTATTTACTCCAAAGTGGTGCTTTTTGTTTCTGTTGCTGAAAAGGTAAAACACATTTTAATGATTTGTTTTGAGCCTGGATGTGCACGTCAGCTTTAACAACTCAAACAAAAATTCAAGCTAACCAAAAGGATTAACCCCAAGCACCCTGATGTGATAATGTTCTGATGCCCTAGTTTTTGTCCAACATACATATTTTCCAATTTAAAAAAAAATATAGAAAACATTCACTCTAAAGGGCTCATTTTAGTACAACACAATATGGCAAAAAGGCAACTTTTTAAATACAGCGCAGCAAAGGTTTACTACAGCTAGAGATGCACCAATCCAACTTTTTTTTTGACCGAATACTGATACCTGGACTTTTCTGAAAATTTCTGAAATTTCTTCACTTCCATTTTATTTTAACTTTAAATGTTTATCTGCAGTTTAAAAAGGGACTTTGGAAAATAAAGGAATTACACTTGAAATGTAAACCTTTCAACACTGTCAACTTTAGCATCAAATTAAACAAAAAGCCAGTGCAGCAGATAACATCCCAATACAAAACTCCAAAACATGAGTCTTTGGTATTTCTACAATATAAAATAACAATTTTGTCACAAATACAGTACAAACTTGCAAAATTAAAACATAGTTTAACTTCAGTGTAAACACTATTTGTGAACAGCAAGTGGAATGGAAATTGAATTTCTAGAGTTTAATAAAATTGAACAAACTGAACAAAGTGAAGTTAAATAAAAATGTACCCGTAGTTATACCTGAAAGTAAGACCTCTAATAAAGACAGAAATCCTTTTAGTTCCTGTGTCAAATATGACAGCAGCTGATGTGTGACCATTTCACAATTTAGTTTGGGTGACCTGATTTTATCTGAATGCTCACTTAAGCAGCAATGACATGTTCTCTCTCAAAAAAACAAACAAACAAAATAACATTTCAGCTCTCTCAGCAGTTAGTCTGCTTCTTTTTCCATCCACAATGTCAGAGACTAAGCTGAACGGTCTCTCACTCTCTATGCTTGTGTTTATGCTCAGCTCCTCAAATGGAGCAAGAACAGTCAAAGTTTTCTCCAGCAAGGTCCACTGTCAGTGTGGTGGGCAGGTCATGGTCAGCAACTGAGGCAGAGGGGACTCTCTTCTGCTCCTAAAGGCTCTGTATCATGAAGTGCTATTCCACCGTGTCTTGCTGTTCTGGTGTTTAACAGGCATCTGCATCTCAACTTAGATTTCTTGAAGGTGACAAAATGCAAGTGGGGAGTGCTTCAAAGGCCCCACAATCTGTCTCCCACTTGACACTGCATCACTTAAACAGCGTGTGCCTGTAAACCTTTTGTTTATTACACGCTGTACCCCTATAGTGTCCATGGCTTTTTTCGTGTTGCTATCATTGTCTCTCAAAATGATGTACACTTTGGTAAGTGGCAAAGGAGATGCTGTCGCTAGTGTGAGATCCCTTAAAAGATTTTAGCGTGGTGTGACGTAAAGCTGGTGTCAAACCATTGCACACTTAAACTGAGCAGTCATAACGGGCTGACAGAAGAGCTCCAGATATCCGTTGTAAAACTCATTGCTGTCACATCTTTCAGTTCTAATAACAATTGTCCGCGCACTTTCTTGTTGAGTTCAGGTAGAGCGCTCTCAAAGAAATATTCAAGTGATGGTAGACACTACCATGGCTCCAAGTGTTCAAGCAGGCGTTAGAATCCCTAATTTTTCAACCACTTGCAGGGGCTGTCTGTCTAGAACAATAAATGTGAAGGTCTTCGTCGTTATTTTGTTTTGTTTGTCATACTGTCACTTGAAAGTTTTGCAGCCGACAAAGTTAACTGCTTTGTCTTGTCAGTCTTTGTGGTTCGGTCATGCTCCTCATATTCTTTGGTGAGATAATCTTTGAGATGCTTCATTAAGTTAGTTGTATTGTATCTTGCAGAGTTACCACCTCCTCTTGAAACTTCCAATTTGCAGATGTTGCCACTGTTGGGGTTGTTGGAGTAGTGAGAGAAAATTGCCTCTAGACTGCTGATCGTCTGCTGTTAGCCACTGCCATGCTAATTCACTCATGTGAAGTCACTATGTGTGCCAGTAAACTGGCGTGGTTCCAGAAAAACGTCTAAATGAAATGATTAAATTGGACCTTTAAAACTGCTTTTAGAGGCAGAATCGGGCCAATCTTCGAGATTGGTGCATCCCTAGCTACAAGACTTTCCACACCCATTCCTTAGATTTGCATGTACTTCATTGTGACTCATACTGCTCCACATTTCTAGTACAACATCCTGCCCTCTCTCATAATCCTCAGGTTTTTAAACCCCATTTCCCATTAAAGTGCATGTTAGTTTTCTACACAGTGATTATATTGGGAGACTTTTGCTGGAATTGCTGGAGCAGGTCAGTGGGATTTCAATAGCAGCCACAGTTTGGAGAAATTGAACATCTAATTATTTTGTGTTGCTGGTCACTCCAAGCTGCTCTGATGTACCTCAGGCAAACAACTGCTGTCCCTAGAGGGAGAGGAGCTGCTGGAGAAAAGAAAGAGAGCCTGTGCCAGCACAAGTCTGTGGAGCACAGTTTATTCTAATTCCTCGGCAGGACATTAATGAGCCAGGATAGTGGCTGTCTTAATAGGCAGCCAGACAGGTTTTAAGTGCCCCATGGAGTGTACTCCACAGAGGAACAACAGCACTGCTGCAAGACCCAACAGATTGTTCTTAGTTTTTATTTTACAATAACTCTACTTCTAAGCTGTTCATAAAGAAGAGCAGGTGCCCAGAATGCTTTAAGCCTTTGCCTCTGGGACCTCCATGAGCCACAGTCACACCGTGCTATCATAAATCTTCATCTTTAGATCTTGTTTTTTTGAATGGAGCAAAGCCTGAGAGCTGTTCAGGTAGTTAGCTTGAGCTGTGCTGATTTCACATTTGACATGCACCATTTCCACGATCATGGCACACATACTACTTCAAGTTGCAAGATTTCCAGTCTCTGCCTCTGCTTTGTTACTGCTACTGCTGCCATGCTATGGTGCTTTTATAGTGGAGCGCCAAAGCCAAACAGTGTTCTGTTACCACTGCTGCAAGTAACTGTTCAATGCAGACATGACATGAGTGGTCTAACTAAACAGTCATACTACAAAAACTTAATTTTTTCATGCAGTTTGAAATAAATTTTCTTTATATTTTTACAATGAAAAAGAAATGGCAAACATGAATAATAGTTTTGCAGCCAAAAGTGTAGGATAAATATCAAAATATATTACGTCTCAAGGTGCAACTAGATTTGTATAATTCGTTTTGGCAACCAAGTTCTCCTTCGTTGTAAGAGGATTTTTTTCTGAAAACTTCATGATCTACACGATATTCTGAAGTGGATAACCTTTCAGCAACTTTTGGCAGTGGAGGGGAATTTAATCTTGTTGAAAATCATTTGGCAAACCTCGTCCTTTCAGGTTAGTATTTTCAGCAGAGACAGAGACGTCTTCGACTTATGAACTGCTGTTAGATTTCACTCTGAATACAGAACCTCGATTCTTAAGGTATGAGTCATCTAATCTGCACTTAAATATGCTTAATCTGGGTCTCTTGATAAAACAGCTATAAAATTCTCCCATCTTCTGTATATTTTAATTTTTTTGTACATACATGACAATATATACAACTTTTATTTTAAAGGAGTTAGCTGCCACAGCACAAACCTTAGATTTAGACTAAAGAGAAGTAATGATGCGGCCTTAAAAACATCAGGTTTTTATAGGGCTGGGCGATATGGCCTTAAATCAATTTCATGATATATTGAGCAGTTCACCTCGATAACAATAAACGGACGATAACTACCTCGCAATCTGCTCACCTCCTCCCTCATTAACTTTGTCTACTTCAGCAGACGCTCCAGCCGCTACAACTTTTGAATCGTCCTCCATCTCCTTACCTGTCTTTCCCTCTTTGTTACAGACTGGATGGGGTGGAGTCACTTCTCCGACGTAAACCAGCGTCTTAAAGGGACATGAGACCATAGCCTACTTACACACAACCCAAACCAACTTTTATTTATTTATATTTTGGACACTGAATATATTGACATGGGCAAAATGACATTGGTTAGTGTTGCAAATTTCGGTTCATCGCCCAGCCCTAGCTTATCGGGTGTTGCTCTGGGTCACAGAAATATAATTATTTAGCGGTTTGATTATGGAAAGTTACAGAAATGTTTGCCCTTTTCATTAAATTCATTTTTAAATCAATAGGCTACCTTTAAATACCTGTTTATCCGTCTAATACGCATTTGATAATAATAAATGTACTTAGTGTCAATCTGTCTATGCATTTTACACAATATTTTACAGCCAACGTACAAGAAACTATGTGTCTTTTTGTGTCTTGGCTGAACAAATATCAAATACACATAATGCTGCCAGTTGTTTAGCTACTGTCTTGAAAATATCTATTGTGTTGTAAGAGAGTTTTGTTCTGATGTCTCTCTCTTCTCCCCTCTGTTGCCTAAGGCTGGACAGCTCCATGACTGAGTCTGCAGAGAAACCCCTTTACCTTCAAAGAGAAACCTACAGCGTCCGACCAGCAGACTTCAAACATTAGTGAAATTTTGCCCTGTGAATTAGGGTCCAGAGCTTGCATCCAGGCATCAGTGTAAGCAGACATGTTTAATATGCACCTACTCACTGCCAACTATTTCCAAACCTCTGCAGCCTCTTTAATAGCTTGTGCAAAGTCTAATTCCTGTATCTTGTTGGGCTCTGTGCACATTATTACACTGTGCAATGATGTGTGAAATGCTGCTGGGTGATAAATGATGAACATGTTTACTCCACATGATGACATGCTACACCTGCATTTCGACAAGATCATCTATATCCATACTCATGTATTGTATGTGTGCGTAATATGAATATGTGTATTGTGATTGCATTTATTGCATGAGGTTCCCTATTTTATATTCCTGTTAAGGAAAAGGTCATCCTCAGCAACACAATCCTGCCTGAAAATGCTTACTATAACCAAACTTATAGGTGTATTTTTTGAATAAATTATGAATAAATTTATTTTATTTATTTATTTATTTATTATTTATATATTTTTATGAATAAAAATAATAATAATAAAAAAATAAAGTTTTTGAAATACATTTTCAGAATATTTAAATCGTAAAATTCGATTGTTTGGTGATCTTGATTATTTTTAGAGGTGTTTCTGAATTTCTGACATTATTGTTTTTGTTTACATGTTCACAAATATGGGAAATTAAGGACCCAATGCTTAACAACGGTCAACTTTCTGGTTACAATAAATCGCTTTTTCTGACTGATTGAAATGTTTTAGTAGCCCCACAAAAACAAGAATACTCTATCAGATTACACACTAATCAAAACTGTCAACTCTGGCAAAGGCCTTTCATTTAATTTGTCATTTACATTGGTTTTAATTTATGGTGACAAAATTGATAAGAAAGAGTCTTCAAGTGTAATATACAATACATTAGTTTAACACGTTATTGTAAGTTTCCTTTTGTAATGTGGTGCACAGAGGTCCACACTATCATATTTCATAATGTATCCCTTGACTGCCAGAACTGCAGCCCCATCATGTGCGTGTATTTCTGGCCCCTCAGCACTTTGTATATTGTATGTACAGCCAAGGCAAAGGGGCAGGCAAAGGGGCAACCCTAAGCACAGAATGAAATGACAAGAGTCCATAAACGAGAACTGGTTGCTATTTGCTGACGTTGCTCAACTGAGCAGCAACTAAATATATACTTGGTCAGAGCAGGCAGTGGTGAAGAGGCATGCTAACACCCGTGTAATAAACAGCTGGCAACACGCGTGTCTTCATTTTATATAAGTGTAGTGTATAAGCTGAGAAACAGGCACCAGGTGTTGCTGTCAGCATGTAAACTGTGGAACAGATGAGGAGAGGCAAAGAGAGGGAGGAGCGGAAATTGGTATTTATGTGTTTGTTTCATTTCCTGGATTAACTAGCACACGAGTCTGCTTTGATCACAGCCGACTTATTCTTCAATACATGAATAAATATTTGACAAAAATGAATGATATATAATGAGTTTCATTTCAAGTGGCCTTATGATGATATCGCCACTATTCTCTTTTATGTTTGAAGGTCCTTTTCCTGAAACACATTGGTCTCAATTATGAAACTATCACTTCAAAAAGGACGCATCTTCGCCCAGATTGACTGATGTCATGTTAGGTGTCAGAGGGCTGTAATTGGAAGTCAAAACTTCCACGGATAGTTGTGTTTATGTTTCTACACACATGAGTAAGAACACTGGACCAGAGCCCAGAATAATGAAACCTCACTGTGCAAGATTTTCCACAGAAGCTGTTTGGTAGAATTGAACACGCAGTATTGGTGTTACCAGGGTTTCAGGAACATATCTGGGTTACTCTACTGCTTCACACGACAAATGATCTTAACAGCAGAAAATGTGTCATTGATGTTTCATTTCTGGACAGAAATAGAAACTGGATGTAGACAAAGCACTGCTGTTTCTTAAGTTGCCTCCTCACCTGTGCTGTGTGTCAAGAAAACAAACACTACTACTGCATCTCTTCACCTGGAGCCAGGGGTTTAAGCAGATGTCAAAAATGAGAATAAATAGCCCTTTTAACTGTGTCTCAAACTTTCCTTTTCTCTAGACTATGCTCCTGTTTTTCGTAAGCTTGTGTGGACAAGTTGTTATTTTCTGTCTGGGAGGTAGTATAAGGCTCCCTAGGGTCACCACTGAAAGTGTTCTGTCAGACTTTAGAGACAAGCTCTGCATTTTGTTCTCCTCCACCATCACTCATAAGTCTTTCATTTTCCATTTCTTCTGCATTTTTCTTTTAATTTGCACAGTTTAAGATTTTGATAAGTCACGAAAAAGTGAATGTAATTCGCACTCGACTAAACTTACTGAAATTGAATTTTTCTAAGAGCCCTGTTCTGCAGCTGGTGGCTTTACTGGTCAGTGGAGAGTAAATCTCTCTCGCACCCAAATGCTCATCATGAGGATTATCAGTAATTCTTTTCATCACTGACTCTTCTTTCTAGTCTCAGCTCACTCAGCCTCTCTGCGGCATGCAACATGCATGGATCTCCCCCCCTTTTGCTTCATCTGCTGCTGTTCACTGCGACCCACAGACAAAGATGGCAATCTCTCCACTGCTGTTTCAAACATGATCGGCATGGAAATCGGCTCATATCGGTATCAACCTCATGTGAAGTGCCTAAAGCCGGTCGGATAATCAGGCTCAGAAGAAAAGAGAGCGATAAAGTGGTATCATGAATCTTACCTCATTCTGTGACTTGAGTGGGAAACTGCTATTCCCAGCGCATGCGGCAGAAATCCTAGTTTTGTCCCTGTGTGCTGCTGCTGTCTCCCACTTCTTCTTCTTGTTCTTCTCCCGTGCCCCTTGTTGACACAGAGGCAGCAGCAGTCAAAGCATCCTCAGACACACGCCTTCATGCCATGGATGAGAAAAAAAAAAACGAATCGAGATGCAAAGCAGAGAGGAGTCAAGGTACCGGGATTTATTCTCCCTCTCCTCCTCTTGCGCCCACCAGCCGAAAAAGGCGCATGAGGCGAGACGTCAGTGTGTGGCAACGATGTATGTTTTTTTTTTTTCTCCTCCGCGGTTCAGTCTTCACCTCCTCTGTTTCTCTTCCCTTTGAATCTCTCCGTTCGGTCCTGCCTCTCGTCCCCTTTGGCTCGCAGCTTCACACAAGAGGTAACGCTACTCCGTCGTGACGGTGAAACGCCTGTACGTGTGCAGAGACATCTGTGAATGTGCTGTCGGGAGACTAAAGTAGCCTCTTAGCTGAGATTGAGACCAACCTTCCCTCCTCCCTTTCAGAGATGGGCTTTCTAATGGCATGTACCATTAAAGCTCGGAGCAGGGTGGGCTGCAGCACTGAGGGGGAGAGAGAGTGTGTGAGGAGGGGTTACTTATAAAGCAAGGGTTGTAGAGGAGAGGAGATGGTCAAAAACAGGCACAGAGAGGGATAACTGCACAGTCAGATGATGAGAGATGAAACACACTCTATGTCACTTTGCAGATACACACATTGCCTCACTGTTCAGAGTCTTCATCCCTAATAAATATGTTTCGAAACAACAGCTTGGTCATATCAGACTGACTGTGTGACAAGGGAATATATTCGCTTAGGCAGGGGTGAATTAATTCTGGAAGAGCTGTAATTGTGTCACAGTTAAAGCGTTCTCCTTATGCATGGCTTGCTGCACGATAGCACACACATGCAGAGACATATTGTGGAAATTGGGTGGAATGAACAAAAATTTAGCAAACACACACTTCTGTCGTGTTTTTTTTTCTGGATGAGAGAAGACTCCATACAGCGAATAAGTCTTCAGATGCGACGGTGGCTCCAGTGATTGGCAGCGACTATATCCAAAATGCCAATTCCATCCACCCAAACACTTTCCATCCAAAAAAGTACAACATCTAATTTCAGGCGTCACTGAAGAAAGAGCCTGTCTGCAGCAGAGGTGAGACAGCGTCTGGTGTGAGCATCAAAAAGCATCACCTCGGCCAGTTCACCTCCTCTGAGCCCAGAGACAAGGCCTGGCTCCCTGTGAGCGGCTCTGCCAGGTCAGTGAGTGTGGAGAGAGGGCTGGAACACAGTGGTGGCCATACTCAAGAAACCACTGAACCTTAAACCAAGACAAACAAACCACAGAGAGACGGGGGGGAGTGAAGGAGGCCTGTTCCTCAATAAATCACAACAAAGTGAGACAACTTTGCACATTTGTGTATGAATTATGATTGCTGTATTAAAGGTGGGGTAGGCAGGATCTGAGGAAGTGCCAGTTTTGGGGAGAAATCTTGAATGTAAACACTACCCCCATCCACAAACAGACACTCCTGCTCACTTGTATCATTCCAATTATATTCAGATATAATGCAGATAAATACTTCTGATGATTACAAATGGAGCTCAGTCAACGTGAGAGTAAAAACATTGGTGCTACTGTGGATGCCAACAGACGACCAGCAAACACAATGTTTGCAGGACATCTACAACTAGGATAAAGTGACAAACTCCAGGACCCGAGGTAAACAGTTTAGCGGCACTACAACATGCAGCAGGTCCCGTTTGACAAGAAACACTTCTGTTACAGACACTTGGCGTATTTTGTTAAAGCGGTTTACCTGTCCAGCAGAAATGTTACAGGGTCCGTAAGATTGTAAGAAGCGTCCCCAATCGTTTAAGGTTGACCTGGCTTTTTAGCTCTTGTCCGATCTACCTCCTTTTTAAGCGCCCATTATTCCACCAGAGTCTCCGGTATTTACTTTGTTTTATTGCTTGTGGTTTCCGTACTTTCTGGTATGTTTCTACTGTCTGATATTGTAGCGCGCTAACTTTGTTTGGGCTCATGCACGTTATTTGAAAACGTGGAGCGTGCCTCACAACCAATCAGGTTGGGGGAGGCGGGGAATGGCTTTGTTTACCGTCAGAATGAGCGGGCTCCTCAAAAATTTTTAAATGTTGACTACACAGACATAAGAGAACACAGCAATATCATCATATCACCAAGTGTCATCAGTAACTAATAGCTCTTGACTAATATTAAAAGCTTTTTTGTATATACACCACAAAAATAGATGCTTCCTGCCTACCCCACCTTCAAACTTTAAGACAGTTTTTCATTTTGTACTATCGGTATGGTGGAAGAAAGAGGCAGCAGCCAAGAGGGAACTAAAATCACTTGTTTGCTGTTAGTGTGGAGCTGCTAATATGACGGTGTGTGTGTGACTATAAGGCTGGATAACCTGAGGAAAAGCCATCTGATGATCTAACAACTGCATGCTACATTTCGCTGCAAAGCGCCATTCGATATTTTGAGCTCCAGTCCATCAGTCAGCTTGCACCTTCATGTGCAAGTAGCTGAATCAACAAAAAGAGAAAAAAGAAAACATGAGAGTGTGACAAGAATGTTCGACGAAACGATTTACTGGAAAGAATGAGGGTTTGAGAACGGCTTCATCATGTGGAGAAAGAAGAGGGTTGCATTGGGAAAGAAAGCCACTGTGTATGTTTTCTTTCAGCTGGTTGTGTCTCTGACGCTCGAATCAGTGCATAGTGAAGGGTGACTTACCATTATTGCTAGTATGACCGCAGTAAAGTGCTTACATTACAGTTATACTGTATTTATACAGCAAACGATTTACCTCATCCTCCCTTTTCAGCATATCAGAGTGTCTGTGTAGTTTGATTTATTCAGTTACCCTTATTTTCTGGATTTATGAGACAAGGTGAGGATGAAAAAGCCTTAATAACAGGAACAAATTAACCATCCAGACAGCTCCCAAATTTTAGGGTGCTTTCATACCTGTAGCTTAAATGCCTTATTCTGATTTAAATAACAAACTGTACCATTTTCTCTTGGGTCTTTTTGTAGTCATATCCCAACTCGTTTCTGTTCCCATACTTTTTGCTCTGGGAACCCTGATTTTTGGGTAAATCGTGGTTCCTAAACTTTTCAGCTAAGGACTCTAAAGAAAAGTTTGGTGTGGCCCAAATATCTTTTCCATTTTAAAAATAATTGACCTTATTTAAAGTTTTTGCTCTGGTTTATGTGAGGCTTGGGTCAGGCTCAGAATACTGATCTAACACACTAAGTTAACAGTGACATAAAAAAAATCCTTAAAATTCAACAAGAACTCATGACTTTAGGCAACTTACTCTTCCATTGTCTCACAAATATTGTCACACCATTTCATTAAGCCCTTTCTTGCACAGAAAAATGTCTCATGTTGTTGTTGTTTTGCATGTGTGAAAACACGTGCAAACTTGATAGCGCACGTAAAGCTGATCTACTAACAGAGGATGGCGTCTGTCAACAGCTCCATAAGCTTTGCTGAAGGAGGTGGGATTTATGACCTATACTGCAGCCTGTCACCAGAGGGTGCTGTTCTCTGAGTGGCTTCACCCAGTGAGGAGGCAGACAGCGTCCATTCTATGTACAGTTGATGGTGAGGACAGGGATCTTAATTTAACAAGGAAAGGGATTCACAGCATTTTCACGAATCTTGGTTTGCCCAATTAGCAATGCAATAAAAATGGCTGGTGATCTAATCTGGGTCCTTAAAGATAGGTTTAAGAAAGGCTGAGCTAAATTAACAGGTTTCTAGCTGTAGCGTTGTCTTTACAGCAGAGATAGTAGTGAGACTGGTACGGTTAACTCTATGCCACCTTGTGAGTAAGTAAATTTCAGAGGTGTGGATAAAGACTTCCAAAGCTGTTTTTCTGAAAGGTCACAGACTCCAATGTCAGGCTGGTTTTTATTCTGTTTTTCTGCTATCCCATGCAGATCAGGTGCACTGGAGACTGCAAATGACCCATCAGTGAGAATTTGAGCTGTGGTGTGTTTGATATATGAATCCTTTGAAATATGCTTGTGCAGACTATAAATAAACCTGACTTGACTATTCAGTTTGTGAACAGGACATTATTACACACAGAGCCTGTCCTGACAAACCTTTGCCTCTGAGTCAAGGTCATGTGTGTTTGGACAATATATCAAGAATCTATCTGAAGACTTGATCGTCTGATTTATCTGCTGCTGTCAGTCCTTTTCTGAAAAATGGCTCTTAGCACTGCTCAAGCGGGAGCCAATGAGATCTTCATGTGTTGGTGTGTGTTGAAGTTTGCCATCTATGTCTTAAATCTTTCAGAGCTCGATCGTGGCTGTGGGTGGTGCCTCTTTTCCATTTTGGAGGGGTATGATTTTTTCCCACAAGCCATCTGGTGCTTCTTTTGAGACCTAATAAAGAGGGAACCAGAGAGGAATCAGCAGATGATAGAGATGGGAGCAGAGTAGGCCAGAAAACAAACACACACATACACATACACACATACTTCCAGGACAAGGGCAACAGATGGAAGGGGCCCCAACATGCTGCCGGTGCTGGAGCCGGGCCCAGTGGACAGGCCCCTCTGGCCTCACTGGGGGTCCATTGATATCTAATGTTCTGACAGGCTTTGAAGTGGGGTAGTTGAAGAGAGGGTTTTTCTAGCTTGACTGGTGACCTCCTCTTACTGAGTGGATTATTACACTAATGCATTTCTTTGGGGGATAAAAAATCAGTTTTCTACAAACCATTGATGACGTACTTAAAAAACAAATAAACACGGATATAAATTCTAATACAGGCACTAGTAAAATCAGAGTCCGCTCCACTTCGGGGGTTTTGGTATCATAAAGCCATAAACTAGTTTTATTGTTATTATTATTATTTGGTAAACTTGTCCAAATATCAGTGACTATATGCCCAGAAGAGGTGATATTAAATCAGATAGCAGCTAAAACAAAGCATTCTAGATGGAGGCTGAAATAATGATATTTTAACACACCGGAGTGACAAATTTGAGGCTTTTTTAAAATATGAAAATCATATAAAGCTATTAAAGAGGTATCAGAATGTGAGTATAGAGTCTAAAAAGAAATACATACTACCCCTCCTTTAAAGACCCACTTTGATGAAAATCGTGTTTTTCTTGTTCTTTATATGTTCATATGGCATTTTTCTGATGCTACAGGACATATCATGAGAAAACTTTATGCGAAATTGCTTTACTGAGTATTTCTTCATTCAAATTGCCGTGAATCTCTGGCAGACACAAGACTCTGGCTCAGAAACAATGAGATTTCATACATAACCAATCCATGGAGCCCCACTATGCAGGCGCTCTGTATATAGACGAGAAATAGAGAAGACGATCATGGAACAAGCCTGTGTGTTAGCGGATTGCAATGCTCATAAGAAAGCTAATTATGATTATAGCTTTCATCGCACAACACATTAGTGTCCGAGAGCTGAATTTCTCCTATGTTACCTGCCACTTCTACTGCACCGGCGATGTTAGGCTACAAGCTAACGTGAAGACGAGTGTGCAGAGCAGCGCTGTCT